ACAGCTTGTCAAGGTTTTCATTGTCTTCTATAGACCCCACTATTCGAACCCAGCCCTTGCAGTTAGGGTGACCAGATACCCACCTCAAAGGATCATCTTTCCATGAAAATTGCTCCACATGTTCAAAAAAAACTTTTTGGCACCAAAACATTGGTCTCTTTTTTCTGGACCTGGGAACAGCAGTAGGAAGTGTTCAAGCCTTTTCCCAAATATAATCTCTGACCGATTGGAGGCTGAGAATCCTCTCTGCCCGAGGCCTCCTGGGACTCTGGGTGGCCTGCCTGTTGGTCAGAGGCACCAAGCATCCCCACGCTGGAGATGTGGGAAAGATGGTCTCTGTCCTTGAGGACTTAAGGTCTAGTGGCAGAGATAGAACAGACCCATGTGAAAGAGTCATGCACACAAATATAATAAAAATAAAACATATGCAAGTCCTTGCAGCAGTGAGAGTCCCAGTGCAAATATAAGTTCCGTCTCAAGGTCCAGCGTAAGACAAGGCAAAACAGGAAGAAGCTGGATGTGAGTTGCGAGGTGAGCCATGAGAACAGCCTTCCTAGAGGAAGTCCGTTTTTCCTTTGCCAGATCTCACGGAGTGCTTAGGTAGGCATTGCCATGGGTGAGTGGGGCAGACCCCATGTCTGCCTTTTGGGGAACCAGTGTGGATTGTGGGGGCACCACAATGGCCCAGCACGAGGATGTAGCCCAGAAAGGAAACAGAGTGGGCCTCCTCCAGAAAGTGATGTTTTCATCAGATTCCTAAAGACAGCCCTGCCTCTGACTTTAGGGGAGCCAAGAGGAAAGACAAAGGACCAAGCACAGAGAAGGACCCTGCCTGTGACCTGCCCACCTTCTCCTTCCATGCTGCCTTTCTACTATGTGTGGATACCTCAGACCTCAGGTTCAAACTCCATCCTCACCCCACGGCCACTCAGCCAGCCTTTGGGCCTAGTGTTATGTTCTACCCACAGGAGGACTGATCCAGATAAAAGGCTCTCACAGGCCCAGAAGTGGGATTGAGCTGTTTTGGACAGGGAATTTGGGGTCTGCAGATCTACAGGGTCCCAGGTCTACAGGGGTGAATGATCTGTAAGTGGATGTACAACCTCTAGGCAGAGACATTCCCTTCCACCCCAACATGGGCCTTCTAAATCATGGAGCCCAGGGCAAGAATCCTGATGGCAGAGTCTGAGGGCAGTTTTGTCTAAGATAAGTAGGCATTAGCTAAACCAAAGATCAAGGATTGGGGGGCTGCCTTCCCATAGAAGACCCCTGAAATGAGAAAAGGCCTTGGTCATCTCCCTAAAAGTAGAGGTATGGGGGAGCCACGGTGAGGTTGGAGAACCAACAGGGGCCCAGGAGCCAAGGTAAGGATTTGGCTCTACAAAGGCCGTAGGCAAGTCATGGTGGGCCAGGGAAAGAGAATCATGAATGGAGCAAGAACATTCCTTCCAATCTGAGCTTGTGCAATGCCAACAAGGTGTTTGATGTGAGGAGAGCAGGCTGTTCAGTTTGGCCTAAGAGTACTGACAAAGGCAAGGGCAGAAGAAAAGAAACATCAGGAGAAGAGCCGTTGTGAAAGAGTTGTAGGCATGAACCGGGGGTCGGGCCTTTGGGGTAAGCACAGAGCCTCTGGGAGGAACTGTGGAGGAAATGGGCTGGGGGTCAGAGTCTGTCTTTCTTCTGTGCTGACCATTCAAAAAGGCGAAATAATCTACCACATTCAACACCTTTCTACTTCTAGGGATGTTCCCTAGGCTTGAGTCATAGTACTTTCTATGTATGGGATTTTTATGTTTTTCTGTGTGATTTCAGTGTCCTGAAATTCTTTCTGGATTGCAACACATCCTATTTTTCACTTAGTAAATATGATCACCGTTTGTTTTGGGGTAACATTTTTCAGTCATTGCCAAATTCTCATGGGGCTTTTGGTGACATTTATTTTTCATAATTAGGACTGAAACTCTCATCACTTAATGCCCATGAAATTATGAATACATTAGGCCACAATAAGGATTATCCCTGATATGTCTGTAAGCAGATGGTGTGTGTGTGTGTGTGTGTGTGTGTGTGTGTTTATGATAACAGTGCTTACATAATCCCAACAACCAGGCCCTGGGGACTCACACTCGGAGATGGAACGGCTGGTTTAAATTAAGTTTCCATGTGAAATACCGTATCGCTATTTTTTTCCTAGCATTGTGGGAAAGTATATGGAAAATGATTTGACGGATAGGAAATAAATCTGGATGCATGATCAGGATTGAGACACAAACCACGTGGTGGCCTGCGCCTGCTCGTGAAGCAGGCCTCTCCAAGGAAAGGTGAATTAACCTTTTCAGGCTGCTAGACTAGGAAGTCACTGCACGGTACCAGAATAGCCTGAAGGAGTCGTGACTTTCCAGAGCCACTGATTTGCCATCAATTTCAATTTAAAAAAGAAGCTAAAAAAAAAAAAAGGAATTAATGCAATGAGTGTCTAAGGAACCATTTTAACTTTGGGGATTCACTTTTACTTGTAAGGATATGGTTTTGAATTTCTAGCTCAAAGAGTCAGTAATTCCATTATTCTAAGTGTTTGCTCATGGCTTCCCAAGTAGGATAGTCTCATCAAAAGCAAATCACACACTGAAGGGGGCACTTGACGGGTTGAGCACTGGGTGTTATGCTATATGTTGGCAAATTGAATTCCAATAAAAAATATACAAAAAAAAAAAAAAAGCAAATCACACAAAAGCAAGAACTGCACCAGAGCACCAGTGACAATCTTTATTGACAAAACAGTTTCTTGCTCTAGAGAGCCCGGGTTTCACAAAGGTGACTTCAGACTGGGTAAGCAGGTGATGAGGAGACCAGGCATCAAGACAGTGATCAAGGGATTGCTCATAGCTGCAGGTGAGAGTTTGGCTCCCAGAAGGTTCCCGTGTGCTCAAAACAGCTCCGGGAGATCAGAACAAATAGTTATCTTAGGTTATCTTCTTCCCAAGAGGCTCTGAATTCCTTCCAGGATGATCTGGACCAGGGCTTGTCCTAGGAGTCTGATTCCACATCTGTTCTCCTGATGTTGCACAAAGTCTGGAGCAGGTAGAGCGCAGAGATGCATGCTCAGAGTCCACTGGGCCTGGGCTGGGCTCAGGGGTGGCAGGTGGTCCACCACATTCAGCATTGCTGGCTGGTACCACAGCGTGACCCTGTTTTATCACCAAAGGTCCCCGTTGCCACTGTTTCCCTATTGTTTCCGTGTAGGAAAAGGAAAGGGGTGTTCAGCACCTATCTTTTCTGTCCTGCTTTTTTCTATGCTTTCATCATTTTTTGGTACTCTTCTTGGTATCTTCTCCTTTTATTCCAACTCTGTGTTCAGAGGTACTGAAGTGCTTAGAAAAACCTAAGCGGTGCCAAGTTTAAAGAAACTGTCACCCCTCATCAGATAAAAAAGCACCCGACTGGGAGTCCTTATTTTGACATCAAGAATCGTGACCTCAGAAAGTCACTTCTCCCATGAGCCATAGATTCTTAATCTGGAAAAAATGGGTTTGGACTGCCCTCTGTGGTTGCTGCCAGCACTGAATGTCATTCATTCCTACCATTTCCTCGATGGGGGCGGGGAGGAGGTGGACTAGCCAAGGACCTTAAATTTTTTTCTGCAGTTGCCATGGGTGACCATGAACTCTAGTGTTCAGGCCTCACTCTCTCTCAGGCCAGGGATATGAGCTGGCCCCAGGTTTCAGCACTGCTATTGAACCCGTACAGCTACTGGGGCTGTATGGGGTTAAGAGCAAGGCTGTGGTTTGTTAACAACTGAGTTTATCAGCCCCAACTTTAGCCAAGATGGAGAAAGTGACTTAAAGGAACACTAGTGTCCTAGCACCAAAGTATAGGTAGCAGGAAATAACCTTGGAGATTAAGCAGAGGATTCTGAGGCTGCATATCATAAAGCAGGGACTTAGTAGTGGGTAATTATTAAATATTATACACTAGTCTATATAGTAGAAGAAACTAATCCCATTAGAATAATAACCCTCATCCCAGAGCTTGTATATATACATTAGGCATTTAGGGAGTGGTTAGTAGTGCCACCTCTGGGACACACACCTAAATTCAAAGTCAGGCTTTACTGCTTTGAGTGGAAGGCTTGAGCAAATTTCTTAAGCCCTCTGTCCTTCTGTTTCCTCATCTATAAAATAGGGATAATAATAATCCCTGACTCTTAGGTTTGTTGTGAGAGATAAGTTGACATGTGTAAAGTACTTAGAATAATTCCTGGCAACTCGTAAGTGCTGAGTATTTGTTCTCCAATATTACTTTGTCAGTTGAGAGGCATAATAGATAATGCATTTGTGAAGGATAGCTTAAATATATATTTTTTGGCATTTTTTCATTTGATATTATGCATTTTACTATTTGATAGATATTCTTTAATTGATGGATTAAGTGCATTGATTGCATTTAATCTTGCTGTCCATCAGTCAAATGTATTTAAATTTATTTAAATCAATACTATCCTTAGGCCTTACCTAAGATTCTTACCATCTCATGGAATTTTATAGCTCAAGAGGGAGTTTACGAATTACCTTTGAGCCTCCTAATTTTAAAGATGGAGATGATGAATGCGACTTACCTAGAATCCCATAGCAAAACAGTGATGCAGCCTAGATAGAGCTTCACCTCAAATCCCTCAGCTGGGTCATTCATTTCCTAATACTAAACTGATTTTTTAAAAAGAAAAAGTTTTCCTGTAAAAAAAAAAAAATTCATTGAGGGGCATCTGGGTGGCTCAGTCAGTTAGGTGTCTGCCTTCGGCTCAGGTCATGATCCAAGATCCTGGGATCAAGCCCCATGTCAGGCTCCCTGCTGAGCATGAGTCTGTTTCTCCCTCTCCTTCTCCCTTTCCCTCTATGATCTCTCTGGATCTCACTCTCTCTTAAATAAATAAATCAAACTAAATATATTCACTGAGTTTGCAGGATGCAGGCTCAGTGGATGACCCTGTCTGCATTTTCCAGGTGAGCTCCTGGGTGACATGGCTGATCCTCACGGCGGGCTCCATGGAGGAGAAGCGAGAAGTCTTCTCCTATTTGGTGCACGTGGCCAAATGCTGCTGGAACATGGGCAACTACAATGCTGTCATGGAGTTCTTGGCTGGTCTCAGGTATGGAAGTGCGGAAGATGGTTATCTGGATACCAGCCGAATGGCACTGAATTAATTGCCCTGGAAATCGCATTTACCCAAACCAGGCAATTGGTAGTGATTGTTTGGGGGAAATACATTATTCTTTGCTAACACCACAAATCTTGTCCCTCAGAGATGCAGCAGAATTCAGTGCCTGCGGCCAGTGGCAATCCTAATTGGTTCTGTCTGCTCTGATCCCATGCTGTTGGCTGTGCTCGAGAAAATTACCTGATTGCATAACTCCATCGACCCCATCACTGATCCCCACTTGCTCTCTGTGCCCAGTAAACTCCACCATTATCTGTCTTTTTTCAGCTCTGCCTGGAATTGCCTCAGCACTGTAGGCTCCCAGCCACTGACTGGGAATGGCTAACACTGATAACAAGCATTCAATAATGTCACTTGATATTTTTATTGAACACTAAACAATGTATCGAGCTTTGTACTATGCATTTCCTATGCATTAAATCTTTTAATTCTCAGAATAATTTCTTGGTAGATACTGTTATCCTGACATCATACAGAAAGAGAGAGAGAGAGAAAGAGAGAGAGAGAGAGAGAGGAAGGAAGCAAGGAAGGAAGATGAAAGAAAGGAAAGAAAGAAGAAAGAAAGAAAGAAAGAAAGAAAGAAAGAAAGAAAGAAAGAAAGAAAAAGAAAGGAAGGAAGGAAGGAAAAGAAAAGGAGGGAAAGAAGGAAGAAATGAAGAAACTAAAGTTAGGAAAAGTCATTCACCTGCGGCCACCTGGCATGTCTGGAATGTGAATGCAGGCAACCTTGATTTGAGAGCCCTTGCCCTTCACCTCTCAAATCCTGCTCTTATGCCTTCTCCCCTAAGCTAATAATAAGATTACCATTTTATCAATAAAGTCTCCTGCCTTATTCCCTTTCAGCCGCAGTCACCTGGTATAAAGTAACTGCCCCTCACTCTTGTGGGAGGCAAGGTAGTATGGGGAAGAAGGATGTAAGTCTGTTGGGTCAGAATAACAGGGAATCAAATCCTGGCTCCCCAATGGAATAACTGCGTGATCTGAGTAAGTTTCTCGAACTCAGTGAGCCCCAGTTTCTTGATCTGTAAAATGGGGATGATAATAATAAGAAACACCTACCTCCTCACACAGGATTTAGTGAGATAGTACAAAGTGTTTGGCATACAGTAAGACTCCATAGAGTTAACCTGTTGTTAGTGTCTGAGATTCACCTTCCCAGTGAGGGTTCTCACTATAAATAGGTCTTTCCTCATAACATTATTAAGATTTTTCTTTGATTCTCCAGATCCCTGCAAAGGGATTCTGGGTTGGGTGAGGAAAGGAAAATTCTCAGAGTTGGATTTTTTTTTTTTTTGTCTTTTTGAACTTTCTTAACTAAGAATAAACTCAAATGATCCTGTCACTGGCATTTAAAATGGCCATACAAATACATCCGGTATGGCTCAAAAGAAGGGAAAAATAGAAAAAGTACTGGGAGAACAGGAGATAATTTGGATGACTGGATTTTCTTTGCGATAAATTTTCTACAAAGAACCTGTGTTATTTTTCTTAAAAAAAATTTAAAAAAAAAGATCATCTTATGATAAAATAGTTCTTTTTTTTTTTTTTTTTGATAAAATAGTTCTATGTTAATGATGCTTATCCTCTCTGCTTTGCAAGCTAGTGTTGCCTACTGGCTGGTGACTTTGCTTCTTCTCTTCTGGACCTGACAGTCCTCGTAGCATGTTGGCCAGCTTGCTCCGAAGTGAGCAACAAGAAAGCAAGGCAAGAGCTGCAGTGCCCTTTATGACCTAGCCTCACACATCACACAGTGTCACTTCTACCATATTGTAGTGATCATATAAGACAAAGCACGGTTGATGGGGTCAGGGGGATCTATACCGTACCAGGAGGTGTGGATCATTGAAGGAAGCAATTATAAGTAAAAGATTTACATAGAACAATATTTAATCAATATTTGTCATTTTAAAATAACCCAAATGAGCATCGGTGGGGGAATGAAGGAAATAATATGATGCATCCTTATAATGGAATATTATTTAGCAACCAAAGATGATGTTTTTGAAATATGTTTAATGTTACTGGAAAATAAGCAATATATAATGCATAAAAATATCTGGGAACAAGGCTGTCTTTACTTAATAACTTCAGCAATATTTATACAACATTTATAAAATAGTCAGACCAGACATCTACAAATAAAATAAATACTGGAAGGAAATATGCCTAAAGTTGTCTGTGGATAGTAGCGCTATGGGTGGATTTTCCTTATTTTTGGGTATTTTCCAGATTTTCTACAAAGAGCATCTAGTACCTTTATAAACATAAAAAGAAATAAGATCTTTAAAATAATGTCAATTCTCAATCTAACAAAAAAAAAATCATTTGATCTGATCTTGCTGAGCTTGGTCTTTTGACCCCAAGTGTACCAGGATGGCCCCATTACCTACAGAAAGAGGGATGATCCAATAATGAGACTCATGTCATGTATTCACTTTGTTTATTTATACTTCCATTTCCTGCTCCCAAAAGGATTCTCACCAGTTTAATAAGAAAACAGTTTGTAGAACAAACTGGACTCAGTGCGGTGAAATCAGGAAACAATTTTATTTTTCTGTCTTTCTGACCTGCCTGATAAGACCCTCCCTCCCCCGATTTTGGGTTACACCTTGTGAGGTCCTATAGCTTTCACAGTCACTGATTTGGTGAATAACTTGTCTCATTCTCTTATGCTCATGAACATCAATAAATCTCAGAAACATACAGCTGTGCAAGAAAAGCAGGTTGCCTGCGTACCTCCAGTGCGACACCACTTGTATAAAGTTTAAAAGCACACAATTCTGCATGCTGCTTAGTGATACATATGTATGTTGGGGAAACATAAAGAATTGTAAGGGGACGGAGAACACTGAAATACAGTTGTGGTCCCGTTCAGTGACAGAGGGAGGAGTGTGGGCTCATGGAGGAAAGCACCAGGGCCTCAATCACATTATTAATGTTTTATATTCTAAACTGTGAGATTAGTGCATGGGCGTTTGTCATGTTGTACTTCTCTATGTCCTCTGAATGTCTGATATATGACATAATCACTTTTTAATCCAGTTCGATATAAATCAAAATGTCAGTCTCTCACTTGATTTAAAGCTTCACCCTTTCCCCACATTTCACAGCTCAACCAGTCTCAGAAACTTGCAGTAGAATGGGAGGATGGGGTTTACTTTTCTTCTCTCCAGCTCAGGGTCTCTACAGAAAAAGTGGGTGAGAGAAGAAAGAGGGGGGGAGTTGAGGTAAAGGGAGCAAAGGTCTTACTTGATTGGGACAGTTGTAATCTGACCCAGGTGCTCCCACAGAGAGGGATGTGGTGTGCTTTTAGGATTCCTTCCTAGTTACTCCTCCTCACTCCCCCTACCTGATGCCCTGTAGGTACCTCCCACTGCACCGTTAGCCGGCAAGGGGCAGGGTGGCCTTCATCCCCAGGATCCAGCTCTGGAGGTCCTGCCCTCATAGACTCTTTCTGCTAACATCCCTTCCTTTGGCAAGGAGGCCTTTTTAGACAGCTCAGCTGCAACTGCCCATCCTGGGGTCCCTTCCTGACTTACAGGAAATGCTCAGTGCTTTGCCCTCCCAAAGTTTGCAAATGCAACACAGGCTCACCGGAGCCTTCAGGCAGCTCTAGGCAACCTGTCATCTTTAGACTTTCCCAGGCAAGAGTCACACATCAGGCTATGGGATCAGCAGACTCTGAACGTAGGTCAACCTCTCCATGGAGTTCACTTGAAGCCTCTGCCCTGGCGGTGATCCTCCTCCTTTCACATATAGTACTCTGACAACTCTATCCAAAGAAATACCCGCTACCTAGCTGCTCAGATCCAATTCTACTGCATTGGCTGATGGACAGTTGTAGACTACAGATGGCAGAGCAGTTTGTGTGTCCTTGTGACATCCTGGTGCCTCTCTTTAAGGAGTTGGGGCACAATGTCACCTGTTGTTCTCTGCAGCAGTTTCTTTTCTTTTTCTTTCTTTTTTTTATGGTATATTTTTTTTATTGGAGTTCAATTTACCAACATATAGCATAACACCCAGTGCTCATCCTGTCAAGTGCCCCCCTCAGTGCCCGTGACCCAGTCACCCCATGCCCCCGCCCACCTCCCTTTGCACTGCCCCTTGTTCATTTCCCAGAGTTAGGTGTCTGTCGTGTGCTGTCACGCTCTCTGATTTTTCCCACTCATTTTCTCTCCTTTCCCCTTTATTCCCTTTCACTATTTTTTATATTCCCTGTATGAGTGAATTACTTCACTCAGCATGATACCCTCCAGTTCCATCCACGTTGAAGCAAATGGTGGGTATTCGTCATTTCTAATGGCTGAGTAATATTCCATTGTATACATAAACCACAGCTTCTTTATCCATTCATCTTTCGATGGACACCGAGGCTCCTTCCACAGTTTGGCTATTGTGGACATTGCTGCTAGAAACATCAGGGTGCAGGTGTCCCCGCGTTTCACCGCATCTGTATCTTTGGGGTAAATCCCTAACAGTGCAATTGCTGGGACGTAGGGCAGGTCTATTTTTAACTCTTTGAGGAACCTCCACACAGTTTTCCAGAGCGGCTGCACCAGTTCACATTCCCACCAACAGTGCAGGAGGGTTCCCCTTTCTCCACATCCTCTCCAACATTTGTGGTTTCCTGTCTTGTTAATTTTCCCCATTCTCACTGGTGTGAGGTGGTATCTCATTGTGGTTTTGATTTGTATTTCCCTGATGGCAAATTATGTCTCCGTAGCAGTTTCATCATAGGAAGAGTCCTATTTAACATTCTGTTATGCAAATAGTATTTTAAGATAATGTCCCTCAGGATGGGCCAGTGGCTTAATGTCAAAGCTGGATTTAGTTAAAAGCAATTGTACAAAAGAAGCCGAAACAGGGTTTATGTATATCACTGAGGGACTGACCTAATTCAAGGATAACCTTTAAAAGATCAAGAGTGGATGGACCATGTTTTGTGCAGACAGTCCTCCATAAATATCTGTACAAACCAAATTACCCACTAAGTTTTTGGCTACAGCTGCCAGAAAAGCTCAAACCTAGGTTCAACGCCCACCTTCTGGAATTAACTCCTTACACATGTGTTATTTGTATCTGCCTGACTTAATTTTGTGTTTTGGTTTCTAAAAGTAATACATCATTTAGGGAAGTAGGTAGAGATAGGAGTCCTAAATAAATATTAAAACATAAGGAAAACTGGGGCAAAGAGAATGGATTTGTATGGAATTTAGGGTGTATACTGTAAACTGTATTATTATTTCTCCTTTGGTCTAAAAAATCATCATTTACTTGCAATAGGTCAAGAAAAGTTTTAAAAATGTGGCAGTTTATGGACCAATCTGACCTCGAGACCATGAGGAGCCTGAAGGACGCCATGGCTCAGCATGAATCTTCCTGCGAATATCGGAAGGTGATAACGAGGGCTCTGCACATACCTGGCTGTAAAGTGGTTCCATTCTGTGGAGTGTTTCTGAAGGAGCTCTGTGAAGTACTGGACGGAGCCTCTGGCCTCATGAAGCTTTGCCCGAGGTACAATTCCCAAGAAGAAACTCTAGAGGTGAGGCCTTTCAAAATCTGAAGAGTCATTGCTGCCAGCAGAGAGAACCTGCTGAATCTAGGTTACCTGTTGTCACTGTTGTGTTAAGTCCAACAGTTAGGTCCTTGGAAGTTCCAAAGAAAAGCATGTCAGTAACACTGGGGCTTAATCTTGTTAAATTAACTTTAATGGAGCAGTGTGTAAGTACAAGTGGAAATGGGGGTTGTTTTCTGATTTTATTTTATTTTTTTAAGGGATGACAGGCTTTCTTCTCTCATTGGGTGGGAATGTCTGGATGCTGAGGATAAAAGAAGTCAAGCAAGAGTATTAGCTTTTCAGAATTAGAGGGAGAAAGCATGGCAGGAGGTCAGTGCTGCCTTGCTTTCCCCCTTTGTGGATGCTGAAGAAGATGGCATCTCATCAAAAGACAAGCTCCAGATTCCAGGCCCTGCCTCAGCTCTCCCAGGCCCAAGGCCTCTTGTTCCTGACTCTGAGAACAGAGAGGACTGTGTGAAATCTGACTCGGAGCATCAGGCATTGGAGAGAAGGGGCTTTGAGAAACTGGAAAAAGAAATGAAAGAAAGGACTAAATTGGGGAGAACTTCACCAAGATTTTTTTTTTTTTTTAAGTTTTAGAGGTAGAGTTTAGTGATTCATCAGTTGTATATAACACCCAGTGCTCATTACATGGAAGGCCCTCCTTAATGCCCATCACTAGTTACCCCATCCCCCCACTCCCCACCCCTCCCCATACCTGTTGGTTCCAAACCCAAATCTAGGATTGTTCTCACCTTGACAACAGCATCACTACTGACCACACACACACACACACACACACACACTCACATATACCCCTTCTCGGTGGCTATGGGATGACTCCTAAAACTTCAGCCTCTTCTGTGTCACCTGGGAACCAAGGAATCACCTGGTGTCAGGGAAACAAGATCCTCTGGTAGGTACAGACACTACCAGCTTGCAATCCTCTGGCTTAAGTGGGGAGATAAAAGTGCAATAAATGGAGGAAAGAGCTTAAAGCAAGCCCCCCAAGCTATGCCCACACCAGCTCCCTCACATCTTAAAAGCAGGGGATGCCACATCCAGCGGCACAGCAGGAGCTGTTACCTTTAATGGTCATGAATACACACGGTAAGATCTTTAAAACCACCAGGAAGTCTCAGTGCTACCGTCGGATATGTGAGAAATAAAGCAAAACGTCATCCTTTCTCAGTGTTTTCCTTGGACCCCAGGAATTTTATCTGGTTCCACAGAATAATAGACTTTTGTCATGGTTTTTCTCAATTCTCACTACCAGGATAAAACAACCCTACCCTTTTTCTGTAAAGTGGCTAATCTTCTCCCTAGGGAACCTTGAAATAATATTGCTTTTTGTGTTGTAAATTTGAAATGGAGTGTTGATTCCTAGGAGGACTAAAGTTGTCTTAGCAGAAACAAGAATGAGTTCTGATAGTTCACGTGGTGAAATGAAAATATGTTTTTCCTGGAAGCTCTGTCTTTTTCTTTCAATAAAATAGGCACAAATGCCATTATTTATGACTGCTCTGATTTTATTTCCCTACCCAAGTAGGTTATTTAGACATAGCACATGAACTTGCAATAACAAATTCTTGGTATGTTTTTCTGTAGTTTGTAGCAGATTACAGTGGACAAGATAATTTCTTACAACGAGTGGGGCATAATGGCTTAAAGAATTCAGAGAAGGAGTCCACCGTCAACAGCATCTTTCAGATCATTAGGAGCTGCAGCCGAAGTCTGGAGGCTGAGGAAGAGGACAGCCCCAGTGAAGGGAACAGGTCTAGGAAAAATTCTTTAAGGGACAAAGCCCGATGGCAGTAAGTTTCACATTTGAAAAGAGAGATGCTCATTTTTTCTTTTTCCTATTTCAGTTTGGTTTTGGGTGGACTCCTAACAAAAACCCACCACCTCTATTAGGAAGCTATGCTTTATGTTCCAACTTAACCAATTCTGAATTAGAATTTACCTTCCTAATTTGGCTGCTTTGTTCTAGGATTATTGCTCATAATTTAACTTCTTACCACCTATTATCTCTTTAAAAAGAATCAACTAGAGCTATCCTGTCATTTCTTAAAATTCAGCAAATTAAATTTCAGGATTAGAACCATGATATTTTATTTATTTCATAGCTTCTATAAAAATGGTTTTTATTAATTACTGGGCAGGACACAGGGACAGGTATTAAAATATTTTTAAGTCAAATATACTGATTTATGAGGGCTAGAGTAATACCCAGAAGTCAGTAGTTTTAGCAGCTCCCCTAAACTTCTGGGTGATTGTAAATTAGGTGATTTAAAGATCTCACTTCCAGAAGCATAGGTCTGCAAGGTGTCATCTGTAACTTTGTAATTGTTCAGTTGGTTCAAATGCTCTTTATCCATGGGCATTGCTGCCCCACTAGACATGCATACCCACAACCAAATGAGAAATTCAGAAATCAGCAGTCTTGGGGCATGTGCTGTGCCTCTTCAAGGCCTTTTGCTCACGGTGAAACCTAACTCAAATGGCAGAGCCTGCCTGGTCCAGCTGGAGTAATCCTCTAGGGCCTTCCATAACCATTAGGTCTACTGGCTTTGACATCTTTGCAGGAAAGATTTTATCTGTAGTCAGTACTCATGAGTCATACCTTGCAGTTGTCTTGGAGTCCTTATACACACTTGTCTGCATTTAGAAGACATTGTGGTTTGTTTTACAAAGGCTTTCCTGGTTGTTTATGTGTGAGCCTACACTGGGAAGGGCAACAGTGTTTTTAGAAAATAATTTCTTTGCAGTTGGAGCACCAGATCTTTAGAATCTGTTATGAACAAAGAAATGAATGCCTTGTGTCTGAATACCTAATGCCATTTTGTTTGAGGAGGGAGGTAAACCTATATTCCAGATTTCTCCAAAGGACCCAGATGCTCAAAGAATCATCTTACCACAGTTTCTTAACCCTTAAGTTCAAATATCTCACAAGTAGCTTCAATCAGTTTTTTGGTTGTTGTTCTTTTTAAGATTATCCCAAATCGAAGATTATTTGAAAGTTTTCTCACTAACTGTTGGCTGATTTTAGCAATCTAGATACATAGAGAGGACCATCAACAAATAAACACAGGTCTGCACAGGAAGGGCCTCATAGCCATTTCTGTCCTTAATCTATATCTACCTCTATCTACCTATCCATGTTTATAGGTATGTAGGTATATACCTATCTCCTTCCACAGAAGATTACATAGATGCTTATAAGAATAAATATAAGTAGTTGAGGATATTAAGGAAAAAGGGAAACAGGAGAGGAAAAAGTAAAACATACTGAAATGTATACCATCTCCTACAGTGACTAAATTTGGTTCTGAGAATTCTTAGTGACCAAAGGAAAGAGAACATGATCCATAATAAGTTTTGCAGTATTTGTAAGAAAAATCAGACAGGTGATTTAGAGAAGAAGCATGCCTTTTCCCCAGATTGAGACCTGACTGAATCCCTTTGTTAAATCCTGCTAGAAGGGAGACATCATCCCTCAATAGATCAAGTAATGCATTTCGTATGGCTCTTCTTTATAACAACATTCTCTTGGGGCTGTGTCAGGGTAGGGGATGTTACTTAAAGGTGTCAACCTTTCTTTTTTTTTTTTTTAAGATTTTATTTATTTATTCATGAGAGACACAGAGAGAGAGAGAGGCAGAGACACAGGCAGAGGGAGAAGCAGGCTCCATGCAGGGAGCCCAACATGGGACTCTACCCCGGGTCTCCAGGTCTTCAGCCTGCCTGGACTGAAGGCAGGCACCAAACCGCTGAGCCACCTGGGCTGCCCTGTATCAACCTTTCTAAAGTACTTTTAGGAATGCTGCCTTTGATTGAGCCTTAGAGACCTAGCCTCTGAGTTTCCCTTAACATTTTTTTTTTTAATTTGGGAGTTCCTTCACTGATACATTCCTTATTTCATCCCATCACTTCTGAAATTTTTATTTCCAATTTTCTGCTCATCCCCTGTCCCCCTTTTTTTTAATAAATTTATTTTTATTGGTGTTCAATTTGCCAACATACAGAATAACACCCAGTGCTCATCCCGTCAAGTGCCCCCCTCAGTGCCCGTCAGCCTGTCCCCTTTTTAATCATTTTATCATCTGCATCCCAAGATCATTGCTCTTCCACTTCCCATTTTAAGCAGTCTTTGAAGGGGAAAATTTAAAAATGCAAATATCCTGTGAAGCCACATTGAAATCACATTAAAGCTATGTCCCTCAGTACCAGTCATAGTTTTTTTTTTTAACCTCAAGTGACTGCTTTTCTGAAAAGAACCACTGAACACAAAAGATAGGGGTGGGGGTGTTAAAAGAATTCACTGAAACTAGATCAGTGGGCACTGTTTCCAGGACCATCTGCCAGGTCTTGGGAGTCCATTCCTGAATCAGAGCCCCCTGTTATCATTTCCAGCACAAGGTTGTGTATAGCAAAGGGATTTCCAGATTCCAAGACCCATAGGAACCATGCTTTGTTGTTGATTTGGCTGAAACAAAGACTCTATAAACAATAACCTTCAGCCCTGTTCATGTGGCAGCCACCTACTCTGTGGAAATTTCACCAAAGAAAGAAGTGAGTATCTCATGGTCTTTCCTTCACCCAGCCTGCAGGGTTCTCTTATAATTTGTCTCAAATCTTTCACTCCTCTGCCAGAAAAATCCATTTAAAGCACTCACAGAGGGATCCCTGGGTGGCGGAGCGTTTGGCGCCTGCCTTTGGCCCAGGGCGCGATCCTGGAGACCCAGGATCGAATCCTGCGTTGGGCTCCTGGTGCATGGAGCCTGCTTCTCTCTCTGCCTGTGTCTCTGCCTCTCTCTCTCTCTCTCTATGTGACTATCATAAATTAAAAAAAAAAAAATGAAGCACTCACAGAAACCCCAGGAAAGTGATGGTAAAAAGTTCAAGTCCTCTGCAGTAAAGGAATAGGGTTGAGAGAATCTCAAAATGTCAGTGGCATCATATGGTCAACCTGTCCAGCTCCCCTGTATGGATGAAGAAGTGGTGCCCAGAGAGGTTAGGTCACTTGCCTACAGATGGGATGCCTACAGAGCTGGGGCTAAGCCCGACCACGCATTCAGTGCGGGACACAGTCTTTTCTCCTGCAGTGTTCAAGGCATTTCTTACCACCATAGAGGGGCTAACCCTCAGCTTCTTTTAACTTCTAGTTCCTGTAGATTAGGAACATCTGAGTTCCAGAAACACTTCAGTTACCCTTTGTATGACCTATAAAGCTCATTAATAATGACTTTTAAAATTTGCCAGCATGGAGAATAAACAGCTTTGCCTGGGTGAGTATGTAAAAGTCATGGAGGCTTAAAAGAAGTGTGTGGTGCCATTGTAGGTAGATGGAGATTCAGAATATTAATATGTGTAGAAAAGAGTGTGTGGTCACATAGGAGCTTCAAGTTCTTAATATTGTCGTCCCTCTTTGAGATGATGCAGCTTAAGAAGGATATGCACATTTGAAGAAATTGGATATAAGTAGATAACAAGTTCAGACAGAACCTTAGAATGGAGGCTGCGTGAAATGATTAAGAGCTCAAACTTTGCGGACACATTGCGAGCACTCTATGTCACCTGAGTGACTTAATCTCACTAAGCTGAAGTTTTGTTTGTCTGTAAAATGAGAATGGGCATAACGCATTATAGAGTTGTTGTAAGGATTAGATGGGATAAGCAGGTTTACACTGTAAGTGTCACATAAATAGGGCTGTTGTAGTTAATGGCTGCCATCACACCCTTTGGTGCCAAGCCAAGGCATCTGGGGGCCTGAGCACTTAGGTGGGCATTTGGCAGCAGTCACCATTTTAGGACCGCTCCTCAGTCATGATCCGCCTCTTTACTGAAGAGAGCTGAATTCTGTGCCCTCTTACTTCAAAAATCTCCTTGAGACTTGCCTGGAAGATTATGTGATCCCAAAGAGATAGAAAATAAGAAAGCTGAGCAGAAAGAAGTACAGTATCTGAGAAAAAAATCATAGTTACCATTTCACACGCACACACACACATACATTCAACACGCAGGCCCAAAATAATAAAAGGACAGGAAGCCAGGTATTCTCCATAGAAGATGGTGACAGACCAGTCCCAACCTTACAAACACCCAGCTCATAACATCCTTTAGATCACAGACTGCTTCAGGCCAGCCCAGATCTTAATTAACATGGTCTCCGCCACACCACCGCTGGCTTTGCTGGGGGTAGTTGGGACCCTCCTGTTCTCTCTCTTCCTGGGCTAGTACCCATGACCAATCCCATGTCTCTGACCTGTAACAAAGAAAGCCATTTCCCACTGTCTGCCCAACATTGAATTGAAGCCAGTTTATCACTCGAATCCTGACTTGAAACTTGGACACCATTTCCACAGTAAAGCTTTGGGTGGCTACACTTTGAAATATTGACTTTGCAAGTATAATTGAAACGATAATAATATTAGTAACATTTAACATTCCATTATTTATTGAGAGACTACTTTTGAACAAACACTGTCCTAAACACATATATTAAACTATATAATCTTCCAACAGTTACATTTGACTCAGGATCTCATACCTCCCAGGGCCAGGATTTAACCTCAGGCAGGCTGGCTCCCAATCATCTTTATGGTCCTATAATCATATTAACTTTGTAGGAAGTAATAAACAGTTATGAGGAAAATACATAAACAGATTGATTAATAGCCCTCTTGTCCCCTTGTATAAAATTTTCTTCAGGTTGGGCAGCCCCAGTGGCCCAGCAGCTTAGCACCGCCTTCAGCCTGGGGTATGATCCTGGAGACCCGGGATCGAGTCCCATGTCAGGCTCCCTGAATAGAGCCTGCTTCCGCCTCTGCCTGTGTGTGTCTCTGCCTCTCTCTCTGTCTCTCATGAATAAATAAATAAAATCTTTAAAAAAATTTCTTTGGAGAACATTACAAAAATATTTATTTGTCAATTTATGGTTTCTAACTGACCAACACTGCAGAACTTCTTTGGAGAATGGAGTACAAACTTTCCTTCTTTTTCACTCCTTAGTTATCTTCTTGAGTCATAGAACCTAAGCCTGACAAGGTAGTTTATTTGCTGGTAAACACATTTTTGATATTTGGTTCCTAAATAACCCTTTAAGTGCCGCCTTACTCCTTCTTGTAAGCCCACAGAAACTTGTTTCCTGAAAGACTCTGGCACAGAAATGCATAACATTCACCATGTGATCTACAAGACAAAGCTACTAGTTACCTTCTCAACGTAAACTTACTTTGTTACCAACAATTGTCAGTTTTATCTTGGGCTTTAGTCCTGAGAAGAATGCCTTATTTTAAGCTTTACTTATTTATTTGAGAAGGGGGTGGAGGGACAGAGCCCACCTGCCTGCTATCTCTCTCTCTCAAATAAAATAAATAAATAAAATCTTTTAAAAAATTCAATAACTTATCTAGCAGTTCCTTTCCTTGTGCCTTTGGTCAGACATATTGCTAAATACAAGCTTTTAGAATGCAGCTATCAAAAATCTACTCTGTCCTTTAGCCTTTTATATTTCTTATGCTAATTTGAATTCGAGTGAAGTGAAAAATGATGCCTGGTGTCATTAAAAAGCTTTATGTTCTTTGTAAAAAAAAAAAAAAAAGCTTTATGTTCTTACTTCTGATTAGAAGACAGACCATTTCTCTCTCTTTCCGCTAGATTTATAATCGGAGATTTGTTGGATTCCGAAAATGACATCTTTGAGCAATCCAAAGAATGGGACTCTCCCAGCTCAGAAGAGCCTCAGAAAGCCTTTGACCATGGGACAGAGCTGATCCCTTGGTACGTGCTGTCCATCCGAGCAGATGTGCACCAGTTCCTGCTGCAGGGCGCCACCGTCCTCCGCTATGACCAGGACACGCACCTCTCTGCCCGCTGCTTCCTCCAGCTTCAGCCTGACAATAGCACCTTGACATGGATAAAGCCCACAGCTGCCTCCCCGGCCAGTGCTAGAGCAAAACTCGGTGTGCTGAGCAACACGTCTGAGCCTGGCAAGTTCCCGTCACCAGGCAGTGCCGGACTAAGCGGCCTGGCCGAGGGGGTCCTGGATCTGTTTTCAGCAAAGGCTGTGTACATGGGACACCCTAGCATTGATATCCACACTGTGTGTGTCCAGAACAAACTCGGTAGCATGTTTCTCTCAGAGACTGGCGTGACCCTGCTCTACGGGCTCCAGACCACAGACAATAGATTATTGCACTTTGTGGCACCCAAGCACACTGCTAAGATGCTCTTCAGTGGATTGTTAGAACTCACGAGGGCCGTGAGGAAGATGAGAAAGTTCCCTGACCAGAGGCAGCAGTGGCTGCGGAAACAGTATGTTAGCCTCTATCAGGTAAGGGCGCAGCCTTCCCCCTCTCCTCAGTACCTGATTCTCAAGATTTTAATCTTGCAAAACCACACTTGGACTACAAGGGTTTGCTCTCACACTTGGTCATCTACTACCTGAGTGATACTGGGCACCTTTGTCTTCGCCTCTCTGTGCCTGGCTTTCTAATCTATAAAACGAGAGCGATAACAATACCCCGTCATAGGATGGTTATAGGGTCCAACTGAGTTAGTAGGTGTAAAACCATAATGTCAGCTGCTGTGTATAAAGAATAGTGTCTGGTTTGTCGTAGATCCTATTAGTATTTTGTATGAACTCAGCGACTGGTCATTGTACTCCTCATGTAGGAAATAAACTAGTTAATACAAGCATTTTCACTTACTCGGTTTCCATCAGAAGTATTATGGTGGGGATGTCTTTATTATTAATTAGGGATGAGCTGATACATTGGAAGCCTTCCTTTTGGAAACTGAAATCCAGCTTCATCATTTAATATGCTACATGACTCTCGGAGCATTAATTTACTGTGTATTGCTGCCTCACTGTAGAACTTCTAAGTTTAAAAGAAACCCTCCCAAATGTGGGACAACTCATACATGGAGTTCTGCCTCACCGGGTTTCTGTTGGCAGCTGCCCTGAGGAGGCAGTTTCTCACAGCCAGCTGCTTAAAGTGAGTGTGTTTCTCATGAACCCTAAAATTATCAAGTATTTCAGCGCTAAGGGTGGCAGCAGGACTGGCCTGAGTGAGATGTGAGAAGAGACACAGGCATTACCTGAGTAGCATGCTTGTAGAGAACAGAGGGCAGATTGCTGAGAAAGTGAGTCAGAAACCCCACCAGAGGGGGGCACTGTTGGTGGCAGTGCCAAATGGGTTGTATCCAAAAATTCAGTTTTCTCTGTTATGCATTTCCATCTTTTGGGCAAAAAATTATGGTTTTTTACTAGTCTCATAAAACAAATAGAACTATAACTTATATTACTCAAATGACTGATTTCATGTACTTTTCACATTTCTCACACATTTTCTCCCCCCTAGGTTGTAAGTAGGGACATATATATAATGCTCCTCTTTCCCCTTTCCCCACACCCATGCAATAGTTATGAGAGCATATCCTGAGTAACTAACTAGTAATTGATTAATGAGCACATAGACCTATGGACATGATCATGCTAGTACTGCACAGCACAAAGCCTGTTTCAGTTAACTCATCTTTTTTTTTTTAAAGATTCTATTTATTTATTCATAAGAGGCACGAGAGAGAGAGAGAGAGAGAGAGAGAGAGAGAGAGGCAGAGACACAGGCAGAGGGAGAAGCAGGCTCCATGCAGGGAGCCCGACATGGGACTCGATCCCGGGTCTCCAGGATCACACCCTGGGCTGAAGGTGGCGCTAAACCGCTGAGCCACCGGGGCTGCCCTCAGTTAACTCATCTTAAAACAGAAACCAAAACACATGCTTCCTGTCCACTCTGCAGAGAGATTCCAGTGTGGTCAGATGCTTGGAAAAAAGGTCTTCAGGAGCTATTGTAAATATTGATTTTTAATTATAATCATTTCTCAGCCTTCCAGAATCATATAAATCCATTCAACCTGGACATAAACCAAAGTCTCAGAGCTCAGTTAAAGTCACAGTCATAAACCCAACATGGTTTATTTGCTCCATTTATTCCCTTTTTTGATTTTATAGAATAAAGTAACTGAATCAACACCTAAGGCATACTTGGTTTCTCATTCACCCTGGCAGCCTTCAGTTTTTGCTGAAGGAGGCACCAGCAGAAAACCAGGAATAGCAGAAAAGGTAAAAGGCACTGCAGGTCAGTGACAAAGGAAGGGACCTGGAGACAACACAGTCCCTCCCAGTTGCAAACATAGCTACAAACCCCCTGCCTCCATCCCTCCACCACTGCTTGGAAACAAGCTGTTATGATGTAAAGGCAAAACAGCTCCCTGTACCTAAGCCACTTCTGAAAACACAGACGTTTTGAACAATCTAAACATTGTTCTGCGTGAGCCACCCAGAAAGACAAGGCAACATGTCTCAGAAAGAGATCTTCAAGATAAAAAAAAAAAAAAAAGTGGAAAAGGTCAGTGAATGATTAGTTTCCCATTATGTAGACAAGCTCCCAAATTGTCTCAGAGAACATCAAAAAGATGCTAGCAATGTGGTACTTGGAGAACAAAAAGTCAAATAGGCAACCTGTTAAATGCCCCTCTTGGTGACTTATAATACTGCTTAGCACACTAGCTCCTGAGAAGTCCTAAGGTACAAAAGAAATTAATTTAAATGTATCTATACATTAAAGTAATTTATGAACAGTCTTGAGTTCTTCCAAACTTATGTTAAGAGCCCTGTAAGATATTTCTTTATTCCCAGTTTGGAAAGGGCTTATGCAGAAAATAATCTTTCTGGGGCACCTGGGTGGCTCAGTTGGTTGAATAACCGACTCTTAGTTTTGGCTCAGGTCATGATCTCAGGGTCATGAAATTGAGCCCCATGTCAGGCTCCATGTTCAGCGTGGAACCTCAGCTGGGTTCTCAGTTCTGCATAAGACTCTCTCCCTCTCCCTCTGCTCCTCCCCTCTAAAATAAATAAATATTTAAAAGAAAAAGAAAATATAATCTCTCTGACATTGGTGTCCTCTTGCGTGATGAATATATGTGAAGTTGCTCTTTTTTTTAAGGTTTTTTTTATATGAGAGAGAGCATGAATGAGGGGTGCAGAGGAAGAGAGAAGCAGACTCCCCCTAAGCAGGAGCCTGATACGGGGCTCAGTCCCAGGACCACCTGAGCCAAAGGCAGACCCTTATCTACTGAGATACCCAGGCACCACATGAAGTTGCTTTAAAATACAAATATTTTAGTACTACTAAATGTATTTGATCTAATGGAACTAGAAACAGGAAATAAAGCAAAAGACAAGAAGAAACAGTAACATTTGTAATGAAGCCTAAGAATACAGGAAAATAAAAGAAAGTAAGCCCCAGAGATTTGATGTGGGGTATGGGACAAAGACTGGTATCATGAGCTTTGGCTTGAGGTTGCATGGGCAGAGCTGAAAACCCAAAGTCTTGGGTATTTGAAAAGATCTCTGGGAATCTGAAAAGATTAAAGACAGGGTTCTCAGGTGAACTTCTGTTGTAACTAACATGAACAGATTCTAAGTGTCTTCGAGGGGAAAAAAAGAATTTATTTAAAGGATTAGATTAAACTGTCTTCAAAAATATGATATGGAAAGATGATGCCAACAGATAAAAGTGCATGAATATTTTTTAAGGAATCAGTTTCCTGATCCTAATATCCATATGAACTTCTTTTAGTTTCCCATATTCCTAGGCTTCATTACAAATGTCACAATTTCTTGTCTTTTGCTTTATCTCCTGTTACTATTTCCATTAGATCAATTTACGTTTACTAGTATAAATGCTTGTATCTGAAAGTAACTGTTTTCTAAAACTGAGAATGTAGTTTCACTTACAGTAGACTATCTTCCAAATTAGAAAGAGAAGGTACATCCTTCACCCACCACAATGAAGTTTATTGTTTTGTACATAATAGAAGAAAGAGTCAAACTACATTTCAGTTCCCAGAAAGTTTCCTTTAAAGATTAAACAAAGGCATATGCCTTTTCCAGGCCTAAAATATTTCTATGAAGAGTAAAACTTGGGATCCCTGGGTGGCCCAGCGGTTTGGCGCCTGCCTTTGCCCCAGGGCGCAATCCTGGAGACCTGGGATTGAGTCCCGCATCAGGCTCCCGGCATGGAGCCTGCTTCTCCCTCTGCCTGTGTCTCTTTCTCTCTCTCTCTCTCTATCATGAATGAATGAATGAATGAATAAATAAATAAATAAATAAATCTTAAAAAAAAAAAAGAGTAAAGCTTGACCTTTATTAGGTTGTTCTGAATTTGGAAATACCAAAGCAGTAGAGGCTGGTTCTTTTATATACATGGTATGGGTCTATTAAATTTTTTTATTAAAGATTTTCGTTTTTTAGAGCAGTTTGAGGCTCATAATATAATTGAGAGGAATGTACAGAGATTTCCCATAAACCTTCTGTCCCCCATGCATGAATAGTGACCCCCACTGTCAATATCACTCACCAGAATGGTACATTTTTTTTAAACAAAGGATGAATCTACATTGATAAGTGACAATCACCTAAAGTCTATAGTTTACCTTAGAGTTCATTTTCAGCGCTGTATATTCTGTAGGCTTACACAAATATATAATGACATATGTTGATCATTATAATATCCCCCATGGAGTATTTTAACTGCCCTAAAAATTCTCTGTGCCCTGCCTATTCACCTCTTATTCCCACTCTACCTCACCCTTCCCTCCTCCCCTGCAACCAGTGATCTTTTTACTGTCTCCATAGCTCTGCCTTTTTCAAAATGTCATATAGTTGGAATCATACAATATATAGCCTTTTCAGATTGGCTTCTTTACTTAGTATTATGCATTTAAGATTCCTCCATGTCTTCCCATGACTTGATAGCTTATTTCCTTTTATTGCTGAATAATACTCCATTGTGTGCATGTACCATAGTTTATTTATCCATCTACCTACTAAAGGACATCTTGGAGCAGCCCAGGTGGCTCAGCAGTTTAGCGCCGCCTTCAGCCCAGAGCGTGATCCTGGAGTCCCGGGATGGAGTCCTATGTTGGGCTCCCTGCATGGAGCCTGCTTCTCTCTCTGCCTGTGTCTCTGCCTGCCTTTCTCTCTCTCTCTCTCTCTCTCTCTCTCTCTCTCTCTCTCTCTCTCTGTCTCTGTGGGTCTCTCATGAATAAATAAATAAAATCTTTAAAAAAATAAAAAAAAATAAAGGACATCTTGATTGCTTCCAAGTGTTGGTATTATTAATAAAGCTCTTGTAAATATTCATGTTCAGGTTTTTGTGTAGACTTAAGTTTTCAACACTTTTGGGTAACTCCCAAGGAACATGACTGCTGGATTGTATGGTAAAAGAATGCTTACTTTTGTAAGAAGCTGCCAAAGTGGCTGTGCCATTTTGCTTTCCTACCAGAGTGAATCCTTATTCCCATTACTCCTCATCCCCACCAGCATGTGTTGTTGTAAGTGTTCTGGATTTTTGCCATTCTAATAAGTGTATAGTAGTATCTTACTTGAATTTGCAGTTTCCTGATGATCTACAATGTGGAACATCATTTCATATGCTTCTTTCCATCAAAATCTCACCTTCAGTCAAGTATCTATTGAGGCCTTTGGACTATTTTTTTAGTTGGGTTGTTAGTTTTCTTATTGTTGAGTTTTAAGTTTTCGTTGTGTATTTTAGATAACCATTCTTTATCAGATGTTTCTTTTGCAAACATTTTCTCCCAGTCTGTGGCTTGTCTTCTAATTCTCTTGACAATCTTTTTCCCAGAGCAGAAGTTTTAAATCTTAATGAAAGAATCTATTAAATTTCTAAAAATGAGTTAGTTAAAATCCATAGGTAAAGTGTTTACAAAATTTCTTTCAGCATATGTTATTCAATAAGGTAGTTAAAATTTATTTATGAAATTGTGTCATGAAATGTTTATTCCACTTTGAAGTCAATTGTAGTGACTTGTTAGCAGGGAGCCGGCCTGCCTCAGGAAGGAATGATCTCTAACCATTTTTATACTCAGTAGCACTGTATTCAAGATTCATTTTCCAGGGAGGGAGATTCTGATCGGCTTATTTGGATCTTGTTCTAACCATTGGTCAAGGAAGGATGTTTCACCTTGATTGATAGATTCAGACTATATCCAGTGGAGATAAAGTAAAATTGAGGTATGGTTAGAGAAAAAAGAAATGATTAATGAACAAGCATAAATCCCAGATATCCATCAGAGATCACCAAAAGGTTTCCCACATCAAGCATCCAAGTTACTCAGCATCCTCAGATCCATAACAGGATGCAGGAAGTGGAAGGTCACAACTCAAGTCATAAAATCACATAGCTATTGAACTTTAGGGTGAAGGAACAAGCACACACACAAAGACCCTTTTGTTATTTACAGAGTGTCTACAACCAAAGCAAAATCCATTTACAGTAAGCACTTCTTTGGAGTTGCAAAGGAGGGCTGGCCTAAAATCTTGCAGAATGTAAAGATAGTAAATTATGGGAATTAATTTTAAAAGATCCATGTTATGTAACCTGCTATATATCATCCATATCGTCTTTAATTCACATGTGACATTTTATAGTTTTATTAACTGGCCTCCTAACTTAGAGAAGTGTTGGCAGTTGTTTAACGAGTAAATCTCTGCTGTTCCTGTGTATGTTGCTCCGAGTTACCCTGTGAGAAACCACTATTGTGAAGCACTGCCTGCCCCTTAAGTATCTTTCTGCTGCTCACAGTATCATAATATGCATGCTGTTCTGCATGCCCTGGGCTCTCTCTCCTTGGGTATCAGTCACTCAAGAGGACAGCAGCCCATTTTTTTAAATGTATTTATTTTACTGAGTATAGTTGTTGACACATAATGTTACATTAGCTTCAGGTATACACCAACTATTTAATAATATATTTTCTCTGTGGTTTTCTTCCCAGTACCCTCTGAAGCAAATTTCTCATATGCCACATACTTTGTATTTCAAGTCAAATTGTCCCAAGCATCAAACTAGGTAAAAACAACCAACCAACCAAACAACAACAAAACAAAAACCTAGGATGATACAATACATATAGAACTTGATCTTAAGTAGATTCGCACACACACACAGTCAGTCCTCCAAAGCCCTAATTTGCAAAATGTATCTTCCTGAATATTCCTACAGTGGTAATTCTGGAATGTAACCTCTGAAACTGGAAAGGAAGTTTGTTTTAATCCCATTTGAACAGTGGCCCCTTAAAGCACATCCCAGCAGGGATATGACCAGGACAACAGAGGACATAATAAGAGTCCTGACGGGTAGGAAACAACCACTTGGGTGGCCAGATCTCGTCTTCTGTAACTGCCTGTGCTCCTCCACCTCTGGGAATTTACTAGAAGCCATTCATGTAGTGACTTCCCCATTGCCTGCTGTTGCGTTGTGCGTTCAGAATGTGATTCTTTTACAGGAGGACGGACGGTATGAGGGCCCAACTTTGGCTCATGCTGTGGAGTTGTTTGGTGGCCGGCGATGGAGTACACGCAATCCCAGCCCTGGAACATCTGCAAAGAGTGCTGAGAAGCCCAGTGTGCAGAGAAACAACACCTTGGGCATAAGCACCACCAAGAAAAAGAAGAAAATCCTTATAAGGGTAGAGTGTTATTTATTACACATCAGACCCAGTCATCCAGGACTGTCTTATGGTCCACATCAGCAGAAACTACTTAGCACATTTGGGTTGGGGGCAAGATGAAACAAGTGAAATTCAAGTCCTACCAAGCACCTCCTGGCGCCTGGACCAATTAGGAATTATGTCAACACCTGGAAAAGTCAGGGGCCAAAAACAGTGAGGACTCAGTAAGAAACATTGTGAAGCCATCCACAAAGTGCCGTGAGAGCAGACATGAGGAAGATCCAGGGCTAGGATTCAGGCAGAAGAGGAAACTTCCCAGGGAATTGGACAGATGGGTCTTGAAGGATGTATAGGATTTATCAGACAGACAACAAAGGGGAAAAGCATTTCTGGCAGAGGAGGCAGCAGGGAGGCACGAAAGACTTGGCTTGTTCAAGGAAGCACATGTAGTTCTGGGTTCATGCTCCAAGCTGGAGTACAGGCTCTGTGGTGGGCAAGCAAAGGCTAAGAAGACCAGAGATCCAGTTTAGAAGGTCTTAGAGAGCCAAAATGCTGAACGTAGAATGTAACTGAAAATATATTATCAGGAGAAACAACCTAAATGTCCATCCACAAATGAAAGACGAAGAAAAGGTGATGTATACATATAATGGAATAGTGTCCAGCCTTTAGAAAGAAGGAAATCCTGTCATGCTACAATGTGGGTGAACCTTGAGGACATTACCCTGAGTGAAATAATCCAGTCACAAAAGGACAAATGCAGCATGAGTCCACTCATATGGGGCACCTACAGTGGTCAAACTCTTAGAAAACAGAAAGTAGGATGGTGGTTGCCAGGGACTGAGGGGAGAGGCATAGGGGAAGTCGCTTTTCCTTGTGTATAAAGAGTTTCAGTTTTCTAAGAGGAAAAAGTTCTAGAAATTGATTGCACAGCAAGGCACATAGAGTTAGCACTATTCTTCTTTATGCCGTAAAATGGTTAAGGTGGTAGACTTTCTGGTTTTTACCACAGCAGAAAATATTTGGTTAGTTACCACTATATATTCTATATTACACGATATATAGATTATCACTATAGTGCGATAATGTATTTTCTCCATGGTTATCTAGAAAAAGTCCCGTGCTTTATGTATGGGAGACTATTGATGCCTCAGCCAAGCTTAGTCTGCTTCATACTTTGGTCTCTATGCAGAGATGCCAGGGGTGTTGTGCCTGCTCTTGTCAGCCCCCTTGCCTCGGCATGCTGCTATACAGGGAAGAACAAGTGAGAGAGGGTAGTGTGAGGCCACTGGGCCAGCCTTCACACAGAGCTCTATGCTGGTTTAGAATGGATCATGTTAAAGGTGGGGCAGTCAGAAGGGGACCAACCTGAGCGGCAGCAGGGCCCTGAGGAAGAGAAACCCAGATCAAGGGGAATTGGTATGTGTATGTTCCCAGGGTGAGAGTGGAGAGGCAGCCGACGATGAGATGGCCACCCGGAAGGCCAAAATGCACAGGGAGTGTCGCAGCCGGAGTGGTTCTGACCCACAAGACATGAATGAGCAAGAAGAATCTGGTAAAGCTTCATACTAACACCTGAGATTTTTTATTACTATTATTATTTTATAGGGAAAATATGCATTTGGTTTTGAATTATGATTTAAGTATTATGGACATTCTTTTTTTTAATGTTTTCTTTTTTTTAAGACTTTATTTATTTATTCATGAGAGAGAGAGAGAGAGAAAGGCAGAGACACAGGCAAAGGGAAAAGCAGACTCCATAGAGGGAGCCTGATGTGGGACTTGATCCCGGGTCTCCACGATCATACCCCGGGCTGAAGGCAGCGCTAAACTGCTGGGCCACTGGGGCTGCCCCCCCCCCCGCCTTTTTTAAAGATTTTATGTGTTAGAGAAAGAGAGTGCATGAGCAGCGGGGAGAGGCAGAAGGAGAGGGAAAAGCAGACTCTCTGCTGAGCAGGGAGCCCAATGCAGGGCTCAATCCCAGGACCCTGGGATCATGATCTGAGCTGAAGGCAGACACCCAACTGACTGAGCCACCCAGGTGCCCCATATTGTGGACATTCTTAACAAAAATCTTTGTCTTGTTAAATATACTTATCTTTGGGGATCCCTGGGTGGCGCAGCGGTTTGGCGCCTGCCTTTGGCCCAGGGCGCGATCCTGGAGACCCGGGATCAAATCCCATGTCGGGTTCCCGGTGCATGGAGCCTGCTTCTCCCTCTGCCTGTGTCTCTGCCTCTCTCTCTGTGTGTGTGACTATCATAAATTTAAAAAAAATTTTTTTAAATATACTTATCTTTGTATTTAACTAGATAGTGGTACCCAAGAGGTACTTCTTCTGCAAGCTCAGCATACTTGGAAGAAAATACTCATTAATTAACTTGGCCTTATGGACAGGGGATGTGAGATATACAAAATACAATGTGGTAGATTAGATTAGATCAGTGATTCTCAACCACGGCTGAGATTATTTTTTTAAAAATATCTGGATGCCCTGGCTGCACCCCAGCCCAACTCTCACCCCAGAGTCCAACACTCTGGCTGGGACCTGAATATCTCTATGTATTTAAGCTCCTGAGATGATTCTAATGTACAACCAAGGTTGAGAACTCACAAGTCCACTCATCAGAACATCTTGATACTTCACATTATAGAAATTGCCTGCATAGACTTATTTGCTAAGACATTCAGAAGCAGCTTTTGTTTTTCTTTGATTACTAGAGAAAGGGTAAGCTGATGTCATTGTCTGGTTTCTTTGTTTCTCTCTCACAGAGGCAAATGCCATCATGAGCCCTCCTAACACTCTGCCTTCCAGAAGAGCCCACTCTTTGACTACAGCTGGGTCCCCTAATTTGTCTGCCGGGACATCATCTCCCATCAGGCCAGTGTCCTCCCCTGTGCTGTCTTCTTCAAACAAGAGCCCGTCCAGGTGGGGCCTTAACATGATAAAACAGAAGGACCCTTACATCATTCAAGTTGTGTAGAAGGGCATCTTCCAGTGCTCTGTGGAAAGACTATCTCTGATTTTAACTTAAAAATTACATTGAAAACTGAAAAACCCCAAATTTTTAAATGCTTCTAATTTTCCCAATTTTACCCTCTTATCTTCTTGCATTACTGTAATCTCTCCTAATAATTTAACAGACCAGTCATTCAGAGGTCAATAGGACTAACCAAAACCCAAGCTATGATTTTCTAAAGCTGCCTTGTCGAATGTAGTAGCCATTGGCCACAGGGGGACAAAGAAGATGGCTATTTAAATTCAATTTTAAATGCATTAAATAAAATTTAAAATTCAGTTCCTCAGTCATACTATGCATATTAAAAGTGTTTTATAGCTACAAGTGGTCTGCGGCTACTATATTGCACAGTGCAGATATAGAGCACTTCTATCATTGCAAAAAATTCTATTAGCACTGCTCTAATGAGGAATAAATTAAGTTTTAACATAAGCTACTTTACCTTTTGCTGTTAGGTGAAATATATTTAAAACTCTTCTTGTATATAAGACAAGATACAAATGACTGGGGAAACAAATGTATTAGAGCAACTTGGGTATATTAAGGTAATTCTAAAGCTGGTATTATAGTAAATTACTTTATAAAGTCCATGCAAATTACAGATTTGAGACATCTACCCTCTCAGAAGAAATAATATTAAGGTGAAAGCCTTCCAAAGGATTTAGAATGCTACACCATCTCCCTCAACCCCCAAAAAAGTTTAGAAATGCAGAGGTTCCAGACAGAACCAAGATAAAACAGTCACTCTTTACTTTATCAAACAGAGGAGTGGTAGGAAGAAATGGGTCTGTGCAGTCACTGGCTTTGGAAACGTTAATTACACACTCCTGTCTGTGTGTGTGTGTGTGTGTGTGTGTGTGTCTGTGCCACCATGTGTGCGAGGCACAGACACACAACACACATAATCTTTCTCTCTCTCTCTCTCTCTCTCTCTCTCTCTTTCCCTCCCTCAAGGAAGTTTGCTACTGATAAGAATCCTACAGTAAATCATCTTTTAAAAGGAAGCATCATTCACAATGTGAATAATGAACATAAATAATGCTTTATACATTTAGATTTCTATGCTTGGTGAAACTGGGTCAGAGGTACATGGGAATTCTTTATACCACTCTTGCAGCTTTTCTGCAAGTTTAGGTTTGTGACCAAATTGAAAGCTACAAAGAATCAGAATTCTTTTTATTTCAGCCTACACAATATCCTGGGTAAATAATAAAATAGCCAGAGAACCTGGATAAAGTGGCTTTTCCTTTATTTCTATCACTCATGAGTGGAAAAGAGAAGGACAGAATAAGGGAGGAAAGTCTTTTCAAAGAGATCATGCCAGATTCAGGGTCACAAGGCTCACCCACCTGAGGACAGGGGTCCATGCCCACCAAGTAAGCTAAACCCAAAAGATAAGGCAAGGAAAGAAGAATTAGCCCAAATGCTATTCGAGGAGAAAGCAAGCCTGAGACCTAGAAGGGGAGAGAGTGGACAGAGTTTCCTAAAGCCTAAGGGAGAAGGGTACCTGTGGACAGTGGCTGACCTGGAACCAGAAGGGAGGAAGACAGAGAATGTACTCCCTTAAATGCAAATGATAAGCCACTTTACCAGATGTTTTCCCTCTTCCTGAACCTCCACCCTCTGTTTCCAACACCACTTTGGGGATCAACAGCCCATGCCCACAAACAACTACCAGTCTATCCTTTGTAATTCTCTTCCATGCACAGAGGTGACTTTCAGATATCAACACAAAATAATTTTCCATGAATAAACACTACTAGCAGATTGAGGATAAACTGGCTATTCATTAAAATATTCTCTATGCTTTCTTCTGTTTGAAATATTTCAGAAGTAAAAAAAATAAAGCACAAAAAAACAAAAATAAAAAAAGAAAGACCCTATTTATTGATTTGACTAAAAACCAATCAAAATATTTCTTATACTATCCTCTCAGAGAACCAGTATAGAAAATAAAAATGTTGTGAAACAGCTAGCCTGAGCTTTTGACCAAGTGGGCTGATATTTTTATATTAAATATACAGCCTTGGCAGGTGCAGATATACTCTAGGCAGAATTGGCTGCTTTCCATTCTTAATTATTTTTGTGACTCACATTTTCCATTAGTATTAAAAGTCCTTCCTTGTTTTCATCTAATAACTGGTTAAGAAAGGAAAAAGAGAAGACATTGATATGTTCAGGACTTTCTTTTTAAATGTGTTTATGTAATTTAGGATATAGGGAAGAATGTGCAAAATTTTCCATAAGTTATGCTCGAGTACTTTGGGGCACTTTTGAAAAAAAATGACTTTTCTTCAGAAACATTGAACTTAAGGTTTTTCCCTCCATTGACCTGTGATTTCAAAGAACTGTTTTGATTAGTAAAAGGATATTTTAGCTTTGTGGCCTTATTACATAGGCTGTAAACATGAAGTGGTTTCACTGTGTAATATGTCTTATTTACTCTGACACAACATAGATTAATTTGGAGAGAAATGAAAAGAGAGCCTGAAAAAAGCCTCAATCTTAAATGACTTGCTATCCATCTTTTTTGCTCATAGTGCTCCTCAGAGGGCATCTGCTGGGGCAGAATGACACCACTAGCTTTGGCTTGCCTGTTAAGGCCTTGTCTTTGTTGCAGTGCTTGGAGCAGCAGCAGCTGGCATGGAAGGATCAAAGGAGGAATGAAGGGTTTTCAGAGCTTCATGGTTTCAGACAGTAACATGAGTTTTGTTGAATTTGTTGAGCTGTTCAAATCATTCAGGTATGGCATGCTTTCTTCGTACCCTTTCGCAGCCCCCGTTTTTGTAACAATACCAAACCTGAGTGTTTTCTATTCCCTGCCCAGTGTGAGGAGCCGCAAGGACCTGAAGGATCTCTTTGACATCTACGCCGTGCCCTGCAATCGGGCCGGCTCTGAGTCGGCCCCGCTCTACACCAACCTAACAATAGACGAAAACACCAGTGATCTTCAGCCTGACCTAGGTTTATGCAACAATTTAATATTTCCTCTTGAGACCTTTCAGTTATAATCTGAGGATTATTTCAAGTTGTCTTAGGGATGGGTACTATTGGTATCGTAGGTGAGGAAATTCATCATTGTGGACCTTACCCTACACACACACACACACACACACGCATTTGTCCTATTATTAATATCTTGCAGTATTAGCCTGGTATATTTGTGACAGTTGAACTGATATATTGATTATAACTGAAATCCATAGTTTAGCATTCACTGTTTGTGTTGTACATGCTATGGGTTTTGACAAAAATATAATGACCTGTATCTACCATTACAGTGTCATACGGAATAGTGTTGATCTCTTAAAAACTCCCCTATTCTCTGCCTTTTAATTCTTCCCACCTTCACTGTGAATCCCTTTTTATCATCTCCCTAGTCTGTTTGTTTTTTTTCCAGAATGTTGTATAGTTGGAATCATACAGTTTGTATGTAGTCTTCAGATTGGCTTCTTTCTCTTAGCGATATATATTTAATGTTCCCTTATGTTTTTTTCATGGTTTGATAGCTCATTTCTTTTTATCACTGAAAAATACTCCATCACATTGATGTATCACCATTTGTTTATCCATCCACCTTTTGAAGAACATCTCAGTTCCTTCCAAGTTTTAGCAGTTATGGATAAAGCTGCTATAAATATTTGTGTGCAAGTTTTGTGTGGACATAAGTTTTCAGCTCCTTTAGGTAAACACCTGGGAAGGCAATTACTGGATCATATGAGTAAGCCTATCTTTAGCCCTGTAGGAAACTGCCAACTTCTCTTCCAAAGTGGCAAGAATTAAAATGGCCGTACCAAAGTTCATGCCAATGTGGGACACCTGAAGCATCACTGGTGGAAAGATAAAATGGTACAGCCACCATGGAAGAGCTTGGCAGTTTCTTACAAAATTTAATATACTCTTATCATACAATCCAACAATTATATGCCTTGATATTTACCCAAATAAGGTGAAAATTTATTTTCACACCGAAAACTGCACACAAATGTTTATGATTATAATTTTGAAGTATAAAACAACTATAATTTTAAGAGTACATCTTCATTGTCTTTAAAAGTAAACATGTAGTTATTCTCAAAAACCAAAGTTCAAATTCAGCCTGAAGTCCCCAACTAAATGTACAGTTAGCTCTCATTTAATACCCTGAGCTCATGGGCTTTCATCATCATTGACCTAGTTCTCTCTTGTTTCTTTAATTCATTGATTCATATTTTTTTTTATTCCTTTAACTATGTGAAGCCAGGAATAAGCACTGAGTTTAATGGCTGGTTTAGATCAGTGTTGAGACTAATCCACAACACCATTATCTCCAAATGAACTTTGTGAAAGACTCTGGCTAACTTGTCCACATTCTGTGGGTGGTTGTGTTTCAGATTTATTGACCAGAAACGTCTCGGATTTGGGGTTGTTCATTAAGAGTAAACAGCAGCTGTCAGACAACCAGAGGCAGATTTCTGATGCCATTGCTGCTGCAAGTATTGTGACGAATGGCACTGGGGTCGAGAGCACATCTTTGGGCATCTTTGGGGTTGGCATACTCCAGCTCAATGACTTCCTAGTCAACTGCCAGGGAGAACACTGCACTTATGATGAAATCCTCAGCATCATCCAGGTTTGTACCCATTTTATATGCACGTATGTAGAAAGCCTCTGATTATTCTAATTGTTTTCTGCTAGACATATTGTTTCTATACTTCTTTCCAAAGCATTTAAGCCTGGGACAGAAACAGAAGGATTTTATTTAATGCCAAGTATATGCATTCTTATCCAACATACAATTAACAGAGATCACAAGCCTTCTCCTAGTGACTATGATAAGGAATCAGTACATGATTCTTTCTTGTTGTTCTAGCACAGGTAATAAAATTAGTAGTCTAGATTTCCAGCCTCTTTGATCATTTAGCAAATATTTGTTAGCTCCTACTAGGATCCTGGCTCTGTTCCAGGACCTGGAAATATAGTAGTAAATAAGATTACCTTCTAATCTTTACCTAGGGGGTAAGGCAGACAATAAGCAAATAAAGATAGAATGTGATTTCAGGTATTGATAGATTCTGAAAAAAAAAAATCAAGCAGAGTAAGGGGACTTAGTGATGTGGGAGGCTGAGAGGAGGAAGCACAGGCCACGCTGAGGAGGTGACAGTGGAACTGGGCCCTAAATTAGTAAACCACATGAAGGTCTGAGGAAAGAACATTCCAGACAGGGAGTAGGGAGCTCTAAGACTGAGGTGGGAGTGAGACAACAAAAAAGCTGGTGTTATAGGAGCCCCATAAGCCAGAGGTGCAGTGGTAGACATGATTCCAGACAGATGGGCAGGTGCCGAATCATCTGGGTATTCTGGGCCATGGTAAGGAGTTTGGCTTTAGTCCATTGGACATGGGAAGCTATTGGAAACTTTTGAGCAGGGGAATAACAGGATCTCACTTATGTATTCAAGAGGTCACTCTGGCCCCACTGGGAAGTGAACTGTGCTGATGATGGAGTGGAACCAGAGAGACCAAGTGGGAAGCTGTTCCAGTAGCCAGGCAAGATATGATGACGATGGCTTCCACTAGAGGGTGGCAGGAAATGGGCTGGGATGCTCGTTAGGGCTACACCACGTGGAGCAGAATCAGTCTAGGTTTCCAACCTCCCTTGTTGACCGATTGGGAATCCATGGATTCACTGCCTGGCAGCTGATCGCTGGAAATGCCAACAATGTACGATTATGATTCTACAGTCAGGTGCTCACTCTACTATTATTGAGTATGAGCACTGCACTAAGTACTCTCTATGAATCATCTCATTTTGCCTTTCACCAACTCTGTCGTGGCTGCTTATCCCCATGTTCACCTGGAATACGCTGATAACCATTTGTTTTCATATGAATCAGCCTTCTCCTTTTCCTTCGCTCTCCCTTTTTCTCTTAAATAAATATGCTTTGTATAATAAACGCACATATAATAAATGTTTTCTTTGGGACTAAAACACTACGTCTTACCACTACATAACTAAATTAGTTCAAATATTTGGTTTAGATGTTTCCTGATGAAAACAGAACAGCTTTAAAAAATGACGTGGTGGGTTTTTTTCCCCCTTGGTTTCCTTTACCTAAATAATACTCTTTTTGTGTCCCTTGCAGAAGTTTGAGCCTAGCATTAGTATGTGTCATCAGGGCCTACTGTCCTTTGAAGGATTTGCAAGGTAACTTTTAAAATATCTTTTGCCCATCATTTAAGAGCATGTTTTCCCCCTGCAGTCCTAAGAAAATGTGTTTCCTCTAGGTTTCTGATGGATAAAGATAATTTTGCCTCCAAAAATGATGAGTCACAGGAGAACATTAAAGATTTGCAACTGCCTCTCTCCTACTATTACATTGAGTCTTCACACAATACCTACCTCACAGGCCACCAGCTCAAAGGAGAGTCATCGGTAGAACTCTATAGCCAGGTACAGAACATCGTGTGGCATGTGATTTACACTAAAGCTTATTGATGTAACCCCCAAAGTCAAAAAACCCAGACCCCCTAACTCCTTCGAAGAACATACAAACTATTACGTCTGAAATGTGACAAAACATAATGTGTGGGAAAACTGCCTACACATACAGTTGTTTTCTTTCTCCCTCCTATACTTAACCTTTATTCTAGGCACCAAAAAAAAAAAAAAAAAAAAGTATTTGTTTGAGACTCAGCTTTTAAATCCTTCCTAGTCTGACCTACTCCGACTAAAGTTAGATTTTCCCATGGGAAAATTAATCATTTCACTAAATGCTAAATAAATCAATATAGTGGGAAAGCATAATAGAAAATGTAACTTTCTATGAAGTTACTCCCAAAGTATTGTTTATTTTCATTTGCAATTTGTTAGACAGTCAGTCCTTCCCTATGGTAACTCACTTAAGGAACAAAAATCTACAAAGACAGTAGACATTGTCCCCACACAGTTAAATTCATGGGAATGTCCTTGGAAACTCGTAAGGGTCTTTGGACTAGAAAAAGCACATCCTTGTGACCTAAACACCAACGCTCCATGATCTGCCTGTCCGTTGCCTCTGTTTTATTTTCTGTAACTTTCTCATCTACGCTGCCTGTTTTCTGACCTCCTACAAGAAGACGTAATCAGGAAGAAGGTAGGCTAGGCCCAAAGAATATAAGAATGGGGTTGTAAGGGGTGACGCAGGAGGGTCTTCAAGGATGAGAATTATCATTGTTTATGCAAACCAGCAGAGCTGAGTTTCCTTTGTTCTCTGGATCAGCCCAGATATTCCTCAAGTATGGGTCAAATTTCTGCCCAAAGCTTATCTAATATGGAATTTATATTTTAAACTCTAAATTCTAAAGGACTTTTTTTTTAAAGATTGATTGATTGATTGATTGATTGATTCATGAGACACAGAGAAAGAGGCAGAGACACAGGCAGAGGGAGAAGCAGGCTTCTCGCAGGGAGCCTGATGCAGGACTTGATCCCAGGACCCCAGGATCACAATCTGAGCTGAAGGCAAATGCTCAACCAGTGAGCCACCCAGGTGCCCCTACAGGACTTTTATTATGAGATGGAGATGTGTCCTTAAAGTAGTGATTTTCAAAATAGAAGTTCTCTCAAGGGACCTCAGCTATGGACAATGAGAGGAACAAGCAGCAGAGAGGACGGCCCCATCCTCTGCCCCTGCTGTAGCTAAAGTCCTATTCTTCTGTGCTTTATATATGACCCTCCATTTGCACAGAGGATTCCAAGGCTAAAAGGGGGTTTGAAATCCACTGTTCTAATTCTAGGCCAAAGAAATGCAGTGTATGTGGTGGGTCTGTATATATTTCTCCCAGGAAAGTGAGCAGGGGCCAATGTCCTAGCTTTAATTTCTATCTTACTTCCCTGTTTGACTTCCAAGAGGTTTTTTTACCTCTTTAATATGACACTCCAAATAGAGATTGTCACAGCCTTTGAATGAGGCACAAGAACCCCTCAAATGGAGGGGTGGTTAAATCCAGTGTGAAGATCCCTTGTACTATGTTACTTACCACTCCATTTTTATTTATTGATTGATTTTAATTTGTGTTTTTAAGTATCTTATTTATTTATTTGTTTGTTTATTTAAGAGAGAGAGAGAGCACAAGTGGGATGAGAGGCAGAGGGAGAAGCAGACTTCCTGCTGAGCAGGGACCCCCCCCCCAGATGTGGGGCCACCCAGATGCCCCTATTTCTTACCACTCTCTGCTTTCCCTCAGCCCTCCTAGTCACCTCCTCACCTCACTCCACAGGACAGATCGGAAGTGAGAAAAAACCCTGTTCTCCCTGAAATTTCCAGCCCTGGTTTTCTTTTTCTAGCTTTCTGTGGAGGTCTTAATGTCATGAAGACTTTGGAAAGACCTTTAGTCTTTTCATGCTGAAAAACCATCTCATGTGCACCAGTCAGTGAGCGTTCCTTGGTGTGGCTTACTACAGAGATGAGGCATCCTCATGCTCTGTTGTCATACGACACAACAATTCTCAGCCCAGAGCAATATACCTCTAGATACTTTAGCTGCTAGAGGAAGCTGATAGCCTTGGGAGTTCAGGCCACAGAATCAGTTCCATCTGGGAGATGGGTCAGGTCACCTGGGAAGACTGGGTGCCACATGCTATGCAATGGGAAGAATCTAGCAAAGGAGTTCATAAAAAATACTGAAATAAGGGATTCTACTGTCTGAGTTCTGTTGCAGAACTCTAGTGGCTCCTCGCCCACAGTATTGGATTGCTGTCACATGGAAATAGTTATATGGAGTTTTTTTTTAATTTTTTAAAAGATTTTATTTATTCATAAGAGATACAGAGAGAGAGAGAGTGAGAGGCAGAGACAGGCAGTGAGAGAAACAGGCTCCATGCAGGGAGCCCAACATGGGACTCGATTCCCAGGTCTCCAGGATCACACCCTGGGCTGAAGGCAGGCGCTTAACCACTGAGCCACCCAGGGATCCCTGTTATATGGAGTTTTAAATCAGTGAGTTGGCCCTTCACAGATATATGTGCCTTTTGGTTTGCTTTACCCTTCCAATACACTAGAAATCTTTTAAGATAGTTCACAGAGTCTATGGAAGAAGAGGTTCCTGCAAGCAAATATTATAGACCTACAACCCAAGCACACGAGTCAGGAGCTCTGCTTCCAGCTCTCCATCCAGGATAGCAAATAGGTATTATCTCATCTAATTCAGCAGTGGTGCTTCCTGGAGCACTTTCCTAAAGAGGCTGTTAAGTAACATATGAAAGCTTAGGAGGTACATATATTGTGATTGATTACTGATGACTGCTGTGGATATGGGAGAGGGGAGTTTATGGATTATTTGCCTCTGTTATCAGATTAGACAGCAAGACAAATCCTTGATGACTGGCTTGCTTCTACTCTTCTTCTACACTATATGTTCATAGTAAAGGCATTAACTTAGTGGCAGAATTGGGGTCTAAATAGAGGAGATTTTATTCTGATTGGATTCATAAAAATGTTTAGCCAATTGGCTTCATTTGCTTTGGTCTGCATCATCAGTCCCTTCACCTCCTCTCTATTTGCCCAGCTAGAGTGCTAGCCCAGCTCCCTCATTTCAGGATGTACCATGTGTAGGCCCCTTGAGGGACCAAAGTTCCTGGGGAAATAGTCATACAGTTTTGCTATCAAATTTTACCTTCCAATAGTATTCAGCTCTGGTAAACATTCTTTCCACCACAATCTGTTCTCTCCCCTAATTCACTGTGGCCTTTGGCCAAAATGCAGGATTTATTTTAGATCATCTGCCCTTCTGTTTTAGCCCTGAATCCGAACACTGATATGTAGAAGCATGTGTTGGGTTTAATTTGAGGCTCTGTGTCCATTTGCTCATCTGAGGTGGATCCATTCATTGATCACACAGGTCCTCCTGCAAGGCTGTAGAAGTGTAGAGTTGGACTGCTGGGATGGAGATGACGGGATGCCCATCATCTATCACGGACACACACTAACAACCAAGATCCCCTTCAAGGTAATGCTTCGTAACGTTCCTTAAATCAGAGCACAGTCATTATCTTCATTAGTCTTTTAAATGAGTGGCTTTTCCAAATTATACCTGAGGTTGGGGTTCTGATATTGAGTCTGTGGACTTCCCAAAATTGTGTGGGATGTGCACACGTTCATTTTTCTGGGAGTTGATATAGAACTCTCATTAGACTCTCATTTAACCAGAGTTTAATAACCATTACCTTAAATGAGTTATCTTATAATAACATTGTTGCAATTTTTACATCATAAGATGATATATAAAATGTAGGGGCTTTTTTCTTCTTATAGGAATTAAAAGTCATTTATCCTGGTGTCCCGCTGATAAAGATGAACATCATGTGTTAGGAGATGCTTAAATAATTAATATTATACAGTAATGAGAATTAGTTCCACCTGAGGAGGTCAGTCACCTAGGAAGACTAGTCTCACTGAATTATTGTTTCAAATTCTTTTTTTTTTTTTAAGATTTTATTTAGGGCATCCCTGGGTGGCTCAGTGGTTTAGTGCCTGCCTTCAGCCCAGGGCGTGATCCTGGAGTCCTGGGATCGAGTCCTACATCAGGCTCCCTGCATGGAGCCTGCTTCTCTCTCTACCTGTGTCTCTGCCTCCCTCTCTCTCTCTCTCTCTCTCTCTCTGTCTCTAATAAATAAATAAAATCTTTTAAAAAATAAAGATTTTATTTATTTATTCATGAGAGACACAGAGAGAGAGAGGCAGAGACACAGACAAAGGGAGAAACAGACTCCTCACGGGGAGCCCGATGTAGGACTCGATCCCGAGACCCCAGGATCACCACCTGAACCAAAGGCAGATGCTCAACCACTGAGCCACCCAGGCATCCCTTGTTTCAAATTATAAATAGTTTATTAGTTCATTTGCGATTACTATCCTCTTTCAGAATGATTTTAGCTGTGTAAAATCATTCTTCTCTAAACTGAGGCTGAGCTGGGATGGAATGCTATTTTTTCTGTCTTAGATGCTGAGGAAAACAGCTAAAATGCATTTTCTCTTTAGCTCTTTAAGAGCTCTTTAGCATTTTCCTATTCATCTCTCTTAAAACTTTTGTACTCAGTATTGAAGAGGGGAGATTTAATAACTGTGTTTACATGCACACATAAATATATGTATATATGTCTTATTGCCCCAAATAGATTGATTATAAATTCCTTGAAAGTAGGAAAGTATCTTAAGCCTCATTATTTTTGATGCTGTAACAAACTGTGCCTTTTACCTAAAATGTAATCAATATACATATTGACTTGTTAAATTTGGCACACTAACAACTGTTCCTTATAAAGTATGTGAACAAAACTCAATATGAACAGTTTAACATGTTTCTAGAAACAGCCTGTCATCTTACTTAATTTGAAAATACATTTTAAAAGATAAAAACCATTTTGGCGGGCAGCCCCAGTGGCGAGCGGTTTAGCACTGCCTGCAGCCCGGGGTGTAATCCTGGAGACCGGGGATCGAGTCCCACGTCAGGCTCCCAGCATGGAGACTGCTTCTCCCTCTGCCTGTGTCTCTGCCTCTCTCTCTCTCTCTCTGAATAAATAAATAAAATAATCTTTAAAAAAACACACACACATTTTGGCCAGAATCTTCTGCATACAACAGTGTAGGTGCTTTCTGTGGCTATAAGTACCTCTTCAGATGCCCTGAACAGACATCTGGACTTTAATGAGCTGTTTGGGCTCTCGCAGGAGGTGGTTGAAGCCATCGACCGCAGTGCCTTCATCAACTCTGACCTGCCCATCATCATATCGATTGAGAACCACTGCTCGTTGCCTCAGCAACGAAAAATGGCAGAAATTTTCAAGGTAAGCTATTAGCTAAGATTTAGAATGGTATCTCGGTCTTGTCACTGTTGCTTTTACATGGAGCCACCATGGACCACATCACAGCTGAACCTCAGCCATGAAGCACCTACGTTTAGGGTCCCTCGGACCTAAGAAATAAGGGTGCCCTGAGAGCTTGGGCTTCCTCTTTCCAGCTGAAGTGATGAAGCATTGATGTATGGTCTCCTGACCATTTCCAGAAAGCCATAGGAGATAAGGAGGGACTGACTCTCCAAGGCTACAGATCTCCCTACAGATCGGGGATGCTAGGATGGCACCTGTCTGTTGTATGTGGAAAAGCGAAAAATATCTCAGAACAAATCTTGTGGCTAACTCTACAGATATGGGGATCCCAGTTGGCAAAGAGCTTAGACTGGCCAGAATAGTTGCTGTGTTAACACTTGGCCCTTCGTTATACAGGTGAACTATATATAACGCAGACAGATTTAGGGTCAAATACTCCATTATATTTCCCCCTTCTCCACTGAGTAAGGCACTTATGGAAATACGGTTCTCAAGGGGAGGGAATGGCATGGCCAAAGGGAAATGTCCCCCAATACTTATGCCAACTAAACTAATCAGCTTTGTATATTGCCTTTCTTTAGCCATCATTTAGAATAATGGTCTCAACTTTTTTGATTGTATGCTCTGTCAGTAAAATACTGTAGTATGTATTCTTAGCGTATGTTTATTGACTTATTCATGCATTATATATATATCCTACTTATTAACATATTTTATACATTAATTAAAACATGCAAAAACAGATGATGAAAGGAAATAACATAGAAAGAGTAAAGAATAATTCTTATACTATTATTTATTAATGGTACAAAATTCCTTTTGCTCTCACAAAACATTTTAACAGTAAATTTATTATTTATTACCTAAGTTTTTAGTGGGAGTGATGTGATTAAATATGTTCATTTTTGGAAATTTTTATGAATTGGCAACTTGTATGTCTGGCTTTAGGTTTAGTTTAGTATATCAGTATTTGATTTGAACAGCTATCGTAGCCACTAAAGATACCTTGCAGAGAAACATGGATGTGAATGGAAAGGATTTATCATTAGCTGCTCTTGCCAAATCATGGTACTCATTTCCCAATTCCATTAATGAGGTAAAAATAGGTGAAACACTATTAAGCTTCCATTTTTTTAAATTAAAAAATAACTAAAGATAGAAATTGCCATATTTTCTATCTTTACCCAATGGATCGTCTTGTGCCTACTCCCACGACCCACCTCTTTGAGGGATACACATTCCCCTTTGGAGGCCAGTGTTCAAAAAATCTTTGTGAGAAGGGTATGTGCAGTTTTTTATACTAAATGGTGGCAAATTCTCTTCATAATCTTTCATTTTTGTCACCACTCCTTAGCTACTTCAAGGTTTCTATCTTTTTGACTTCTCCACACCTGGAATGGATCATATTCTACGAACCACAGAATCTAAATGAATCTCCTTTTCTTCTTTAGATATCAGACCCTAGAGCATTTTTGCAAATAGTTAAAGGTGACCCCCCCCCCCCCCGCCCACGGAGAATGGCCCAGAGCACTCCTCCTGACCTTCTAACCACCTCCCTTCCCTCCAGTAAGAAAGTGTTGGCAGGGAGCAAAGACACCACTTCTTTCATACTTTCTCTTCCTAGGATTTGTAGAACAATTCAACTGAGCTGAAATAGCTAGTTGAATAATTCAAGCATGGGTAAAAGGCACTGATTATGCATTTTCCTTTATTCTTCATAGACTGTGTTTGGAGAAAAACTGGTGGCTAAATTCCTGTTTGAGAGCGATTTCTCAGATGATCCAATGCTTCCCTCACCTGACCAACTTAGGAGGAAAGTGCTTCTTAAAAATAAGAAGCTAAAAGCCCACCAGACACCAGTGGATATCTTAAAGCAAAAGGTATTCTCCTCTCATTATAAAGGCTATGGGTATGCGATGTGCCCAGAACAAAGAAATCAATGTTATTCTGACCTTTCAGATGACCTACAGGGTAATCAGTTTTTGACGATTGAGTTTCCTGGAATGATAAATTTGAGTTTTGGCTTTCCCTTTAATAGACTGATAAATATTTTCCTCCTATTCATCTAGAATTTTTATTTTATGAAGTTAATTTCTCATGTACCTCATTATTTAATTTACTCTGAGAGGAATAACATGTGACTCTTGTTTCTGGACCTGGACTTCATAGCTGTCAATCCCACAGTGGTTGCTATGTTCCCCTTTAGATAAAGCCCCCTATAGGGAGATACCCCCCCCATAGGGAGAGACCCATAAAGAGAGCACTTGGACAAGGGGCTGTGACTCCTGAAATCAGTAGTGGAACCACAATCCCAGCAGCCCTGTGGTCCCAGCATGGAAGTTGGCACAATGTTTCACTGTGGCATGTGGACTCCAGGGCACTCCCATACCCGCCTTATCCACAGAGACCACAAACCTGCTTATGTAGAGAACCTTCAGCCCAAGGATCCATGAAAAAGTTTAGGTCCAGAGCCACTGAGTTTATATGTCAGGTTTCACTTATCCCACAGAATGACAGCTGCCAAAGTTCTTTGTCTTATTTAGGGCTTTGTCTTTATTATTGGCCCTAAAACACCACTTTGATGCCATTCCAGCAGCCGGGATAGTCTAGAGCTCAATCTAGGTCATGGCCGATGGCTCTTAATTTCTGTCTATGCCATCACCTCCAAGTCTCTAGGACCTACTCCAATCCTGCTTCAGTGGCTTCCAGAGAACAGAGAAGTCACCAAAAGGATTCTGTGTGCCCAACAAATTTAGACCCTTTATACAAAGTCATTAATAAAAAATCTCAAGTCTAACTTGAGTCAAGTGTCCAGTGTCCTCTACCTAGTTGAGTCAATTTGGAACAATTATCAAATCTTCTGAAAGCCCTAGTTTGTAGAACTCACAGGTAAGGGCCTGAGCTTAAAGTCAAGTGGTATATAATATGGTACAGGAGAAAGAGCATTAGGTGCAGAGCTAAAATACCAGTTTCTAGTCTCTGGCTCTATATCACAAACCAGCCATGTCACCATGAGCCAGTCAATCTTTCTAGGCCTCCATTTCTTTCTCTGTAAAATGAGAATGCTAAGGTAACTAGCTAGCTTCATAGGACCCTTCTGACACTAACATCTCACAAAATCTTTCCCAAAGTGAATCATGGGACCCCTGTTAGAATTGCAGACCACTCTGTAAACATTTTATTGTTCCACTTCTCAGTCTCTATTTCCAGTATTTCTTGCCATTCTAGAACATTACTACTTCCCTGAGAGGTCATTAAAGAATCTTGTCGTCTGCTGGGAGTTCCCAGATTGTCCACCTCACCTGTAGTGGGACTCCAGGCTGCCCAAAGTCCAGGCTGAGTTAGGGGTTTACATTATATCAGCTAAAAAATTCAATGATTCACCAAATGCCCAATTACTTCAGATGTCCACAGGGGTGGGGAGGAAGGTGAGGTTAGAGGCTCCATTATCTTTAGACTTACCCTTCTGAACAGAAAAACTAATATTTACAGAAAGGGCCCCAAACCAATCCAGCCAGCAGATTCCTACTGATCATGTTTGTCCTAAATGGAGTGGCTTAGGATTACCATGGATCCTCTAGAACTATGGTCATTGAACTTTTCTTTGCTCAAATATCTCTTAAAATTTTTTTGAAAAACTGTATTTCTCACATGTTTTTCCCTCTTTTACACATATTTAAGTTGACATTAAAATTTTTATCACAAGTTTAGTTACAAAGGATAGATTTTCAAACATAATATTCCTTATGTATAAATATAGATAAAATAAATTATATACCAATAATAATGTACAAAACAATCATCATTGTCAAAGAAATCAGCCCAGTCAGCTAGAATATGTTTGGTCAAAAAGAGTCTGATTTTATTTTTTTTAATTCAATTAAGCATCGTATTATCATCCCTATAATGACCATATGACTTTTGAATATTAATTCTAAGATGCATGGATGGACAGACAAAAGGAAGGAAAGGAGGGAAGACAGAGAGAGACAGAGATATAGACAGGGATAGATAGACAGACAGACAAAGGCATGGAACCTTGAATTTACTTGTTGCCTGTATGAAATAAGATGCTCCCCTCAGTACTTTTTCTAGACTCTCAGGAGCTCAGCTCTGCATTCTCAAATGACCCTTTGCTACCTCGGGTAGTTTCCACCTCATCTTATGCATCACAGATTTTTTTTTCTTTTAAAGATTTTATTTATTCACGAGAGACACACAGAGACAGAGAGAGGCAGAGACACAGGCAGAGGGAGAAGCAGGCTCCATGCAGGGGGCCTGATGTGGGACTCGATCCCGGGTCTCCAGGATCACACCCTGGGCTGAACGCAGCGCTAAACTGCTGAGCCACCTGGGCTGCCCACATCACAGATTTTTTTTACTGGTAAACAAGAGTTACACTTTCGTTAAACAAGAGAATAACAATTATGACAAGAGTATGGGGAAGAGAGAACCAGCCAGCCGTGAGCTTGTTCTCAGGCAGTCCTATTTTTTAAAGAGTACACATAGAGTTTGAAAATCTTGACTCTAGAAACAGATTCCATTAAAAATATATGAAGCCACACATCCCTAGAAGTCTTAGAAGTAGCTGGAGGTACACAGTTTGAAGATCACATGTGGCTCTTGACCAAGAGTTGCAAAACTGGCTACCTTCAGGGGTCAAGCAGAAACATAAATATGAGGGGCCACCTTGGTGTATGACAGCTGGAAGCAGTCAGGACAGGAGTGGGGCACTCATGCCCTTGTAAATGAACAGCTTTAACTAAATTCTTTTTAAAACACTCCACCAGCCAAACCAGACTGGTCTGGAGGGGAAGTCAGCCATGCGGACCACCAGTTTGATCCCTCTGCTGGGTCTGCCTGTGTCCAGTTTTGGACTTCAAAGCTGCTCCAGAAATCCTGGCATCTGTTTGGATTCTAGAGACCACAAGATCTATGCTGATGGATTTTGTTAGGAAGTCATTTTAACTAAAATATTAGCATGTTTTCCCTAAGGCCTGGCCGTCCACAAAGGCTGTATCAGTAACTGACTACCTACTATGGGGTGCTGTTTCTTCTATACTTGTTTTCTTTACTCAACAACTACTGCCCACTCCTGACTGCCAGGCAGACACAGCTGTCCTGTGTATACCTCTGTGGTCTTCTAGATGTGTTGGAATGTCGTAGCTTGTTGCCTTTCCCGTTCTTTGCAGGCATTTGCAGTTACTTATGCGGCCTCCAATTCACAAATGAACATATCATGCTATTTCAGAAGTCTTCTTTATGTTGAGCCCAAATCTTCCTTCCTGTTCCTCCTACTCTTTGGCGCTAATTCTTCGCTCTGCAGCTGCACAGACCAATTCCATATCTAGAGAGCTAGCATGTGTCTCCCACCAGCTTTTCTCTTCTCCAAACTAAACATTCTTGTGTCAACTGTTTCTCACAGGATATGGCTGCTCAGACTCTTTTACTTTCCTTTAAGGATGTTTTGGATATTCTTTAATTTGTGGATATTCTTGAATTTGCCGATCTTAAGGTGTGATTTCCAGAACAAGTCAATACTCCACATAGGGTCTGATAGCACAAGGAGGGCAGCAAAGCCATCACCTCTCTTAACTTAGACTTTATGCCTTAGTTAATACAGCCTAGAACTATTCTCGCTTTTAAAATTCTTCAGCTCACATTGGGTTCATGTTGAGTTTGTGGAAAACAAAAGAGTTCAGTTATTTTCACAGGGACTGCTCTTTGCCTTGTCTCCCCACTTTTTCAAGGTTACAGTAAATTTTAACCTTTCACGGGCAGGAGCCTCACATTTATCTCTGTTAAATTTGTCCCTCTTGGTTCTGGTATACCATTCATGAAAGGTTCTTTGTGGATTTTGACTTCTGATATCCAGTGTATTTATTAGCAGTTTTTCTTATTGTGCCTTCATTCCAAGTTGCCCTTGAGCCAGATCAGCAAGCAGAGAGCCTAGCCTGTGGTCCTTCTTAGAGAACCTTCCTGGAGTTTAGGTGATTATCACTCCTGTCTAGTGCTCTCCTCTCCTGCAGCCCACATTTCTCCAGAATCTGCTTTAGCTTCTTTATTTGTAGAATAGAAGACTGAGGCCTAGCCATTTATGTGACTTTCTCAAAGCCACCCAGCTCATAGTAGCAGAGCTAGGATTCAGATTCAGGTCTTTAGGAAAGACTCTTTCAAAGGCAACATAGAAGTCAGAATACAGAGATTTCCGGGTGGCTCAGTCAGTTAAGCATCCAACTGTTGGTTTCAGCTCAGGTCATGATCTCAGTGTCATGAGATTTAGCTGCACATTGGACTCCGTGCTCAGCATGGAGTCTGCTTGTCCTTCTCTCCCTGCTCCTCCCCCCACTCACACATACTCTCTCTCTCTGTCTCTAAAATTAATAAAATCTTAAAAAAAAAGAAGTCAGAATGCATTGATAATCACTGGAACACTATTAAAAACATAGATTCTTAGGTCCCATATCTGCCCAACTAAATCAGAATTTCCACAAGGAAAGCTGGGTAATCTGTTTGTTTTAAAAGAATTCTTATCACCCTGGAAGTTTGGAAATACTACTTATCTGTTATTTCCCACAAAGTGAGTTACCTTATCCAAAAAGTCTAAAGAGTTTAGTGTTCTGGAGATGCATTATTAGTAAGCCCATACTAACTCTTGCTAATCACCTCTTTATTTTCCGTGTTCTCACACCAATTAATTAATAACCCATTCTGAAACTTTGTCAGGTATCACCTTGATGCTCCCCACTATATAATTTTCACAATTTAGCTCTTCCTCTTTTTGGAAAAATGGGACAGTATAATCCCACTTCTAGTTTTTAAAACCACTTCCAGCCTCCCATACCAACAATCACACCTGCAAGGTCTTTCAGTCATCTGGCAGATTGTGGCTTTAGATCTGGTGATCTGAGCTCACACAAGCTGGGTGAGTGAATGCCTAAAGCTCCTATGTTCAGACCCAACCCCTCACCTACCTGGGTCATTGCCATACCAGGAACTCACCCTCAGCAAGGGTGGGTTGCCTCAGAGCCAGGGGGATTTCTGAAGCCTTCCATCTGCCTCAGACTCATGCTGAGGCTCTTACTGAGTCTCCCTAACTACACCACATCAGATCTCTAGTTTTCTCCATGGTCTCCAGCACTTCAACCTGCTAGACACAAACAATGCATGTGAGGTGACAGGGACTATGCGAGGTGCCAGTGGAACAGAGCAGAGCAAGACATGGCCCTTCCTAGACCCATCTGAGCCAGTCTCCTCATCTGACCCCCAGCTCCAACCCCCTGACCTATGTCTGAATTACTTTTATTCAAGGGCCAGGATGCTATTTTTCTGCCTCAAAGTAGGATATTGCAAAGAATAAGGATGTCAGCTCCTGGTTATCCTTTTGGCCACTTCTCCATACTTCTTTTTTTTTTTTTTAATTTTTTTTATTTCTTTATGATAGTCACAGAGAGAGAGAGAGAGAGAGAGAGAGAGAGAGAGAGAGAGAGGCAGAGACATAGGCAGAGGGAGAAGCAGGCTCCATGCACCGGGAGCCCGATGTGGGATTCGATCCCGGGTCTCCAGGATCGCGCCCTGGGCCAAAGGCAGGCGCCAAACCGCTGCGCCACCCAGGGATCCCCCCCACTTCTCCATACTTCTACACTGCTAGAAGTGTTTGGGAGTTTAAGGGACCTTGGCATGCTGCTTTCTGACATTGCCAGTCCCCGAATCTTTGCATGGAACCTCTCCCATCATACGGTTCCCACACTTTTCTGCCAGTGGGTCTACTAGGCTCTTTGCATCATCATTCCCAGCCCTTGGCTCTACCTTGAATGCTGGCTGTGTCACAGCCCTTCTCTTATCCATGACAAATAGACTTGCTGTTGTGGCTCCCTTTTACCTAGAGCAGATTTCCCAAAGTTTAAAGAACACTAATGCTATGAAACATGCTGAGAAAAGTGGGGGCGGGGGGGCAATCCCTGGTTAAAAAAGCGTGAGAGAGCAGCCCGGGTGGCTCAGCGGTTTAGCACTGCCTTCAGCCCAGGGCCTGATCCTGGAGACCTAGGATCGAGTCCCATGTCAGGCTCCCTGCATGGAGCCTGCTTCTCCCTCTGCCTGTGTCTCTGCCTCTCTGTCTCTCTGTTTCTCATGAGTAAATAAATAAAATCTTTAAAAAAATAAAATAAAATAAAATAAAATAAAATAAAATAAAATAAAATAAAATAAAAAAATAAAAAAGCGTGGGAAATGCTGTACTGGAGATCTTTGAAGAATCACCATACCCTTTAGCATATTAAATGAAGACTATGTGAAACCCCATAGCAGGAATGTTTCCGTTTGTTTAAGTGCTGTTCCCAACCTTCCATTGTGTTTTGTGGTTACTGTAATGGTCAGTTTTCACCTACTAGCTATCAACACCCATGGAGCTAGTGTTCCATAAAACCCACTTTGAGAAATCCCAGCCTAGACAATGTTCAGTTGTCTCAAGTGGACTGTATTGTAAAATATTTTATGTGGATAAAGACACAGCCTAAATTATGTCTTCCTTAGGTACACATTTTTATTATAAAAGTAATATAACCACATAGAAAATTTAGGGAATAGAGAATTATTTTATTTTAAAACATCCAGGGCAGGGGTCCCTGGGTGGCGCAGCGGTTTAGCGCCTGCCTTTGGCCCAGGGCGCGATCCTAGAGACCCGGGATCGAGTCCCACGTCGGGCTCCCGGTGCATGGAGCCTGCTTCTCCCTCTGCCTATGTCTCTGCCTCTCTCTCTGTGTGTGTGTGACTATCATAAATAAATAAAAATTAAAAAAAAAAGCAAAAACAAACAAACAAAAAAAAACAAAAAAAACCCATCCAGGTCAGCCCGGGTGGCTCAGCGGTTTAGCGCTGCCTTCAGCCCAGGGTGTGATCCTGGAGACCAGGAATCGAGTCCCATGTCAGGCTCCCTGCATGGAGCCTGCTTCTCCCTCTGCCTGTGTTGCTGCCTCTCTTTCTCTGTGTCTCTCATGAATAAATAAATAAATCTTTAAAATAAATAAAATAAATAAAATAAAACATCCATAATTCCGACATCAAATACAACCTATATTATAGGGGTTCTTAATATTAATAATATATCCACAGAGAGAATTCAAGGGTGCATGATATAGATGAAAAAAAAATTACCCCTCCATTTTCACTGACCTCCAGCTAAAATTTAGTATTTCCTCCAGTAATAAACCACAGTAACACTGGCAGTATTTGGATCTTCATCAGCAATAGAAATTATAGTTTTTGTCTGTTACATCACAGTTGTTTCCAATATCTCCAGGAATAATTTATGCCCATCACTATTTCAAAAATATCACTTGACCTACCCCTTATACATTTTTTGTTTGTGTTAATAAACATATTCCTATAGCACCACAATTTGTTCTTTTAATATTTGATAACTGTATTCAACATTATTTGTAATCTTTTGTACTTTGTTTTATGCATTTAAAATGTTGGGGTTGAACACCAATAAAAATTAATTTATTAAAAATAAAAAATAAAATAAAATGTTGGGTTGCCTGGGTGGCTCAGTCAGCTGAGAGTCCAGCTCTTCATCTCAGCTCAGACAGATCTCAATCCCAGGGTCTTGAGTTAGTTCAAGCCCCACACTGAGGTCCATGCTGGGTGTGGAGCCTACTTAAAAAAATAAAATAAAATAAAGTAAAATAAAATATCATTCTGAGAAAGGATCCTATCTCACCAGACTGCTTAAGGGATTTATGCACCACAGTAGGTCAAGAATCTTGAAGTCTTATTTTTTTTCAAGCAGACATATCATATATTATTGCCCCATTCTTCTATTGTTGGATTTTAGGTTTGTTTCTTGTTTTTAATTCATGCAAGGAACTTTTCTTACATTTCTGCTTATTTCCTTTATTTTTTTTAAAGATTTTATTTATTTATTCCTGAGAGACACACACACACACACACACACACACACAGAGAGAGAGAGAGAGAGGCAGAGACACAGGCAGAGGGAGAAACAGGCTCCAGGCTCCATGCAGGGAGCCTGATGTGGGACTCGATCCCTGTTTTCCAGGATCAGGCCCTGGGCCAAAGGCAGGCTCTAAACCACTGAGCCACCCAGGGATCCCCACATTTCTGCTTATTTCCTATGCTAAGTTCCCAGACCTCTATTAGCCCTGTATCCTGTGCTATCACCTCGCAGTAATTCTAGTCAAATGTAGAGGCACATGATCTCCCTCATAGCACCCATCAAATTTCCAGAAGTTTCTGAGCCTAGTTGATTAATCTGATTGATGGTTCAGATAAAGTCTGCTGAAAAAAACTTTATTTAAACAACCAGTCACTCAGTCTCATTGTCCATAAGGATTCCAACCCTTTTCTTGCGAAAAGCTTTTAGATAGCCTGATTCACTTCATCATTTGGGAGTGATGGTTGTTCTCCCAAGCACCAAGGTTTGTTCTGTAGGGCTTCCCCCAGGGAACCCGGGTGGCTGGGCACTACATACAGATTCCCTGTGATTGTTGTTTAAGGCTCCTGGATTATTTTTATAGGGATAACATTCTCCAAGTATTGATACTGAACTTTAGATGAATCTAGATTTTTATTTTCTCTCTCAAATGAATCAAAATAAGTTAAGCCACTTTTTAGGTGGTCACTTTGAAGGCTATAAATGAAACTTCAGTAGCTTAGCACATACAATTTTTAATTACTGATATCTTCCAGGCTCATCAGTTAGCATCCATGCAAGCTCAGGCTTATAATGGGGGAAATGTCAACCCTTCACCTGCTAATAACGAGGAAGAGGAGGATGAAGAGGACGAATATGATTATGATTATGAATCCCTGTCTGATGGTAAGATAAACACAACCCTATGCTGTGTGCAGAGAAATGCCTGGATGATTTTCTGTTGTGGTTTTTTTGTGTCTCCTCCCCCCCCACACACACACACACAAAATGAGTCTGGCACTTCACAGGCCAACCATGCAGATTATTGTAATCACTGTCCAAGAGTTCCTGAATCCCATTGCTTAGTGAGGAGGACCAAGCAAGGAAGGGGATTCTGTTAGCCACTACAGCCAACATTCAAAGAAGGAAAATGAGGATGTGGGAAGCAACACAGGGGTTATTCCTGAGGTTTCTGGAGGAAAAGGTGGAATTGCAGCAGAGAGACCCCATTCTCACCCTTGCAGCTTCTGAGGCAGCTAATGCTCTTGGCAGTCATTGTGGCTGCTGGCTCTTCTCACTCCTCACCACCTGCAGGGGGCAGCATCGCGGTTCTGTGCTCTCTGCTCCTCCCTCTCACCACCTTCACATATGTTTTTTTGTAAGAAGTATAGAAAAAATTTTTTTAAAGAGCAGCATTTCACTTCCCCTTCTCCCCGATTCTCACATCACTAAATCAACAAGGTATTTCTGTCCGGCTCCTTCAAAGGGACAAAATATGGTTGATGGCTAACAGCATAATACAAAAAAGTCACATTAATGAAGTTATCTACAAATTCTAGGTGAAGGATCCCTCTTACATGAGAATTAGATTTCAAGTGTGTTCATTTGTACTAAATTGGTTATAGATTGCAAAATGTTTTCTAGGTACCATTGCTGATGGTAGACTGTTTCAGTAACTTTTGAAAAGTAGTGTAATAAAAAATTGCCAAAATTTCTATTTACACAAATAACATTACATGTGTAGAATATATTACTTCTGTGTAGGATCATTGTTTTGCTAATATGTAGATATGCCCAGACCAGCAACCATTTACCATTGGCATGAAGACAGCCAAGCTACCCTCCTCCAAATAGCTGCTGCTCATGCTCCAGGATTGCCCCCAAGTTATGTCCAGTTCCATGAGCTTCCATCAGGGCCAGCACTTATAGCCCAGTCTCCTTTTGCCTCCCAAATATGATACTAATCTATGTCTATTTAATATTTGTCCTTAGTAATAGTTTATTGCTCCATGCCATCAACTAAAAGCCAAATTTACTTGACCTGAAATCCATCAGATAATGTGAGGGCCATAATCTCTAATGGGGAAAAAAGGGGGGGAAATGAAAAGAAGTCAAGATAATTTCTTGAATCCTATTCCTGAAAACTTGTGGGAATATGAGTATTCTTATATTGACTTAATCTTCCCCATGGATCCCTATTATAATTATGGTGATGCTGTCTCAGAGGAACAAATTTATTCAAATAAGAAACAAAACCACACTTAAGAACTCAACCAATCCAGATGTCATTTGCCTCTGTGAGAAGTTAGTTCGCTGGAAGATAAATTCACTCTATCATAAATTACTCCTGTGTTTCTTCTGTACTTTTGAGCCCAGGACGAAGGGGCTTTTCTTAATTATTAGTATTATTATTATAGGAGTTTTTGATATGCAAATAACAAAATGATAAGATATTTATTTATTCCAGTTAGGAGAGTAAACCCAAAGTACCCTGCTGAATTTCTAAGATAGTTGCATGCTTTTTTAAAACCTGCCTTGCTGGATGGGGGTACGCATGGAAAGGGGGCCTCATTACATCCTGCTTCAATAAACTATGAGATGTCGGGTCAATATCCTGTCTCCACTCTAGGCCTTATGACCCTCAGATGTGTAATGAAAAGATTCTGTTCAGTGTTGACTGGTGTTCTCCCTTCTTCTAGCACTAACACCTAAGACCTATGACAGCTGAAGGCCACTGCCAACACATGGGTATTTCCCATTTCATTGACAGATTCCTCTGACTGGCTGATTCCCAAACAGGCCTTATAGTTTTGCCATAACTTGTTTCAGCTGGTTGTGTTGAGGCTACCTCATGCTACTGTTAAATGCCCTGTCAATCTTGCAGGCTTGGTGTGGTTTCTGTGGTGCCTCACTCACGCACCTCTGTGCAAATCCCTCTACCATCTTCACACCCTCTGACTAAGATATGAAGGGAATGGAAATCTGCCTGCTCTGTGTAGAATGATTTGGAGCTTCATTGGGGACCTCAGAGATTTCTCAGCTTCTTGTAATGATGAGTCCTTTTGAGAAGGAGATGTAGAAGCTGTGACCTGTCACCCTCGGGGAACTAGGCATGCTCTCAAAGTTCTGCATACCGTTGCAGGAGGGTGGCTGGCCTTCTGAGGCCCTCACAGACGTCCCAGGGGAAGGGCTCATCTGTAGAATCTGGGTGGCCAGTTTATCTCTGTGACAGCTCTGGTCCTCAGTTTCATGTCTATAAAGTGAGAGAATTAGTTTACAGCCCCTTTGGGCTATAAAAAATGTGACGATTCCTAAGCACACAGTTAATTCCAGAAGATCTAAAGGAAGTTGCAGATGAGGCCCATGTGTTTCAGGAATTCCTACTCTGCCTTTTGGCTAAGAAGTCCTTCATGAATATTTATTTTATTAAATTCCATTAAATAAATATAAATTAATTTTCTTCCAGCCTTACTGTTTATCTTGACCAGCTTTGAAAAGGCAGTAAAGAGTATAGATTTGAATTTGCAACTTAATATAGATGTTCTAGGACAGTGACTGCATGATTCTAACAATTCAGTCGATTTCCATCCATTTAACATAATGCATTACTGGGAATGTTCTGACAGTCAGTAACTGAAAATATGTAATGTGAATATGGTAGCATGGTTAACATTAACAATGTTTGCATTTCTTTTATTGCTAGGCCTGGCCTCTCTGATAGTCAAAATATTAAATCAATAGAGGATTTCTTGTTTCATTTATCTCACAATCTAAGCGATTGTTATTTATCCTTTGCTTCATACCTTAATTTAATTTATCTGGCTTTTGTCTTAATTTTCCTTACTTTTATCCTCTTTCTGATTCTGTTTTTCTATAGCAGATGTCCTTACTGCTTCTCCTGCTCCTAACAGTCAGGAAGGTAAAGCCGTTTAAACTGGGCATTTTAACTGCATGAATGTGGACATTCCGTGTTCAGGTTCTTAGCCCTGACTAGCATGAAATCGTGATACTTACATGAGTAAAAATGTAATGAAGTAATTGATCTTGTTTACTCTTGACAGCCTGCTTGGCCCTTGTTTGGTATAAGGATATTTTGGTGTAAGCATTTATGGTCTGGTGAGTTAGTGAACCTTGGGTGAGAAATGAGAGCTTTCTTGTTTTTCATTTTAAAAGAGCATAACTGTGGGGCACCTGGGTGGGTCAGTGGTTGAGCTTCTGTCTTTGGCTCAGGTCATGATCCCGGGGTCCTGGGATCAAGTTCTGTATCGGGCTCCTCACCGGGAGCTTGCTTCTTCCTCTATGTCTCTGCCTCTCTCTCTCTGTCTCTCTCTCTCTCATGAATAAATAAATAAAATCTTTTTAAAAAGTAAATTTAAAAAAATAAAAGAGCATAACTGTGATGTGCCTCTAACAGCTTTAAAGTAATTTTGAATAGAAATACCAGAAGAAGAGCAAAGTTTAAGATTATTTGTCATGCTTTAGATATTCCTAGGTATATTTTAATTTCTATCCTCAAGGTTTTGCTCATTAAATTCATAAACAATTATGAAAACTCTACTTTTTAATTAAGTAGAATTGTGAAAACTGCATTGCAAATAACAGTATCTTTTTTCCCAGGGTTTGACATTTCTAGAGGTAAAAGATGCTAATAGCTTCATTTTAAAATGAGAGTGATTAACTCCTGTATGCACAATCTTAAAGTGCTTCTACTACTAAGTCCTCTCCAAAGCTGTGTGCTGAGGCTTCTGACACAAGGGTGTCTAACATAAGGTTTGTACAGTCCCAGTGATCTGTATGGACATGAGCCTTCTCATTTAGATTATGTCTATATGGTACCAAAACTACTGGTAAGCAATTCAATTAAAAATAAATACATCATTGACCAAATTTAACAAATTTTAAAAATTATACTCCAAGCCATCGTTTTGGCAACATGTAACCAGAGCCTCAGTCTTAATAGATAAGCACAAGTGTCTGGATATCCTTGTAATGATGTAGACAAAGCTCTCAAGTGAAACATTTGGTTCTTGTTTGCTGAAGCCTGCCAACTTATTTTCAGACAACATTCTAGAAGACAGACCTGAAAATAAATCATGTAATGACAAGCTTCAGTTTGAGTATAACGAAGAAATCCCCAAGAGGATAAAGAAAGCAGATAATTCTGCTTTCAACAAAGGAAAGGTGGGTGAATGGCTTCTGTTCAGTTACAGTTGGGCCACAGCACTCTTGTCAGTTGTGGGTAGAATTTCACTCTCTCCTGGTCCCTTCCCTTCCCATTTCCACCTGCTTTCTCTTAGATGCCAAAGCCCACATGGTGATGTATGGGACATCTTCATGCCATTTGTAGAATGATAGCCACTGGTTCATCCAAACAATAGCTGGAGAAGGTATACAGTGTGGCAGGCACTGAGATGGCACAGGAGGTAGTTTAGTGATGGAGACAAATATGTAAACAGTACTTGTAAATGAGTACAATTTGTAGATGAATACAAAGACCTGTGACTACACAGTGTTTTGTTATCAGAACATCAGGGAGGATGGTGTTGGAAAAGATTTGGCCAAGTAGACAAAAATAGAACGTTTAGGCCAAGAGAACAGCCTGGTACATCCAAGGAATTTCTAGAATTTTTAAAGTGTTTGGGATGACCAACCAGATAAACAGGGCCAGGATTGTTAAATGTTCACAGAGGAGTGACACGGAGAATAGAGATCTAAATGAGCTACCCTGCCTTCAAGTGCCTCCTCACACTATGTAGACTCTGAGCAAATCTGTAGACACAGTTTCAGTGACATTGTGAGAAAGCTTAGTAATAAAGTATGTCAAAAATGTGAGCCATATAAGATGTATATTCAATCATCTCTCATTCAACAAATATACATTGACTATTCCACATTTAAGATACTGGACTGTGCCCTCAGCGAAGATGAAGATGAGTTAGGCCTATCACTTACTTTCAGAAAGTTGTGACTCTGGGAAAGGTGTTGGGACATGTATGTGGATAGATAGAGAGCAATGTGAAACACACTGATGGCATGAGAAAGGAACAGATAAAGACCTTTGGGGATTCAGAGGGAGGTGGGCATACACTTTCTATGTAAACTTGTGTCATTTTTCCCTTGATAGGTTTATGACATGGAACTGGGAGAAGAATTTTATCTTCCTCAGAATAAAAAGGAAAGCAGACAGATTGCACCAGAGCTTTCTGACCTTGTCATCTACTGCCAAGCAGTAAAGTTTCCGGGTAAGAGTAGACAATATCATCTATAACACTTAAAGATACCAAAAGATAAAAATGTGCCATTTATTTAATTGGACACTGTAAATGCTTTCAAAATAACTAAATTGTGTTATCAAAGTCATTGTTACACTACCTTCTAAATATTTTTTATAATTATTATTAGCTTTGATGGTCATGGGGAAAAATATCATAAAATGTTTATTTTCCAGATATCATGTCTTTTTGTAATAGTTAATAATAATGATAATAATAATATTCATAACATCTTAAGAGCTAAAATTTATTAAGCCCTTCAGTACCAGGATTTGCGCTAAGTATTTTACACACATCATACTACTGACTTTGCATAAATCATGTTACATTCTGTGAGGTAGGTGGATTTATTCCCATTTTTAAATGAAATGAAATGAAATCTGAGAAAGACAAACTGGTTCAAGGTTTCACAATGTATCAGCTAAGACTCTTTTGTTTGAAAGTGATAGAAATTGACTTAAGCAAAAAAGAAATGTGTTGGCTCATGTGTTAAACATAAAAACATAAAAATGAAGGGGTATACAAGTTTCAGGTACAGGTTGATCCAGGGCTTCTCTTTCCCCATTTCTCACTCAGCCTCCTCTGGGTTGTGCCTGTTCCCTTTGTGATAGCAAGGCGGGTGCAGCAGGCTAGCACTACATGTTTTCAGATTAGCTCAGTCTGTTTCCCAGAAATTTCAGCACCAGTTTCATTGTTTTCCATTGAGTCCTTTGCCTATCCCTGAACCAGTCCCACTAATTCCCCAGGACTGACAATTGACAATCTGGGGCTTGTGGCACATTCCCCATCTTTGAGCTGGGTAGCGAGACTCCACCCAAACCACAGGACCAAGGGTGGGATTTCAGCAGGAGAGTAGGTTTCCCCAAGTGGCTATTCCTAGAAGTACAATGACCTTAATGATGATAAACCATTCCTCCCGCCCAAAAAAATGTGCATTTCAATTAATAAAAGAGCTATGATTCTGAAGGCTGTCTATCTCCAAAGCCCTGCTCTTAACTATTGCACTATCCTGCCCCTCTTGTTAGAGTGTGATCTCTTCATTTATCCAATTGCGTGTCCCACAAACGGGGCATCAGGGACTGCAGGGCAAACAGGAAAGTCCATAAATATAGGAAAGTCAGGAAAATTAATTTCCTTATACTGTGAAAAAGGATCCCCTTGTACAAAATTTCTAAGGACAGAAAAGCAGCTGGAAACAGGAGATTCATCTAAATTTTGGAAAATGAAGTATATAAACTTGGCCTAAGAGATGTGTTAAAATTTCAACCCTGCATGTGAATGCAGATCCTGGCCTCCAGAGGCATATCTTATGCCTCACTTCTCATACTCTGCCCTACAAACAGGACAAAGGTATTAGGCTATTAAAAAAATAGGTAATAGCAGTCCTTTCACACATATGGAAGAAATTACAGATAGAAGTTCCTCAATTTAAGGTTTTTTCCCATAAGCTGTTTTTTTTTTTTAAGATTTTATTTATTTATTCATGAGAGAGGCAGAGACATAGGCAGGGAGAAGCAGGCTCCCTGCGGCGAGCCCCATGTGGGACTCGATCCCAGAACTCTGGGATCACACCCTGAGCCGAAGGCAGGCACTCAATCGCTGAGCTACCCAGGCGTCCCCCATAAACTGTTTTTAAACATTTGGCAGCTGCTACTGCTTATCTGATAGCAAATCTTGTTGAGGAAGATATGAATTTATAAGTAGCAATCAAAATCTTCAAAGAAATATAAGAACCCAGCTATTTAGGTTTAGTCTCACAGATCATGACTTTCTGTCAACGTAAGTATGATATGAACGTATTTGCAGCTGGGAAGATCATTCTCCTTATGGGATAAAATCCTTTTCCTGTCAAGGAGCCTGGTGGCTTGCATGTCCTTTATGACTGGAACAAGTGTGAGGTCCACTGCATTCACAGATCAAGAATCACTCACATGCTTATGTGCTGGCTCACATGCTCACATTCAAGAATCACTGCATGTATTGTTCTTTATAAATTCAATGGACACCACACCCAAACCATTCCACGGACTTTGTTCTTCTCAAGCACTGATTAAATAGTACAAATTCCCAAAGATATTTGAAGTCACTGTGAAAGAAAGTTTATGTACCAGTAGAGAATTGTGGGAGAGCCAAAAGGTCATTGGGTCCAACTTCTGACTTGAGACACAAGCTAATAAGCATGGGGTCATTTGGCTTATGTTTAAAATTGCAAGAATGCTATTCTTAAAAGTGTTTATATGGCACATGTTCTTTATGGGTATACTACATTTAATTTGGTTTGAGGTTTTGGGGAGGTTTTTTTTAGTAACTGAGGTTTCTTACAGTTTTCTCTCCCCAAACTTACTTCCTCTCAAAATTAACAAAACTGTGCTACCAGAACCATTGTTCTAATAGATTTTAAATATTTATTGTTATATGCTTTGTTTCAATGCTCATGGGGAAAGCAGATAAAATGTTTATTTTGCTACACTATTGACTTTGATTTTGCTACATTATCAATTTCAATGCATCTCACCTTCACCATTCCAAGTCCCTTCTAAGGAGCCACATGCAAAAAAATCTTCAGAGCAGTGAGACCACAAAGATCTGTGGTATTACCTTCCCCAGAAGGAAATTAATTACCCAAAGATCATGAACCTGCTTCAATGGCAGAGCACACCTCCTCCGTGGCCTTGACTGGGTCAGTTACATAACTTTTCTGCACTTCCAATTCCTTATCTGTAAAAAAAAAAAAAAAAAAAAGTATAACTTGCAGGGTGGTTGTAAAAATTAGCAATAAAGTCTATAATGTGATTAACACACTATCTAGAAAAGAATTGGCTCTCTGGCAGTAGTGGTTGTTGTCATTGATAAAAGGGCCAACAGGGCACAAGAAGGCTGTTTATTGCTGTATCAGTGATTCAAAAGGAATCAACAGATTCCTTCCCTTTTCTTGATCACCCAGCCAAGGGAACAACCAGGCTGTTCACAAAGGAGTCCACATACCCTTTGATGTGTGCCAGGATGTGTGCAAAAACCCCAGAATCAACAGCTCCCTCACTCTGGCCCCTTGGGAGAAAACCTACTGTGATATCACTGTGCTGAGGGCAAAATTCACACAAAATTTTAAGATAAAGCATGAGAACCTCCTAGTCCAAGTTTGTGCATCTTTGTGGTTACAGATACTTAAGAGGAAAAAAATATTTAGAAGCCCCACAGCTGCTATGAACTGAACATTTTCTCTGACCAAGACATTCTGCTAAGTATGTATATACACATGATCTCATTCAACCCTAACCATGACCCTTTCACAGATGAGGAGGGAGTAATGCAGAGAGGTTAAGTAATTTATGTGAGGTTCCACTGCTAGGAACAGGGTTTAAGCCCCAATGTCTCCGCTCTTATTAAGCACCGCCTAATCCTGTGTTTTCTCTGATGATGTTCTTGGAAGGCGTATTTTCATCTCCAAGAGGACCTCCTGAATGCTGCTTCAGCTGAAGGAGAGACTTTCTAGTGCTACAGTTGTACACAGTGGAATGGTTTGGAGGCAGCACCTCTGGCTTGATTAGTGCTCTTAAATGACTCTTCCTGCACTGGAGCCAGGTCTGCACTCATTTCCTCATTCAGCTAAAGGCTATTAAGTTCCTGTTGCACACCAGGCACTGTGCCAGGTGGGAAGGGTCAGGCAGTGGTTGGACTAGGAGGAAGCAAAAGAAACCACGAAACATCATGATCGTCATAACGTATTTCCCATCGAACCCTCAGATTAACCCCCATGAGAGTTCCTATCATCACACCCATTTCATAGATAAGGAGATAGGAATGGATAAGGTAGATGGTATGCCAACCTCATACTGGCAAGAACTGAACCTAAACAATGAGACGCTGAAGTTCAGACTTTACCCAATCTTTCATTGCTCCAAGTTGAGTAATTAGGTTCTAATAATTAAATATTGACTTGGGGAGCTTTCTTTTCATGCAGTTTTTCAAAATCTTTCTGGTGCACAATCAAGTGAATGTATTGTGATTTTGTGATGATCATGCAGTTCTTGTCCTATTTGCCTCCAGAGAGAAAAACTTTGCTACCACTGCCTGCAATGCTATTATTAACTGTGTTAAAAATGCTAGTAGATCTTCTGTCCCAGGGCTGCAAGGGAGTAGTAGGACTTCAATATAAACAGTAACAGGGATGGAAAATGTTGAGTTCCCTTGCTTGTAGTTTTTGGCTTATTTATTTTCATTTTATGGGAACAGGGCTGTCAACTCTAAATGCATCTGGCTCTAACAGAGGAAAAGAGAGGAAAAGCAGGAAGTCCATTTTTGGCAACAATCCGGGCAGAATGAGCCCTGGGGAGACAGCATCGTTTAACAAAGCATCTGGAAAAAGTAAAGTCACCTTCTTCCGATATTTTGGCCCGATTCTGCATGCTGGATGATTCCAATACTTGACCATCTAAGCACTTCTCTTGAACTTTTAATTTCTTTTTTTTTTTATGTTCATGAATGTTTATGTTATCTAAGTGTGGTACCAATATATTTAAAATTACAAATTTACACTCTTACCTTCCTAAAAAATAACATTTCACTGAAGACGTTCTAAACATGTTTGCCTCAAAAGTAAAAGCTGGAGCCACCTTGGAACATTCTAGTTGTTTTTGGAACTCCTCATCCTTATAACTCTTCATCCTTATAACTCCAGAAGATATATCCATTTTATTTCTAATTACTTTGTATTATAAAAGTAATAAATTCTCATAGTTAAAAACTCAAACATTTCAGACTATTATTAAAATTCCTTTCCACTCTCAATGTCCCAGTTCTACTCCCCAGAGGCAACCAGTGTTAGGTTTATTGTGTTTTCTTCAAGAAAAATAAAATTCTTTTTAAGATAATACAACGGGATATAACTGAAGATACTTGGATAACTTTTTTTTTCTTGAGGTAAAATTTGTATATAACATTATACTAGTTTCAGGTGTATAACATAGTAATTTGATCCTTGTATGCACTACAAAGTGATCCCCTCAATAAATCTAGTTAAGTCGCCATCCATCATCCTACACTTATTAACCCCTTCACCCTCCCCCTCTGATAACCGCTGACCCATTCTCTGTATCCAGGAGGCTTGTTTGGTTTTATATGTTTGTTTTGTTTTTTATATTTCACATATGAGTGAAATTAGTGGTATTTGTCTTTCTCTGACTGATTTCACTTGGCATTATGCCCTCAAAATCCATCCATGTTGTTACACATGGCAGATTCTCCTTCATTTTTATGGCTGAGTAGTATTCTATTGTGTGTGTGTGTAGATAGATAGATAGATAGACAGATAGATATCACATCTTCCTTATCCATTTACCCTTCAGTGAACACTTAGGTCGTTCCCATATCCTGGCTATTGTGAGTAATGCTGCAGTGAACATTGAGGTACATGTATGTTTTTGAATTAGTGTTTTTATTTTCTTCAAATAAATACCCAGAAGTGATATAGCTGATCATATGGAATTTCTATCTTTAATCTTTTTTTTTATCTTTAATCTTTTGAGGAAACTCCATACTGTTTTCCATAGTGACTGCACCAGTTTGCATTCCCACCAGTGTACAGAGTTTCCCTTTACTCCACATCCTCTCCCACAATTGTTATTTCTTGTTTTTTTTATAATAGACATTCCAACGGGTGATATCTCATTGTGGTTTCAGTTTGCATTTCCCTGGTGATCACTGGTGGTGTCCATCTTTTCATGTGCCTATTGGCCATCTCTATATCTTCTTTGGAAAAATGTCTGCTTAAATCATCTGCCCATTTTTGTAATCAAATTGGGTTGTTTTGCTCCTGAGTTACTTGAGTTCTTTATATACTTTGAATATTTAAGCCCTTATTGGATATATGACTTGCAAATATTTTCTCCCATTCTGTAGATTGCCTTTTCTTTTTATTGATGATTTCCTTTACTGTGCAGAAGCATTTCAATCTGATGTAGTCCCACTTGTTTATTTTTCTTTTTGTTGCCTTTGATTCTGGAGTCGGAGCCAAAAATTCAACAGGAAGCTTATTGCCTTTGTTTTCTTCTGGGAGCTGTGTGGTGTCAGGTCTTACATTCAAGTCTTTAAATGGTTTCAAGTTCATTTATTTTGTATGGTGTAAGATACTCTAGTTTCATTCTTTTATGTGTGGCTGACCAGTTTTCCCAACACCATTTATTGAAGAGCCAATCTTTTCCCTAGTGTGTATTCTTGGCTCTGTTGTCATAAATCAATTGGCCATATATAAGTAGGTTTATTTCTAGGGTCTCTATTCTGTTCCACTGATCTATGTGTCTCACTTTATTCCAGTACCATATTGTTTTGATTACTATAACTTTGTTGTATAGTTTAAAATCAGGAGACATATATAACTTTTATACTTCTGTAACTCTCCTCATAGCTTCCTATACATATCTACCTTACTGCATGGTATTCCACTGTGTGGGTATACTGTCATTTATTAAACCACTTCCTTGCTGGTAGAACATTTTGGTTGCTTCCTGGGTGGTGGTGGTGGTAATGGGTGGTTTTGGAATTTTTGGTTTTGGTTTTGGTTTTCTTTAGTTATTTAAATTTAAAAAAAAAAGCAATGCTAGAGTGAACACCCTTGGACACATATGGTTGTCGTATTTGTGCAAATTTATCCATAGACTAGATGAACTACTGAGGCAGAGGACTTTCAGGCTTTTGATTTAAATTAGTGTTGTTATACTCATCTTAAAAAAAAAGATTTATTTATTTATTTATTCATGAGAGACACAGACTGAGGGAGAAGCAGAGACATAGGCAGAGGGAAAAGCAGTCTCCTCTCAGGGAGCCTGATGTGGGACTCGATCCCAGATCCCAGGATCACAACCCGCCGAAGGCAGGCACCCAACCGCTGAGCCACCCAGGCATCCCTGTTACACTCATCTTAAAACACAATAGCTATCATTTTGTTTCAAGGTAGTAGACTAACTCACAAAGAACAGGCAAGATGTATTCCAATCTGTTATGTGTTATGATTGCCTACTGGGATGTTCAGGTTTATTTCTAAAATATTTAAAGTTTTCTGCACTAATCTGAGGCTAATCTTTTGGGGGGTTTAGGTTCCTGTGAAGGAATGCGACAGGCGTGGGAGGAATCTTCTTCCCCCCTCAACCCAACCACATCCCTCAGCGCTATCATTAGAACTCCCAAATGTTACCATATCTCATCGCTGAATGAAAATGCCGCCAAACGTCTGTGTCGCAGGTATTCTCAGAAACTGATCCAGCACACTGCCTGTCAGCTGCTGAGGACTTACCCGGCTGCCACACGCATCGACTCCTCCAACCCCAATCCTCTCTTGTTCTGGCTCCATGGGATACAGCTCGTGGCACTCAACTACCAGACAGATGGTAATGGGCCTGCTTCACCCAGCAGGGTGCCTCTCCACCTCTCTCCTCTGCATCTTCTATTTCAACAAATGTAGTACAACAAACAAGATTGCTTAAAGGGAGCAAGATTCCACATGGGGCATACCATATAGGAGGGTTAAAGTACAGAGGACCAACAACAGGAGTGAATTTGATAAGGAATTGGGTCCTTGGTGTTTCGATTAAGGCAATAGATAGGAGCCATGAAGGGTCCCTCATCATCTCCTGCTCCTGCCCCATTTTTAAAGCATTTTTTAGACATATGACTGCTCTTGACAGGGTAGTGTCCAGTTTGTTTTTCAAGATCTTTGGGGGTAGAAATTTCCTAAAGCCTCTTAAGAAATTCTCTTGCTAAGTTCTTGTTCTTGCCATCAAAAACTAGTGTGGCTCCAAACACTTGGCAAAGTAAAATCATTTTAGCTTCTTCTCTTCCCTTTGAGATTGAAATAGAGAATGATGGTCATTGCCCTAGGATTGTCTAACACAAAGGAAACCAGTATATGAACCACATGAACAGTGAGAGTAGTGTCCGTGTTTCTCTACTGCGGGATGAGACTCTCATAACAGGGTAACTGATGAGACCTAAACCTCAGGTAAGAGCTACTGTTTATGGCATGCTTACTGTGCACCAGGCACTGAGCTGAATTCTTGACCTCCTATTATCTCATTTAATCTTCGCAAACCCTATGAGGTAGCTTACTTGTATAATCCCTGTTTGTTAGTTGAGCAAACCAAGGCAGAAAGAGATTAATTTGCTCAACAAGAATGAATTATAATTAATAAACTCAAGGACTCTGTGAGTTTAGAAGATAAAGCATTTGTTTCCACTTGGTTATGGGGGGAAGAAGGGAACTATGGGGGGAAGAAGATAAAGAATAAAAGAGGAGTGTTTCCTAGAAGCTCATTCAAAAACCAGAGTCTTTCCTTTGAATAGTTGAGCGGCCTCCCCAATCCTCTCATGTGCACGAATCAGATCCTAGTTAAGCATGCTGACCCATCAACCAAAACACAGCCCTCTCTCCTGCCAATGTCAAACCACAGCGCTAGTCCTGGGACCACCTAGCAAACTGGCACTAGCACCAGCAGTATTCATTTGTGGCTGCCCCTGCAGACGCATGGTCAGAGATATCAGTCCTGTGTTTTTGCCCTTTCATATTTGTTTCTTTCAATTGATATTAAATAAGTCAATGCAAGTGAACTACCATACTCAACATAGAGCCTGGCACATAGAAAGCATTCCACAAACATTAAATATCATAAGTGTTTTGATAAGTTATGAAAACAGTATGATTTGGACTCTCAAGTGGAAATAATAATGAAATATTTTCAAAGTTGTAAAAGTTTCTTTTCAGTCTGTCCCAAGTGGCTTGTGGGTTCATATCTCTGGCCCCATCCTTAGCCCTGTGTCCACTGGCCCCCTTTGTTATCATGATACTGAAATATTTTAAGTAAACTGAAGTAACCAGTAAAATGGTTTTCTCAAGGAAATGGAAATGCATTTAGTTTGGTATGTGTCCTTTCTCCTGAAGTGCCAAGTCTGCTGCAGACATCCTGGCTCTACTGATGGCAAAGGGAGCTACAGCGACAGGGAACACGGGAATTATTCCTCCTTGAGCCACCCTGCCATATGAAACACACACTGAGACTGCAGCTCAGCCTCCACACACCCCTGAAGGTTTCTCCTCTGGCCCAAATCAAGCCAGAGAGCGTGTTGGAGCTTACCCACTCAGTAGAGGCAGATGGTTGTATCGTGTGGTTCATCCTTAACATTTCTCTGCAAAACCTTCCAACTCCCAGAAGGGAGTACTGCCATATATCCTCTCTTGGTTTCAATATGGCAAACAATGATAAACATCTGCCTAGGCTGGACGAACTACAACTACATGCAGTTTCAGGGTGTTTATCTGTAAAAATAGTTTTCTTTTCCTCAAACTGGGGGGTAGAGCCAGGTCAAGACCTTGCATGCAGTAGGTGCTCAATAAATGCGTGCTGCACTGAGCCAAAACAGATTGTCTCTATAAGCCCCACTGCAGTCTGAACCTATGGTTCATGATTTTTGGTCCAGATCTCTCCTAGGTACTTCTCTGTGAATTGCAAGTCTGTATTGATAAGAGTCAACATTGGAATCATTATTTTTAATTCTTGAAAAGGATTTCTAGGTTAGGAAGTGCTTGATATTCTATGAAATGACCCCAACCAAATAACAGAACCCCCTCCCAGGGTCCCTTTAGCCTCCAGATATGTTCTATGGATCATCTACCTTACCCCTTCCTGAATTTCAGGGAACCTGATGTCCCAAAGGGGTGTCCACAGACTTAGGGTGATCGCTTCCCAGAATTTCTTTTTTTTTTTTAAGATTTTATTTATTTATTCATGAAAGACACAGAGGGAGAGGGAGAGACACAGGCAGAGGGAGAAGCAGGCTCCATGCAGGGAGCCCAACGTTGGACTTGATCCTGGGACTCCAGAATCACACACTGCACCAAAGGCAGGCGCTAAACCACTGAGCAACCCAGAGATTTCTTTTCTTTTTTTTTTTTGTTTCACCCAGAGATTTCTAATGGCTCCATCAACTCCTGAATGTCTGCAGTAATCTAGAACCAGGTGTAGCCCAGGTCTCCTCAGTAAAACCAACTCTTAAGTTGGGAAACTTGTCTGAGGTTGGTGTGCAGATAGACTGGTTTTTGCTGGCAATAGTCCCTCAAAGCTCTTTCCATCTGGGGCAGAACAATTTCTGCGTCATGTCATAGGATCTACAAGTATATAGACATTTAGCCCTAGTTAAAAGACAAGCTTCTATTAATACTTATACTTTCCTAAATGATTGTCACACTCTTTCTAATGACTTTTCCAGCCCCCAAACATAAAGATAAATATTATGAGAGTGGTGGCTATTTAATACAGAGTTTTTAAAAAGAAGAAAGACCATAAAGGTAATGCTATGCTTGATCTGCCATTAGATGCATTGGCTGAGAGGGATGATGGGGTTACACAGATTCCTGCACATCCTGTCCACGTGGCTAGAACAAGGGTTTTAAAACTATAGCCCTAGATGAAGTTTTGGAACCAGCTGCAGGACCGTAGGAGGACTAGATTTAAGGTCTCACCTTTATTCCAAATGAGCAGCTCTGTGTGGATCTGTTTCACATATTGGATCACCAATGAGATTTTAGGTAAGGAAAAGTGCTTTAAAGTTCTGGAAAGCTACAAGGATAGACACATTGCTAATAAAATTAGATTTCAACCCCAAATGGGTGTTGATTTCATAATCATATTTAATGGCTGCTTTTATCAAGCACCTTCTATGTGCCACATGCTGGGGTAGGGGCCTTCACACATCATCTTATTTATGTTTATGATACCCTTGTGAGATATAGATTATATGGCTTCAGCAGTTAAGATTCGGTAGTTAAGATAATACATATTACATGGTTTGGTATTCAAGATGAGTCAGTCTGTCTGGGTGTGAACTCTAATGTCCACCACTCACTAGCCATGTGCCTTGAGTTTTTTCATTTCTTGTGCCTTGGTTTCTTCATCTATAAAAATGAAAATACTAAAATAAGCTATTTCATGGGTTATGGAGGCACTGATGCACACAAAGTGTTTAGAACGGGGGCTGGTGCATGGGAAGGGTGCAGTGAGTTGCTATAATTTTGTTAGTAGTATCTATCCATTTCACACTTACCATCTGCATAGGCTAGTTTGCTTCACTCTGTTGCCTTAATGGATTAGTCGCAAAAGACTGGATGGGCCTGAAAGGTTGGGTCCAGTGTGCTAATTTTGTAGATAAGGACCCCTGGAGCTCTCTTGTGTCTAAGACATCTTCCCCCCAAAATTCCTGCATGTGGCCTCAGCCAACTCCACATACACGGAAACATTTTATACACAAGACAAGTGAAAGCCAACTTTCTCATTCCTCCACGGTGCTTCTACACTTTTCCTTGAGGTTGGTCCATGTAGCAAAGTTTACTCTGCACATGGGAAGAATCTATCAGAGGAAACATTTGTCAGGTGTGTCTCATAAACTTTTTGCTCGTTTGGGCAACTTTTATACAGACTGGCGCCATCAAATGAGTATTTGAGTGTGTAAGAGCCCCAAAACAGTGCAGGGATCCAATCGTTCATCAAAGAACTATGCCAAATAAAATTTGGCCACAAATTCTGAAAGCTGTTGTGAGAGTTCCAGGCATTTATGATTGAGGGGATCGTGGACATGATGTGAATCACATGTAATAATGATTTTGTTTTCATATTGAACTACAATTATAAAAAAAAAGTATTGCAATTTATGGGTTGAAATGGAGATTTCAAAGACAAAGTATGGTTTTCTGGCTATTCTCTTAGCCTTTCTTGTATTACTAAGATTTCATCTTATATCTGGAAAAGCAAGAATTGTTCATAAAATTGTCTGCATGTTTGTTGCTTGGGGATAAAAAAAAATGCCATTATTCCTTTCTAAACCTCAGTATAAAATGAGGTCTTTCAAATATTTTTCTGGATGGATGTTGTGAATTTTTATTTGCAAGAGTTTTTAAGTGGAAGAATGAGCATGAGCTCCGTGAAGATGGAGTCTACCTCATGTCAGCAGCTGTGTCTCAGGTGCGTGACACAACCTGGCACAGAATTGGCACGCAGTGAGTCTAAGCCATGAATAGGCGCTTATCTCTTCTTCGTGCTTAGGGGAAAATTGATACAAAGTTCTTTTGAATTAAAAGTAAATGTGTAAGATGATGCGTGAGCCACCAAGTAACAAGAAATACTGATTTTATTCTGCAGATCTCCCTTTACATTTAAATGCTGCCATGTTTGAGGCCAACGGTGGATGTGGTTATGTTTTGAAACCCCCCGTTCTGTGGGACAAGAACTGTCCCATGTACCAGAAGTTTTCACCCTTGGAAAGAGACCTGGACAACATGGAGCCTGCCGTCTATTCCTTAACTGTAAGTATGGCCTCTGTTGGCAGGATATAGAAGATCTGTAAGCCTTCCTAAACATGAACTGGTTTTGACTTCAAGGCATCACAGAGGTCTCATGTCACAATTTTGTTCAGGCAGATTTAGTTCCCAAAAGCATTTCTTTACCTCTCAGAAAGCAGTGGCTTAGGATCCCTGGGTGGCGCAGCCGTTTAGCTGCGCGATCCTGGAGACCCGGGATCGAATCCCACGTCGGGCTCCCGGTACATGGAGCCTGCTTCTCCCTCTGCCTGTGTCTCTGCCTCTCTCTCTCTCTCTCTGTGTGACTATCATAAATAAGTAAAAATTAAAAAAAAAAAAGAAAGAAAGAAAAAGAAAGCAGTGGCTCTGGTTTAGGTACACTGTCACCAGGCCCTATATTTGCCAGAGCCCAGTAGGTGGACTTATGAGGTCCTTGCTTCACCTGCATGCTGATAATGTTAATTCTATATTCCAGCCCCCGAGCTTTGTAACTGCGAGTGGGATCCTGTAAACATTAAGCTCCTGGTTAGAGCAGATCATCTTAAACTCTGACAAGTTCTTACAAGATCAGACAGGCCTCAATATACAAATCAAATAAATATTTTTTCTCCTTACAGTTTAACCTCTATCAGCCCTGCACCCCTCCTTGTTCCTTTTATTACCTAATTTACTAATCATCAGAACGCCACAGGCTGCCCCCTAACAGCTCAGCCCCGGTAGCTCATCACCCACACTTATTCACTGCTCTTTCCCTCCCAATAAGCTGATAGAGACAAAAACCCACCAGATGGTGATAGGAAAGGCAGGGAAGGACGAAGTTACCTTTTCTCTCCATCTTCACATCTTGTCTGTCCCTCTGCAGAGACTGCTGGACAGCCTGTGCTCACGACACCTCAGAGCCCCAGGGCTACAGGGAGCAGCGGGGTGGGGGGAAACCTGCTCACAGGTGTTCCTCCTATAGTGCTTTTCTCTGCCCCCAAGACCAGGGCAGCAGCCCCTTTCTGTTTGACCATTTCAGCTGGACTGAGCATAGTTCCATCTACTTACAGAAGGTGGTGGATCATTTTTAACAATATTCCCTGTGACCTGCTCCAAAACTAAACTATTTAAGAAAACGATTTGAGGTATATCAAATATAGACACCTAAAACATTTTGAGCAGAATGTCAATAACCAGTTCTCGGTGACATTGCTTTCAGTCCCCTTTTCTCTTGCCTTCTTGAGAAATTTTATTATCTTAACTGCTTGGTTTTTGAAAGTATTTGGCCGTTTTTACAGTTGAAAGGTTGCAGTCAGGTGAATGCTGTTGACAAAATAGGCTTTCACATTATTCCAGTCATGTGATTACCTAATGACAATCACTTTTTTTTTAAGCAACTTTATTAACCATTTACCCCGTTTCATTCCAGAGTGTTCTCTTTCTTGGTGGAGGGAAGGAATGCTTAGTTTCTTTTGCATCTTCAGTGACTTTGATCCTTTTCTCACCACTCAGATTGTCTCTGGTCAAAACGTGTGCCCAAGTAGCAGCACAGGAAGCCCATGTATCGAAGTGGACGTGCTGGGCATGCCCCTGGACAGTTGCCACTTCCGCACAAAACCCATCCACCGGAACACTTTGAACCCCATGTGGAATGAACAGTTTCTCTTCCGGGTTCACTTTGAAGATCTCATATTCCTGCGTTTTGCAGTTGTGGAAAACAATAGCTCAGCCATAACCGCTCAGAGAATCATCCCCCTCAAGGCTTTAAAACGAGGTAGAATAAAATTGTCAAAATGGTAATAATTCTTGCAGCTAACTGATGGATGCCCTGGAGTTCCTGATGCTCTTCTCTCATCTTGTGTGTATGTTTAAAATTTCCATGGTACAAAGTTAAAATAAGAGGCACAAAGAGATGATAAAAATTTGAACACTGTTTAAGCACATCTCAACAGAGATTTATCTTTTACATTATCCTACAACCAGAGGTGTTGACAACATCCCGTAAGAGTGCAGCGTCTCATTCTGCTCATGCAGGGAGGAGTGGTTGTGCTCCTTTTCCCACATGCTCCCTCCCAGTAACGCCCGCCGCATCTCGGCATGTTTAAAGCAGGGACTGATGTTAGGAGAGGAGCCCAAGGGGTGCCTGGTAGCTTGGTCAGTAAAGCACAGGACTCTTGTTCTCAGGGTCTTGAGTTCAAGCCCTATGTTGGGTCTGGAGCTTACTTGAAAAAAAAATTTTTTTGTTTAAGCAGGCAGAGAAGAGCCTGAGAGGAGGGGGGCCCAGGGTGTACTCATCACAGAGGCGGGCCAAAGGTGGAGTTGGACCCACCATGGCCGGGGTGCGGGGGGCTGGAGGTGGGTGTTGGGGACGGAGCAGGGGCAGGTGGAGAGTCCTGAGCAAAGGCCAGAGCCAGTGGCCTGATGTGGTTCAGCTTTGCTGTGGCACTCCTGGAACTTTAGCTAGTTGCTCCAGTCAGCACCACTGCATTTGCTCCTCCAGCTTGAAGTGTATCAGAGTTTCCTGGGACTCTTGGTAATAAAATGCAGATTCTAACTCAGAGGATCTGAGGTGGGGCATGAGATTCTGCATTTCTAACAAGGTGCCTGGGATGCTGCCCCTGCTGTTCTACTTTGAGTAGAAGGTTCTAGTACATTCTTCTTCCCACAGCCACATTCCAACTGGCACAAACATGTTACAGGCTCCTACATTTTGTTCTTTTCCTGTTTTTTCTTCTCCATGGTGCAAGTAGTACTTGGGCACTGCCTTCGTCAGCTCAGGCTACTAGAACAGACCAGAGGCTTAAGCAGCAAACATTTCTTTTCTCACATTTCTGCAGGATCGATATCTCCCAAGGCCTCTCTCCCTGGCTTGTAAGACAGCCACCTTTTCGCTGTGTCCTCACATGGCTATACCTTGGTCCCTGTGCATGGCGCCTGGCGTCTCTCTGTCTTTGTGCTAATCTCCTCTTTTTATAAGGACACCAATTAGGCTGGTGTAGGGCTTACCCTAATGACCCATTTTAACTTCCTTAAAGGCCCTAACCCCCTTTAAAAGCTTTACCTCCAGATATAGTCACATTCTGAGGTCCTGAGAGTGAGAGCTTCAACGTAAGAATTTTGGGAGGACACAGTTCAGTTCATAACAGTTATTGCAGAAATATGAGAAAGCACAGAGAGGCAAAAACATTCTTACATACTTTACATGATATACATACATATACATACTATGTAATTTTTTTTTCTGCAAATAGGCTTTTTTACAAAACACCATTCAGTGGTTTTTTGTTTTGTTTTGTTTTGTTTTACCACTCAGTGTTTTGAGCCTGACTAGTTCTCACTTCCTGATTTGGTGGGTGAACAACTTTTCATGTTGACTGCCATGAATCTTCATCACCACTTTTACTGGCTACATGTTATTCCATTTCATACTAAAACATTCACACCATAATTTACTTAGCCAGCCCCCTGTTGGAATATTATCACTAAAAATGTTCTAAAAGGAATATTTGTAAAACAGTGACTATGGGTGACTTGATAAGAAATGATCAGGTCTTCCCAATATATTTTGTTTGAGTGTAGGATTTTCAGTTTGAGTCTGAGTCAGAAACAATACATGGACAAGTTACTTACCACTAAGCAATCCAGAACTATCCCCAGGGGCAGCAGTCTGCTGATGAAAGGCCATCTGTTGGCTGCATGCCTGCTGCCACTCCCTGCCCATCTCAAGGCCTGATATCTGCTAGCCATTTATTGACCTTCCTGGGGTATCTTTTGCACAGAGCTCTGGGGTACATGGCTAACAAGCTTCTCCAATTCTGCATCATTCCAGGATATCGACATCTTCAGCTGCGAAACCTCCACAATGAAGTCTTGGAAATCTCTAGTTTATTCATAAACAGCAGAAGGATGGAAGAAAATTCCTCCAGCAGTGCCACGCCAGCCTCTTTGGTAATGAAGTTCCATTTCACTCAGCTTATTTTCAAGGATTGCTATGCTGGGGGTAGGCTTTCTTGCGGCACAGTACCCGGGCCATTAGAGTTCTTAATTAGGTAATAATGGAAGTAATAATAACTATAACATCTGGCACTTGTTGCTTTCTGTGCACTTTACATCTATACTGACTCGGTTAATCCTCTCAAGTAACTTTGAGAAATAGCTATTGATACCATCTCCATTCTATAGGTGAGGAAGGTCAGAGCCAAGTATATCTGAGGTCACACAACTGTAAACCCAAGTTATTCTAGCGCCAGAGCCCATATTCCTAATGAGTACATGATAGTGCCTGCTGAGGAGGTGAGCCCAAAATAATACCAAGGGGAAGACACTAATTAAGCAAAGCTTGGGGGAGATGCAGAATCAACCCTCTTGGAAATGGGAGGGGAACACCACAGAAAGAGCCACCATTGCAGATTCTCTGTTTTAATAAGTTCCCCATGTAAGTTGTATGCCCACGAAAGTTCAAGAACCATTGGACCAGCACTCACCCCAGTAATGCAGGGTTGTTTACTTAAACAAGTAGCACTGCTTTAATTAACTGGTTGATACCATTGTCTTGCCCTTTAGAAATGAATTTAAAATGGTGCCCATTGATTACCTCTTTACATATTTGATAACCTGTTCCATCAGTCTTACACTTCATCATAGTGCTAACAACCTGTGGAAAGGCGTCCTGTATGCTCACAAATGGCACTAGCTTGACCACTGCCATGGCCACCTATAAATCCCCCAGCTTTCTTCTCTATTCCTCTTCCCCTCACCTCATCAGTGTCTTCTCTCTCTCTCTGTCCTGACCTCATTTCCTTAGGTTCTCTTCCTTTTCCCTTCAGTGTATGGCCAAGGTCGAGAATAGCACCTTGGCCAAGGTGAAGGGAGCACTGCCTGTACATGTGCAGAGGACGGGGAAGCAGGGCCAGGGCTGCCTGGTACCTAAGGGCAAGAATCAGACACTTTCACAAAGCTGAAGCAGGGCTTAGTGCCATATTCTGAGTCCATCACCCTGCATACCGATTAGCACTGAAGATTCCACACATGCCATGAATGAATCATTGTTCCTCACAACACTTCTGACACCAGATATGCAGTGTCTTTTCTGACACTTAGCTGGGTGTCCTACCTTTCAATTTGATTCTTACACAGTCTACCTGGAGTTAGCAACAGATCCCAGAGTTAAAGGCTCAGTCCCACAGGACTGTCCCCACTTCGCATTCCAGTGGCAAGTCTCAGGCTGTCGCTGGTACCGCAGACTGACCAGCTATAAGTTCAAGGTTTTCCACAACCTGCTCCTCAGTTTCAGGAATTTCCTAGAATCATTCACAGAACTCAGAAACATGCTTTACTATTACCAATTTATTATTAAGGATGCAACTCAGGAGCAGCCAAGTGGAAGAGATACATGGAAAAGAGGGTACAGAGCCTCCCTGCCCTCTCTGGGTGCACCAGCCTCTCAGCATCCCGAAGCGTTCACCAACCCAGAAGCTCTCAATCCCCATCTTTTAGGGGTTTTTATGGAGGCTTTGTCCCCTTTTTGGGGACAGAAATAATAATAAAATAAAATAATAATTCCAGGGCCAGGCATAATGTCTGATTCAGCTCTCCATCAATGAATATTTATTTTGAATTAATGAGTATATCTTAATATACAAAATTCTCAGAAAGTTATGAGTTACACATCTTCTCAGCTCTTACTAAAACAGAAAAGCTTTTCATAATTGTTTGTGTGCCTGAGCAGTGAGCCCTCAAAGACCATAATATTCTGTTTATCATCTTACCAACCAAAATTCTAACCCAGGATCCTAAACAGAACTTAATAGACACTATTGAAGGTCAGTTCATAAGTAAGAACTAACATACATTTCAAGTATCATCAGTCTCCTAAGTATGATGGAAAGAGTCCCTATTATTTAAAATAAATTAATATTTTAATGTTATGCAGCTAATATCCTCACTAGACTATTTTTTTAAGATTTTAATAATTTATTCATGAGAGACACAGAGAGAGAGGCAGAGACATAGGCAGAGGAAGAAGCAGGCTCCGTGCAAGGAGCCCAATATGGGACTTGATCCCGGGACTTTGGGATCATGTCCTGAGCCAAAGGCAGACCCTCAATCACTGAGCCACCCAAGTGTCCCTATCCTCACCAGACTATTAAGGAAGATGCACCATCACCTTTTCAGTCACAAATATACGCATCGGGTATAGAAGAATGATTTTCTTTTGCATATATGTGTCCCCTACAGACTTCTAAGAACTAGCACTTCTGTATTGAATGTAGCCTAGAAATAACATGAGAATGAGAATGAATGAGAAACCATGCTATCTTCCTTGACAGATGTTTAATACAGAAGAAAGAAAATGTTTGCAGACTCACAGAGTCACAGTGCATGGGGTCCCAGGTCCAGAGCCCTTTACTGTTTTCTCCATAAGTGGAGGCACGAAGGCAAAGCAGCTTCTCCAACAGGTGAGTCCACTAAGCCCACGGTTAGGAGAGTCCAGCATCTAATATATATGGTGTGTGTGTATGTGTGTAAACACATGTGCAAACAAAAAAACACACATAAAACACAAAGTCCATGTTGGTGATCTACTTTTTGATTATTTGTATGATTCAATACTGAGACCCACCCTAAGAATGACCTGCGAGAACTTGGTACCACTAGACAAGCTAACCTGTAGAAAAGAATTTTTTTTAAGTTTTATTTATTTATTCATGATAGACATAGAGAGAGAGAGGCAGAGATACAGGCAGAGGTTCGAGAAGCAGGCTCCACACCAGGAGCCCGACGCAGGACTCGATCCCGGGACTCCAAGATCGGGCCCCGGGCCAAAGGCAGGCGCCAAACCGCTGAGCCACTCAAGGATCCCCTAGGAAAGAATTTTTAACCTTTCTTCAAACACATAAAAACACGGGGCTCAGGAAGGGTAAAGATCAGAAGGAGAGGCTCTCCAAACGTGGTAGTCTTTGCTTCTCAGCCTAGACCTGGGCTCCATCTCCCTTTTTAATGAAGAGCTTACTGATCAATCAGAATTTGCACACAAGCTGAATGGAATTTGTTTGCCGTCCTAGGAGTTGAATCAACTTTTTAGAGCATCAGGTTGGAGCACATAGCCAAGAAGACATGTTCAGTCTTTATTTAGGTCTTTATTTGCATGTTGAGCACTGCCCTTATCCCTCTTCCCCTGGCACTTGATCTTAACCCTTGAGATCCTACCCCTCTGGTAGTGCAAAGATGCCAACAGGGCCTAACACAAAAGGATAAGTTGTTCCCCAAAGCCCGCAGCAGCACTGGCCTGAGTACCCTCACATGATACTGCTTCTACATGGGATCCCCCAGAGATCTCTGCGGCTTTCTGTAGGCAGGGCCACTGCCCCACAGGAGGACATGTCAGAGTGAGAAAGCTGGGAACAAAGCAGCATCCAGAGGGAGGCAGCTCCTCAAAAGGAGAGGCAAACCCAAACCCATGTGTGATGTCTTTTCGCTTCATACTACAAACTCCACCCCTGCTTGGCACAGTGACCTAACATCCTTGCAGACTAACCCAGTTCAGAATCCCTTCTCCTCCTTGCAGGTAGACCAAGGGAGCAGTGACCAAAAGGAGTGACCCTTGGGCTCTCTCTGAAGTTAGGGTGTATAATGAAATGTAGTTGGGATTATACAATGTATGGGGTGGGAGGGGGTCAAGATTAAAAACCAATCAAACAACCATAAGGAACAAGAGAAATAGTTCTGGTTTTTGAGAGGAAGTCTCTATGGACAGGCAACATTTTGCCCCATTTTATAATTGACCTAAAGTCAGAGGAAACAGCTTAAGTGCCAGATTTCATAGACTAACAGAAGCTCTACCAAGACTTTGCAGTGGGGGGCAGGGGCAATATTCGTTTTGGGGGCATGTTTTTGTTTTGTTTTTAATTTATTTATTCATGAGAGACACACAGAGAGAGGCAGAGACATAGGCAGAGGGAGAAGCAGGGACCCCGATGCAGGACTCGATCCCAGGACCCTGGGATCACACCATGAGCCAAAGGCAGATGCTCAACCACTGAGCCACCCAGGCATCCCTTGTTTTTGTTTTTTAAAGCAATCAGGCCATGAATTTCAGTGTCTACTCTCACAAAGTATTGTTGGGGATTTGGAGACTCTATAATGAAAACATTAAGTATGGCAATATGTCCACAGAACACCCATAAAAAAGAAGCCGATTACTTTATTGTCACCTCATGTGAATAATGCCATGGATATCAAGCAGAACTGAGGAGGGGGTGATGCTGGCCCTCTCGTTGGGGTGAGGTACCGACTGTCCTACTCTCGGAAGCGTCACATCCTGAATTACTCAGTAGTAGTAGCTGTCTTGCCCCCACAGGATCCATAGCCCAGCATCAATTACAGACTGAGGACTGGGGTGAAGGGAGCAGTGTCTTCCTGAGAATCTTCCGCCTCCACCATCCTCAGTTCACTCTGTTCTTCCTCCCAGCCAAACAAAGCAGGGCCAAGTGTTGGCTCTGGTAGTTGCATCATTGGTGGGCAAGGAGCAAAGTGTCTGCCTAACCCAAGCCAGATGGTGGCAGCCTTCTCGATCCCCGCTTGGAGTCCAACCTTCTGTCCTCACTTGTATGAGGCGAATGTGAAGCAATGCATCAGCCAGAGGAGGCTTTTTTTTTTTTAATTTTTATTTATTTATGATAGTCACACAGAGAGAGGCAGAGACATAGGCAGAGGGAGAAGCAGGCTCCATGCACCAGGAGCCCGACGTGGGATTTGATCCCGGGTCTCCAGGATTGTGCCCTGGGCCAAAGGCAGGCGCTAAACCGCTGCACCACCCAGGGATCCCAGCCAGAGGAGCCTTAATGTTGGCTAGTGTTGAATAAGTTCTCACAATGTGTCTGTGTCCTGCTTCATAACCAGTGCCTCCATCATAAAACGAAATTAAGAGAATGTTACTCTTACTATTACCATTTTATGGATGGGGAAACTGAGTCTCCTGCCCAACCCCCAACAACCAATAAGTATTAAAGGCAAACCCAAGGCCCGGGTCTGTCTGGCTCCAGAGCCTCATCTCAGCCACTCTGTTGGGTCGCCTGGGGTCAGTAGCCAAAAAAGAAAACAAGCTTGGAGGCACAGTGTCAAGAGTTAATTGAAAGGAGAATTCCCAGCAACTTAGATCAGATGAGATTAGAAGACAAGTATTTCCAACACAAGGAAAAGAGAGGATGTTGGTAAAATCTGTGCTAGGTTCTTTGCCAGTGGTCCTGTGTTGTAAGATTACAGAGAGCTAAATTCATAGATTGGGAAGCCTAAAGTTCTTAATTCAGTAGGAGCTCTCATTCCAGCTGTGGGAAAAATAGTTATGCTCTCTGGGGATTATGAATAAATTGTGTCGTTGCCCAGAATGAACATAAACAATCCTTGTTGAATATAAGAGAGTTCTGAGGTTTTCCAGGAAGAATTAGGCAACACTACAGAGTAGGTCTCACTTATAAATGGCACATCAAACCTATGTAAACACTGTGAAAATAGGCTTATCTTGTGAGGTTGTGTGTGTGTGTATTTATTCAAGTATAGTTAACATACAGTGTTGTATTGATTTCAGGGGTACAACAATGTAATGATTCAATAATTCTCTACAGTGCTCGGTACTCACCACGATAAATGCACCGTTAATCCCCCTTCACCCATGTCACCCGTCCCACCGCCCAGCTCCCCTCTGGTGACCGTCAGTTTGTTCTCTGTAGAAAACAGGCTTATTTTTGGATTAAAGTTTTGCCTTTGCTTTTTCCTTAGATTCTAACTTCTGAACAAGACACCAAACCTATTGTCACAGACTATTTTTTGATGGAAGAAAAATATTTTATATCTAAAGAAAAGAATGAATGCAGGAAACAACCATTTCAGAGAGTCATTGGTCCAGAAGAAGAGATCATGCAGATTTTAAGCAGCTGGTTTCCAGAGGAAGGATATGTTGGCAGGATTGTCTTAAAAACCCAGCAGGAAGTAAGTGTGTCCTACACCATAACAACTCAGTATGTGACTAACCACCTCACCACTAGCCACCTCCTTAATTCAGAATTTCTTGTAATTGAAGTTGCTTTATGTTCTTCCTCTTAAGTAAATGTGCAGAAATGATTTTATTCTTCTGCATGTATCAAGAATGTTCTAAGTTACAGAAATTCAGTCTAAAAATTATCCTTTGTGTAAGAAAGGGAGCAAGAATTCAAAGGATTCCTTTTGCATGCCATCGGGGTAGGTGGGTCCAGGATTTGATTTATGTGCGAAGAGGCATTGTCTGAAGGGTCGTGGTAATGTGTCACGCTAGTCCCATTGGTGTTTTACATTTAGAGATTGGTTTCATGCGTACTAAAGTTTTGGCTAATAAAACGTTCTGTGCTTATAGGTAAAAACAACAGTAGTTCCTTGAAAATATTCTATAACTTCAGAAAAAGAATAATCTCTCAGCCTTAGCCAGAATTAGTAAAAATTAACATTACGTTCACTAACATTCCCGTGGTCACTCCCATGAAGGAAACAATTCTAACATTGTTAGCTCTTGTTGGACTTCGTGATTTTTTTTTTTCCAGAATAAACTGATGAGAGCCCACTAGCTTACTGCCATTTTTTAAAATGATGTATAAAGTCATTGCCTCAGTGTAGACGGTCATGCCTCATGATATGTCAATAATGAAGGAGTTGGGTCAGTTCAACAATTAGAGTAAACAATATTTATTGAGCACCTAATATGAGCCAAGCCCTGCTCTAGGCACTCAATTGCTCCTTTGGGGCATGTAATAGAGCTTGGTTGGCATAATGCCCATCAGAGGCCATGATGTTGGGACACAGTGGAGATGATAATGAGGCAGTTTTCAGCATCATATGCTACTTTTTTACTGTGTACCTAATTATGAACATGGCCTACAGCCTCCATGGAGCTACAGCACCTGCTCTGGGAGCCACAGCCATTGCCTTTCTTCCTAACCTTGCCCTAGACCATAAAAGGACACTTCGTTTAGGCAGAGAAATATAATTGTTTCCCTAGCCTCCTCTTCCTCTCAGACATTCACATTGTAAAGACAGGTAACAGGGGATCCCTGGGTGGCTCAGCGGTTTAGCACCTGCCTTTGGCCCAGGGCGCGATCCTGGAGCCGCAGGATCGAGTCCCACGTCAGGCTCCCTGGCATGGAGCCTGCTTCTCCCTCTGCCTGTGTCTCTGACTCTCTCTCTCTCTCTCTCTCTCTCTCTCTCATAAATAAATAAATAAATCTTTAAAAAAAAAGTAAAGACAGGTAACAAGCAGTTCTAATAATTATAGCTTTATGAGAAAATATCAGAGGGCTTACCTGGGCTTTGGAAGCCATCTTCAATTTCTCTCTACATTTTTTCTTATTATTCTTCATTGTCTTGCCTCATTCTCTAGCTACGTGTAAAAAAACTACTCTCTAAGTGATAATGTCAGTAAGTGAATTTTCAAACCATGTAGTTGTGTAATGACTTACAGTGTTTAAAGTTCTCACTCACTGCTTTCAATTGAGGGAATGGAAACCATCTCACACATAAAGAAATGGAGGTTCACAAGGTTAAATCATGATAAGGTAAGCCAGCACTGTGCCCAGCACTGGAGGCAGCAAGAAGGAGAGAACATGGGCAGGCTGTTTTGAGTGTCATATAGCCAAAAGGGCTGTGGAGGCTAGGAATGCCCATCTCCAACTTAAAATGCACAAGGGGCGCCTGAGGTACATTGGGTTAAGCTTCTGACTCTTGGTTTTGGTTCCTGTCATGATCTCAGGGTCCTGGAGTCGAGCTCCACATAGGGCTCCACACTGAGCATGGAGTCTGCTTGTCCCTCTCCCCTCTGGCACTCTCTCTCTCTCTTTCTCTTTCTCTCTATAATAAATAAATTAAATAATTAATTAATTAAAATATTTGAAATGTATATGAAAGGGGTTCCTGGGTGGCTCAGTGAGTTAAGCATCTGCCTTTAGCTCAGGTCATGATCCCAGGGTCTTGGGATGGAGCCACACGTCGGGCTCCCTGCTCAGCAGAAAGTCTCCTTCTCCCTCTCAATCTGCCTGTAGCTGCCCCCCTGCTTGTGTTCACTCACTCTCTGTCAAATAAATAAATAGAATCTCTTTTTTTAATAAATAAAATGTATATGAAAACAGGCTGTAGAGACCTGAGGAATAAATATTTAATAAAGACTGGTGGAAGAGAAACATTCTGAAGAATACAGGGATAAATTAGAAGGGAAGGCTAACAAGCATTTTCTGATGGGGAAAATACAGTAAGCTCTCCTGTATAATGCCTTTGTGGGAGGATTTTTAAAAAGATTTTATTTATTTATTTATTTATTTATTTATTTATTTATTTATTTATTTGAGAGAGAAAGAGAGAGAGCAGGAGTCGGGGAAGGGGGGGAGGGAAAAGCAGACTCCCCACTGAGTAGGGAGCCTGATTCGGGACTTGATCCCAGGACCCCAGGATCATGACCTAAGCCAAAGGCAGGCACTTATCCAACTGAGCCATTCAGGCGTGGGGAGGTTTTTGAAGTGACTGACATGTTCCTGCTAAGATAACAAATCACATTTAAAGTGTTTGGGTTGGGACGCCTGGGTGGTTCAGTCGTTGAGCATCTGCCTTCAGCTCAGGGTGTGATCCCGGAGTCTTGGGATCGAGTCCCACATCAGGTTTCCCTGCATGGAGGCTGCTTCTCCCTCTGCCTGTGTCTCTGACTCTGTGTCTCTGTGTCTCTCTTGAATAAGTAAAATCTTAAAAATAAATAAATAAATAAATAAAGTGTTTAGGTTGAGCTGGTACATAGTGACACACACAGGTACATATTTGCTGACTGAATACATGAATTCAGCAGTTATTGAATGAACAGATACTAGCATAGTCGATAGGTCTGAGCTATAAGTATTTCCACTTATTTCATTCTGTGGAACTCGTGAGATAAAAGTAGTTTGCCCACATATTCAAAGTCCCCAAACTGCTATGACCTCTGATCTCTTCTGCCCGCCTGCCTGCCCGCCTTGTATAGTTGTCTTGCCTCCTAGGCTCTCAGGTGGTCAGGATCACATCTTCCTGCCATCAGTATGCCCTCCTGTGACACCTCCTGGATGTGAAATCAGACAGACCTGGCTCTGCCACAAATTAGATGGCCTTGGACAGCTTGTTTAACTTCTGTAAACCTCTGTTCCCTAACCTGTAAATCTGTAATAGAAACTACTTTACCTGATTACAAAAGATTAACATGAGGGGATCCCTGGGTGGTGCAGCGGTTTGGCGCCTGCCTTTGGCCCAGGGCGCGATCCTGGAGACCCGGGATCGAATCCCACATCGGGCTCCCAGTGCATGGAGCCTGCTTCTCCCTCTGCCTGTGTCTCTGCCTCTCTCTCTCTCTCTCTCTCTGTGACTATCATAAATAAATAAAAATTAAAAAAAAAAAAGATTAACATGAGACTCATGCCAAACATATAGACCATATGAAGAAAAATGTTTAGTAAGCCTAAAGAGCTTCAAGAGAAGGCTGTTGTTCTGGCCATAGAAGCTGTGCCTTCTAATGCGGCAGAGAACTCCTTGCAAACAAATAAGTTCTGAGTGAGGTTCCAAGGAGCTCTCTTGAAAGTCATGCTTATTGCATAGTTATTGAGGTATTTTATGTGTCTATTAGAACCTTTTTTGGTTTTTTTATGCTTGCTTGCTTCGTGGTTTTCAAGATACAGATTATAAATTGTCAGATGAATTACCACCCAACCCCACTCCCCAACTGATTAAATATATTGTGATCAACACAGTGACATATTACACAGCTAAGTCTCTAGGAACTGACACGAAATGAACACCACAATCTTTTAAGTAGGGACAAAAAACAAGTTGCAGAACATTATGTGAAGTTAATATAATATAGACGGTAACTCCCCCCTCCCCAACACCCGTAATATAACAAATGGGGTCCAGAAACATCAGTCATGAAAACTGTAGAGACCATGACTGCAAGATTAAAGAAATGATTGGGGTGAGCCTGTGGGCTGATTGACAAGCTCCAGGAACCAGTCCTTTCCTGTCCTGGCTGTGGTTTGGCGCCACCTGGTGACGATATCCATTCTGACTTTTATATCAATGGGGACAATTCTGGGTCCCTAAGGCTGGTTGGAACCTCCAGAATAGTGACAGCGATTCTTGGATTTCTCTGGTTTGTTAGCACCATTTCAGTGACTTGATCTGAGGAGATTAGGCTAGGAAACTGTTGAAGATCAAAGGACCTTCCTGCTAAATGCTCACTTCCTGAGATGGGGTTGTCCCTCCCTCCTTCAGACCTCCCCCTTGCAGAAGCTAACCTACCCTTCATTTGAGACTAGAGCTAACAACAAACAGGAGTTATTTGGTGATTACATTAAATCTAAATTCACACAATTCCAGGGCTTCATTGTATATACGTGTTCACATACACAGAAATACATATATCCATAGCAGATGTTTAGAAGTATATATGACCTAACAACAGCGGGTTTTTTGTAGAGAAGACGAGAGGAGTGAAAAAGCTGATAATAGGGGAAGTATGGCTTTTTATCAATATATTTCTATACTGTTTGAAAGAATTTTAATAAGGTACATGTCTATAGATACATCTAAATATACTTAAAGTTACATGTGTAAAATTTACTGAAAGCCAGTTCACCAAAGCCAATTAACCTGATGATCAATTGTCTTAATTATTGAGAATTTTGTCAATATTCGTTTCAGGGTATCCTACCTCCAGCCATTATTTCAGCCTTTTCACCACTGGTTCTTTTCTTCCAGCCTGGCTGAGGGGCAGTTTGCATGTTTCATTGTTCAGATATCTAGCATTTCTTAAATGTGTAGGGAATGGATGGGCTTTATCTTAAATATAATTACTGTGTTCTTATTTGGCTTTTGGTAATTGGCAATTTGGTACATTGTCCTTCTACAAATATATCTCCAGTTGACTTGGACCCAAAATCTACAGGTAGTTGGAGTAGGTGTACTGGCTTATTGTGAGCCAGACCTTAGCAGTCTGTCAACATCAGCAGAAATACCTACATTGGGACCTCTGGGTGGCTCAGTGGTTGAGCTTTTGCCTTCAGCTCAGGTCGTGATCCCAGGGTCCTGGGATTGAGTCCCGCATTGGGTTTCCCACAGGGAGCCTGCTTCTTCCTCTGCCTGTGTCTCTGCCTCTCTCTGTGTCTCTTATGAATAAATAAATAAAATCTTTAAGAAAAAAAGAAAAATACCTACATTACTTTCTTTCCCTCAGAAGACATGGGTATTCCTGTGGAATCATTTATGAACTATTAAAGTGTATGAAATAGAAAGCTGAGAAATGGTTTCTACATTGCCCAGATACAGCTCACGTTTCCACTGTGGGTTTTTCTTTCTTGCTGTACATCCTCTTACCATTTACTCATACTTTTCTTCTTTTTTAAACACAGAACCTAGAAGAGAGAAGCATTGTTCAAGATGACAAAGAAGTGATCTTGAGCTCGGAGGAGGAGAGCTTCTTTGTCCAAGTGCATGACGTTTCTCCAGAGCAACCTCGGACGGTCATCAAAGCGCCCCGTGTCAGCACCGCTCAGGATGTCATTCAACAGGTGAAAGCCTCCCCCTTGCTTGTCTCAGTCTGCTCCTCAGTGTAAATCACTGGGACAAATCAAATGTCAGCTTGTCTTATGAATGAAGTTCTAGAACAATGGAGAAATGAAAAGGGAGAGTGTGTCTCTAGGTTGGGATACTAGTTCATTCCTTTAACAGACACTGGCCTAGTATCTGTTGGGAGTCCGGCTCTCTGTGGAAGGGTTGATAACAGATTTAAGAGGGGACTCCACAGAGTAGTAATTTCATCATCTCAGAAATGCTTAAGCCAGGCCCTGGTGACTGTTTCTTAAAGATCTTACAGAGGACATGCTGGAGGCCTTCTCTGGCCCTCTCGCTCCTCTAAGTCTTGCTACTTGGCATAGATTGTTTCAAAAAACTGTATCTCCTTTCTTCAAGCCTCGTGATGGTTTGTGTTTATTAAATGCCCATTTGAGAAGTGGTAAAGCCAATGGTTCATGGCACAGACTCTAGATCAGATAGCTCCAGGATCAAATCCCAGCTCTACTTCCTAGGGCCTCAGTTACAGTGGTGTGCTGGGAAACCAGCTCTCCTAAAGAAAAAGAAAAAAGAAAAAAAAAAAAGCCCTAATTGATATTTAGTATTTTGCCAATTTCTTTCTTTCTTTCTTTCTTTCTTTCTTTCTTTCTTTCTTTCTTTCTTTCTTTCTTTCTTTCTTTTCTTTCTTTCTTCTCTTTCTTTCTTTCATTTTCTTGATTTTATTTATTTGAGAGAGGGAGAGAGCCTGAGCATGAGAGGGGGGTAGGGGGATGCAGAGGAAGAGGGAGAAGCTGACTCCCTGCTGAGCAGGGAGCTTGATGTGGCCAATCCTGAGACTCCAGGATCAGGACCTGAGCTGAAGGCAGACGCTCAATGGACAGAGGCATCCAGGTGCCCCTAGTATTTGCCAATTCCTGTTGCATGGATACTGCAGCATGTCTGATTTTATGGCCTGTTCGAGTTGGTTCCAGCACACTATATTATATACTGGGTGGTAAGCTACTGCATCGGTAACATGGAGATAGTATAACAGTACTTTCCACACAGAGTTGTTGTGAAGATTAAATCAGTAAATATACATAAGGCGTTCAATGCCTAGCACCTGGTAAGCACTATTTAAGTGCTATTTGCTATCACTACATGATCAGGTGGTTAATATTTTCCTCCTTAATAGAGTTTGACTCTAAGAGAGACTAGACACGTTTGTTTGTTTCCTTTATCTCCCAAAGTATAGTACGTATCTGGAACACAGAAGGCCCTCAGTAAACATTTGATGAACAAGTAAATGTATAAATGAAAGATGATCTTGTACTAAATGGGAAGTGAGACCAGGCAAATTACGAAAATGCCTTCCACATCCAAGACCCTGTGACAAGGAGACAGCCTGCTGGGACAGAGAGGCTCCCAAGGGTCAGGACTCTGTCCCTCATGGTCTCTGTGACCTTCATGTCCATGAGGCTTGGTGCATGTAGCAAGTCCAGTAGAAGTCCTTACTCTGTTACTCAGTAGCTGTGCATTCTCTGGAATCTGCTTAACCTCCATACATTTAAGTTTTCTTGTCCAAAAATGGGGTAATATGTAAATCAGGGTCTGTTGTGAAGCTTCATCAGGTAACATGGGAAAGCATATTATACGCAACAACCACACAAATGTCAAATGAGGGATGGGACGATACAATCTGAAAGTTCCCCTCCTTCTCTAAAAGTTGGTGACATGTTCCCACCTTAGAGTTTCATTCGGAATGGATGCAGGTGCTGGAGATGATGTGTCAGTATCCAGTTGACCATCACTTATCTTTCAGACCTTATGCAAAGCCAAATATTCCTATAGCATCCTGAGTAACCCCAACCCGAGTGACTATGTGCTTCTGGAAGAGGTGGTGAAAGATGCTACCAAGAAGTCCTCCACCCCAAAGTCCTCCCAGCGGGTCCTTTTGGACCAAGAGTGTGTGTTTCAAGCCCAGAGCAAGTGGAAAGGTGCTGGAAAATTCATCCTCAGGCTAAAGGAGCAGGTGCAGGTAAAGTTCAAAGCTTTCTTGCTCTCTCCACAAAGGATCTGATGTTCTTAACTACGTGGTAATCAAATCTGGGAACTTGTGAAATCTAGGAAAAAGTTTCAAAGTCAAGGAATATTGTTGGGAGAAAACTGTTTGGCTTTGTTTTTACTACATGAAGAGAAATGTGCTCCCTGCTGTGGTTAAGCGGTCCTGAGATGGGATTCCCACAGCACTTCTTCCCAAAGCTCTCCTGAGAGAGGAAGAAGAAAGGGCTCCATGAGAGCTTGTTAGGTGATTGAGGATCCTGGCTTTTACCTTATACCCATGGAAAGTTTTTTTTTTCCACAGGCATCCCGAGAAGATAAAAGAAAAGGCATTTCTTTTGCAAGTGAATTCAAGAAGTTCACCAAATCAACTAAACAGCCCCGAGGACTCACATCTTCTCAGGTCTTGGCCTCAGAAAGTGCCCAAAACAAGGAGGAGAAGCCCACGGGCAGCTTGTCCTCCAGTGACACCACAGACTCCCGACAATAACCAAGGTTGGCATGTTTTACCCAGGTAGACTGAGTCATTGTACCATTTTGAAACAGGGGCCCATCTATACTACTGTACAAGGCAGCAGGCCCAGAGGAGGATGTCCCCTGAAGTCAGATGGGAATTGTACCAAAAAGCAAGAAAAGGGCTCTGAAGATCCATGTACTTTTAGCATTTATCATTTTAGACCAGTTGTAGATAACTAAAACAAAGGCCCTGAGAGGACAACAACTTGCCCAAACTACTACATCAGCCTCATTTTTGTTCAGACCTGGAACTGCCTTAATTTTCTATCACTAATACAGATATTCTTGAAGGACTGTTGTGGGTCATTCAACTCTCATGCCCTTGCATTTCTAGTTTCATGCTGTCCATTTTGAGGTTTGATTTAGCCACAATGACCTCACCTTGGTCTGCCTCAATTAAAAAATAAAAATCTGGCATTCAAGATCTTATGGTTAGAAAGAAAGCAAAATTGCCTAACAGCCTCTATCTGGAAACGGCAGTAAAGTCAGCCTTTGGTTGCCTGCCCATTGCTAGGTATCTACAGAATAAACTTTGTTCCATCTTTAAATAAATTATATGGAACCCCAACTCAAACAAAAACAAAAAACATAAGGAAACCAAGCATAGATTTTTTTTCATTTAGTTTCTTAATGAACCCAAGGGATTAGTAAAGCTCACTCTTTACCTGTGCCATTGTAGTTCTAAAATTGAGAGACTGCTAGCATAGCGAAGGCATTGCGGCTTACACTGCAGAGCTTCGTCTGCCTTTATCACAGTCAGGAATTTCTTATATACAATCATAGAAGCTCGCAATTAAAGAATTCATTGATACCTTTTGGCAGGACCTAATCTGATTTACACGAGCGCAAAAGAAGGCCCAATACACCGAGCCCATGTTTATAATTTAAGGAGAAAGTCCTGAATAAATGGTCCTCCATACTACAAATGCCTTCAAAACAACCCCCTCCTTCAGAGTATGAATCATGTTATAAACTCTTGTACAAATGGTGCCCTCAAAAAGGCATCCTTCTGAGGACTTTCTGTGCTCATGAGTCCAGTTTTGTGTTTTTACTGCTTTCTGAGAACATAAGGTTTCATGTTACTTACTCAAATTTTCACCCCTGAAGTTTTAAGAGTTACCCCTCAATAATTTAGGAACTCCTGAACAATTATTTTATCTTAACTCTTTTATCTGGAATAAGGCAGAGTTGAAGTAATTCCACCTTTAAGAAAAGTTGAAGTTTATTGTGATTAAATTGGATTGTGATTTTTAAAAAATCTTTCTAAAGGATGTGGTGTTCCAGGGCAGAAATAGGCTCGTGTTCCACCTCCCAGGAACATCGTGTTATAACACTGCGAGTTTATGGCAAATAGTCTCTCCTTCCAAAGCAGCCATCAGACCTGTGGGTTTCTCTTGAACAACACTAAACCCATGCTACACTGCAGATGTTTCTGCTCCTTCATTTTAAATATACTAACAGGTTTATGTATACCACTTTACAGGTGAAGATCTTTTGGTAAGAAGTTAGTCAAGAGTGAACATGGTGGAAACAAATATAATTTCCTTACTTTCATTACACTTCAACTGGAAATTGATTTCTGAACTGAAGCCTTCTTCACTCATGATGTGAGGTCCATGCTGAGGTCAAGCAAAATGACACAGGGCTACCTACCAACCAGTCTCTTGATGAATGCAGCAAAGAAGCCCAGGAGATTGCCATTTTACAAATGTCAGCAGTTGGAACATTGCTAAGCTGCTTGCAGTAACAGACTTAGAGTAAGGGTCAGCAAACTTTGTCCATAAAGGGCCAGACAATAAGTATTTTAGGCTTTATGGGCCATATGATCTCCGTTGCAGCTACTCAGCTTGGCTGTTAACAGTGCAAAAGCAGCCATAGACCATCTATACATGAGTGTGGCTGTGTTCCAATAAAACTATTTACAGACACTGAAATTGCAATTTCATATAATTTTCATGTCACAAGTAATCCTCTTTGGGTTTTTTTTTTTTTCAAGCATTTAAAAATGTAAAACTATTCTTAGTTCAAGAGCCATACAGAAACTGGTGGTGGGCTGGATTTAGCCCAGGGCCATGGTTTGCTGACCCAACTTAGAAAACTGGGAACAAGAGCCACAGTGGTCTGAACACAAGCAAACTAGCTTTCATCACATTCATGGCTGACAATCGGAAGCTTTGGGGCATTGCAAATGTAAATATATCCTGTAAGATTCATTAAAAAGTAAAATGTAGTTTCTATATTGTGCACCATTAGTGGACTCTTTGGCATTTCTTTTTATGTAGAGAATGATGATTTTTTAAAGTTTATTGCTTATGTATTCACAGATTATTCCACTTTTGGTTTTCACAGACTGAATTTAGAATGATGTATAAATTAATATTTTCTGAGTTGTGGCATCTTAACAAGAAATTTAACCATTTCTTAAAGCAAAAGTAGACTGAGTTGGTGTTCGAATTTATTTATTTTGCAAGGTTTGTACTGACACTGTACTTATGTATTTATTATACATAGCTTTCTTGATATTGCTTATGGATTAGAAGCATCAGCGGTTCTATTTGAAGACAAATCTCCTAAAAAGAAAAAATATGTGTTCTCTGAATACCTGACATGGAACAGAATTTCATGTAAAAAAAAAAAAAAAAGCTTTATTTTCATTTCTGATTAACTGAAGAGCTATTGATCCAAGACATAATTGCTATTTAAAGTAATTACCTTTAAAATCTTGCTGCATAAACTATCACATAAGTGTAAAGGATTCTTCTCATTCTTGGTATGAAGCAAATTATGACTTTTAAAATGAAATGTGTTCCTCGAAAATCTAAATTTTATCTTTCTGCTGATATTAAAATTTTTTCTTCAAATTATAAAGCACACCAAAAATCCTTTTTCTTTGGAAAGTTTTGGGTTTTTTGGTTCTGTTTGGTTTTGTTTCATTTATTTATTACCAATTATAAACGTGAATAAAACAGTCCGCAATTCTTTGCATATTCTAAAATTGGAAGTGTTAAAAAATACACCAGACAGCTTTCACATTAATGGAAGTTCTTACTGACTCAAAGCCTTAATGCTAGCTAGAACAGCCACCATTTGCTGGTGCCAGAATTCAAACTATTCCAGTCTGATGTCGTTTGCCCAGTGCTACAGGTTTCTCTTCAAGTCCTCAGTCTAGAAGAAATGCACAATACTGCCCCAGTTGGAAAAAATATTCCAGAAACACTCTCATGCTTCTATAAATTTGGCATTTTTTTCTGTTTTGGTTTACCATGTACTGAAAACCGAGGTACTGGCCTCACTGAAAACCATGCAAACAGGCCGAGAAGCAAGACTCGTCGCTGGAGGTTTAGCCCTTGGCCTTGACACTAAGCTCCAGCCCCGCCCCGCCCCACCGCCATCTGTAACATAGTTGATTCCATGGCAGGACAGTCTGAAACTTCTGGGACAGAAGTGAGACTAGTTTTTACAAGTGAATGTATTCCCTATGTCAAACCCAACTTGGTTGTTCATCCCACTTAGAGGTGAAAGTACAAACTCCATTGTATCAGAGTCTTGGAGACTTCCTTCCAGAGTCTTGGGGACACATTTTGCTCAAAATGTAGCGTCCACTAACTTGGCGTTTGCCAAATATATGAAATTTTTATTGGTAGCTTCTCTGAACTATATAGCTATGTTGGTATACCAAATGAAAAATTATCCTTTTATTTTGAATGAATCAAACAGCCACTCAGACTGAACCAGTTACCAAATCATACTTTCCAGACTGCTAAAAATCTGGGTAGCAAACTTTTATCAGTAAAGTTGATATGGAAGAGAACTTAAATATGCAAAGTAGGTTTATTACAAGATTTTGAAGAAAAATATGTTAACACACTTCACTAAAAACAAAGGAGCAGGAGTTCTGTGACTGTTAGGTGATGCCAGCTTTACAGAATGTGTATAGCTGGTGAGAAAGGATTAGATAAAAATCCAACATGGGGGATCCCTGGGTGGCGCAGTGGTTTGGCGCCTGCCTTTGGCCCAGGGCGCGATCCTGGGGACCCGGGATCAAATCCCACGTCGGGCTCCCAGTGCATGGAGCCTGCTTCTCCCTCTGCCTATGTCTCTGCCTCTCTCTCTGTGTGTGACTATCATAAATAAATAAAAATTAAAAAAAAAAAAAGAATCCAACATGGTCTGTGACATTGACAGAGATTAACTTCCCCTTGATCACCTGTTCATCTGGAATTGGTTGTTTTGCAAATAGGTTGCGTGAGGTAGTTAAGGAGTTGAGGGAAAGTTTGAGGGCAAATCGATAAGAAGTAACAATATTATTTGGGCAGCAAATGCCCTCTTGAGGAAATACCTCTTTTCATATCATCCTTAGCAAGTAATAGTTGCTTAGCAATTCTCCAGTTGGGGGTAGACAGGAAGTGCAACTCAGCAGAAGTGAGTTTTTACTTAAATTTGCTTTCATACAAAGGTCTCCCATCTCCATGGCTCGGAAACACTGGAGGCTCACTGATGACGAGGGCCCCCTCCTGCCACACATACTCCTTTCTCAAACGCCATCTTCCCCTTCCTCTTCTCTTTCCTTCTAATTCCATAGACCTGTCCCCTCTGCCCGGATACCCACAGGCCTTGCTTAATTCTGACAAGTCACAGAGCCTGCATTCTGCCTGATAAAACCGAAGCCACTGCCACCACACCAAGAGAAGAGTAGGATTCTCCTGGCTGGGGTCTCATCTCTTACTTGGTGGAGTGAGAGGCAGCCTACAGCCTACAATTCTCTCGGTGGCTGCCTCTGACCCCGCAGTTGCTTCTTACATGAGCAGCGAAGTGAGGGGACCCTCCAGAAAGTTACCAGAAAAGGAAGATTGCCTCTTACACAAAGTCCACCCTTAGGTCAGCATCCCCGTGATACCGTGTGTTGTTAACAATTTGTATGTTCTTGGCCATCTCTAAGTGTCAACGTCCTAAGGGATCGGTCTTTGGTTGACGGCTAAGGATTGTGACGTGGGATATCTAAATGTCGCTGAAATACTGAATCTCCATGATTCCCAAGTTATTCATATACATCTCTTGGATGTATAAAATCTCCAAAATAGTCTCCAGAATAGACATGCTCAAGCAGGTCTATGAAACCTTTCCTAGGTATCTGAACTTTGAAATAATTCGCTCTGACACTGAATTGGGTAAAGTTCCAGTTTTTTAAATGTTGTGTGATCTTCTCCCAGTCCAGGGAAGACTGAAGCTGTGTCTTATACATATTACCCCCCACTTCACTTTTAAGTGCCTAGCACAGTGCTAAGCACACAGTAGGTGCTTGATATTTGTCTAGTTTAAAAAAATATATTAAGGCTGTGGCATGTTATAGCCTCATAGTGTATGTTACTGTTAATGACTATGATATTTAGTTCTGAAAATGAAACTCATCAAACAGGCCATATAAGTTTATGCACAAATAGATACCATTCTCAAACCAAAAGAGTACTTGAATACTAGATGTATAAATAATAGTCCCACTGTGATTCTCTATATGTGTAACTAGGTTAAAAGCACAATACAAGTGTGAAATAGTTGATGAATTTCTATTTTAAAATGGATTTTTCACCTAAAGTACAGTTTCTGCTGCCAAAGTGAAAGATAAATGTATTTATATATGTTTGGTAAGTAAGTAAATAAATGAATGAATGAATGAATAAATGATTTGTGACGTGTAATGGTCCCAGGGAAAGATCCTGTGACCATCCAAAAAACTATTCATAACATTGCTGGACTGTTTTATATCTGAAATGTAGGTTAAAAGCAAATATGTGTATGTTAAATCGTACATTCTCATTAAAATAATTAAGCCTAAAATCACATGTAAGAACATGCCAAAAGATTAACATGCAATGTTGAGCTGATACTCTCCATTAAGCTGGAGTAATAAAGGAACTTTCTATTTTCATTTACTTCATGAGGGAAAAAAAGGGGGGGCTTTAAGCTCTAGACCAAAAGAACTGGCTTCTATAGTTTTTTGTTTTTGTTTTTTTTTGGCTTCTATAGTTTTGAAGACATAAGAGATGTATTTAGTTGGGACTGCTGTGACTTCTTTAATTCTTACATAAGAAGAGAAGGCAAAAAAAAGTAGCTGTTTTATTCAATTATTCACAGAAGAGGATATTTATAACCTGTTTTTACAAAAACTTACTTCATAGGCCATTCCTAGAATATGACAACAGCTTAGGTAAAATATTGCTTTTTAATTATATTCACAAGAAAAGGACTTTATCTGTACAAAGAGACAAGGAAGAAGGAAGAGAAGGAAGAGGAATAGGAGAAAGAGAAGGAAAAGAGAAAAAGCCCTTCAACAGCACCATTTATCGTTAAAACAGAGTCAAGTCTTCAACTTGGTTTTCCCACCCAGAGTTATCCCCCATCACCCTCCAGAGCACATCAGAAAATGCGACGAACTCTGAAGAGACTAGGATCACAAACTTTTTTTGAAAAGAAGCATAATGAACACTCTCATTTTCTTAAATAAGATCAAACTAGGTTACTTCTTAAAGTGTGTCATTCAGCAAGAGCCAATGAACTTGGCATCCAATTTCAAGCTATTTTTTTTCTCAAAAATTTTCCTGAAAATATACTCATATATAGAACTTGTCTCATTGCCATCTATAGTGTTGCAATAAAAATGTACTTATTTCATTTGAGAGAGTTTGGTTATAAAGAGTAGCTGAATGGTAAAAAAAGCAATCTCGTGGTCTTGATTTTTCTGCACTCTATGCCCTTATTTTAATCTAGCAACTGTAATTCAATTAAGTTCACTCCAAAGATCTTTTTTAAACTATAACTTAAGATGTATATTGTTTTTTGGGTTTTTTTTTTTAGAGAGGAAGAGAGAGAGCATGGAATTCGGGTAGAGGGAGAGAGAGAATCTTAAGCAGACTCCATGCCCAGCGCAGAGCCCAATGTGGGGCTCAATCTCATGACCCTGAGATCATGACCTGAGCTGAAATCCAGAGTCAGACGCTCAATCGAGCCACCCAGGCACCCTTAGATGTATATTAAGTCTTAAAAAAGCAATGTCATTAAAAAACTTCAAGCATTTTCTTAGGAAGCTTCCCTTGTATAAAAAGAGAATGTCCTAAATAAACTAGTATGTCTCTGTGTGCACCTAAACAAACATAAATATACAATAAAGTCCACTGACACTTCACTCTTCTACTGTAGTGATGTTTTCAAATATCTGGTGAAATCCAGAGGCAAGTGAGTAGCTGCTTCACTGCAATGTCTTTTGATTAGTTGATTTAAATCTTCATTCAAAAATGAATCCCCTTGTAAAACTTCATTCTGAAAAAAAATGTTAAAAGTGACTCATATTAAAAGTTCTTTGTCATAAGCAAAAGCCAAGCCATGAGCAAAACTGAAAATGGCAACAGTGGACCCTGAACCAGCACATGACACCTGATAGTGACAAGCACTGGGTCAGGACCCGGACACATCCTACATGCCTACACTGAACAGAATGGTCTCATGACCATCTCCACAGAGTCCCAATCCCACACATCCACCCCATCATCAATTCCTGAACATGGGGAAAAAAATAAAATCTGTAATGCAATTAGGAAGTTGGAATCAGTTAATAAGACAGTTTTTATTTCGTCTTTTAAAACAAAGATAATGAAAAAATCTCACACACCTTTCTTTTGGAACTTGAAGATTCAACGGGAGGATTGAACGTCATTGCAGCCATGCTGTATGTCTCAAAGAGTTCTGCAGCAGATCTATAATCACAGAAGGAATGTAAAGACATCACTCTATCTGGATATCTAGAAAATAATTAGACTGTACCCAAAGAGAAGGACTCATTATTCTAATGGGCAGCCCAGTTTAGCGCCGCCTTCAGCCCAGGGCCTGATCCTGGAGACCCAGGATTGAGTCCCACGTTAGGCTCCTGCATGGAGCTTGCTTCTCCCTCTGCCTGTGTCTCTGCCTCTCTTTCTCTCTCTCTCTCTCTGTGTCTCTCATGAATAAATAAATTTAAAAAAAAATGCCAGAAAAGGATCATGAATAAGAAAGCTGATGGGTAATTGTTTTCTTCTTCTCCATTTTAAAAAACGAGGCTGGAGGACAGATAGGACATATGAGGGGAAAAAAGTAAATGGCATTTAATAAGGCCAAAAGTTATCTCTATTCAGCCCAGAAGGAAAAGGGTTCACAGAAAACTAGAGTTTATGCCTCATTTAGAATGAGGAAGCAGCTGACTTCTTCTGCCATGTAGAAATATACAGCTATTTTGCCAAATCTCCCATTACTTCAAGAGAAGCTGGAACTTTTATTTTTAGGTGTATTTGTCCAATATTTAAAATATAGCAAAAAATTCAGTTTTTGTTTAAACCCTGAAGAGGCCAGAATATCTGCTTGCCTATGGTCACTTGTCTGTGATCTCCAAATTCAAGAAACCAGGGGGATCCCTGGGTGGCGCAGTGGTTTGGCGCCTGCCTTTGGCCCAGGGCGCGATCCTGGAGACCCGGGATCGAATCCCACGTCAGGCTCCCACTGCGTGGAGCCTGCTTCTCCCTCTGCCTATGTCTCTGCCTCTCTCTCTCTCTCTCTCTCTCTGTATGACTATCATAAATAAATTAAAAAATTTAAAAAAAAAAAGAAACCAGGGAGAGTGAGAAAGTCAGAAGAAAAATCTACAGCAAACTATTAATTCTGAGCTGTGAGTACATTACAAGGTGTCTCTTACATCATTTTCTTTTCCGTGGAAAAAGGTCATTATTCTTTCAACTGTTTGGTACTTTTGAAATTTTTCAAAGTAAGAAGTTGGAAAGGAAACTTCTCCCAGCAGGACCCTAACTCCCAATCTGGAGCATCCAATGGACGCTGGGGGGCAGATGCGGCTGCACTACACCAAGGGGACTGCGAGGCCCATGGAGAGAACTGTGGCCTCTCTGAGTGGCAGTGTTCCAAAGCACTTCTCTTCTCTCAGTTCTGCCCTACTGGCTCCAGCAGGACCATCAGGAGGAGGGGACACAGGACTCTCACTGTGGCTGGACTTGTGAATCGTCACATCTAGCAAATACAGCATTATCTTACTAAATGTCGGGCATTTGTGTTTTCACTATTCTTCCAATTTACCTGGATGTGTGAAACTTTTTATAACCAAAAACACATTAAGTGATCATCAAAAACACACTAACAAAATCATAGCATGTTTTCTCCTTAGAACAATTCAGGAATACGAATCGAGACCAAATCTAGATCAACTGGCACTTTGTATTTCCAAACCTAGGGCTTCCTAAAGCAGACTTCTCAGAGCAAGTGGTGACCAATGGCAGGCCTGACACGGCGGGGCTGGCTACTACCTCCGGCTCAACTCTGGCTTGAGTGCTGCCGAGCCTTCAGAGGGGGCTCCGGCCATCAGGTGGGCCGCAAATCTCCGCACGATGGGATGGTAATGTCTCTGAAGGACAAACAGGACAACCACATTTTGCACGTCAGTAATTTATAAAAGACCAACCACAGCAAAGATATTCTTTAATAAACACTATTTCTTAAAAATCACAGATACGTATATAATTCACAGTAACCACATACCGAAAGAAAAAATACTCTTTGCTCACATGATTACATTAATCTGATGACCAAGTTACCAGTGACATAGCTTAGTCTAGCTTTTACAGTATGAAAAGAGTAATCTAAAAGCAATTTCTCTTTTAGAGTGGAAAAAGTTAGCTTACAACAGGTTTCCTGAGACATATCTGCTATGAGTCTCCCTCTATGTCCACACTCAAGGATAAGGACACAGGCCACCCTCTTGAAACTGAGAGGCAACTTGTCTCATTGGGTGGGGCCATATGCAGATCTTCTATTCTGAATAGTGTTGGGGAAAGATTTCAATAATTTTTCTAAACTTCACCCCACAAAACTGCCATTTTCCACTTTCCTAGAAAATGTACCTCAACATCTTTAAGACCAAAGTGAAATGTAGACTATTAAAACAAGAATTCTACAAAAAGCCATCCCAGAACAAAATTATATTGAGGATTCTGGCAAATAACTACTTGGGGAAAAACTGAAAAACACTGCTCACAGAAAAAAGGTCATCCTTACCTGCAGTGCATGCAATTCCCAAAGCGCAGTGTTCTGAGCATGACAGTATTCGGGCTCATCCAACTCAGGAAGGAAAACCCCACTGCCCTGAGATTCGTTGTCAAGTAACAGATCTGTTTTTGGGAAAGTCTGCAAAAATACCACATAAAAAGAATTAAATTCATATTCATAAAGAATATTAGGTTCTGTATTTTCATTTCTGTTTAAATTTAATTTGAAAAAAATTAAAATAAATTTAATTCGATTTTATGCTTATATGAAGAGCTATATGTGGGGCACCTGGCAAGCTCAGTGGGTGGAGGAGTGACTCTTGATCTTGGGGTCATGAATTCAAGCCCCACATTGAGTATGGATAGAGCCTACTTAAAAAATAAAATATTTTTTAAAAAGAGCTATGAACACATGTACTTTATAGCTGTATTTATACTGACACAAAAATGTGTTCAACATTGTAACATTAAAAAAAAGGTGAACAATAACGTATATCTTAAAAAAGCTGTGTTGTTGCCCGGGTGGCTCAGCGGTTTAGTGCCACCTTCAGCCCAGGGTGTGATCCTGGAGACCTGAGATCAAGTCCCGCGTCAGGCTCTGGGCATGGAACCTGCTTTTCCCTCTGCCTGTGTCTCTCATGAATAAATAAATAAGATCTTTAAAAAAAAAAAAAAAAAAAAGTTGTCTTGTCTGTGTATGTGTGCTGTATATGTTTATATGTGAATAAAAAAAGTCTGCTGGAAGAAGAAAACTCCCCAAATGGTAAATGGTTACCTCTGCAGAGTGTCAACAGGGGTAGGAATGCTTTTTTTTCCTAATTTTATATACTTCTTTTCTCTCTGGATTTTGCCGTTATCACAGTAATAACACAAATAGGGAAAAAAAGATGCGAAGAAGACAGCACTGCTATATTACCAGAACTTAGCTATACTCCTTTGTATCATTACTTACATGCATTAATATTCTGTTAGTTGCTAAAATGCCAATGCTTGAATTTGGAAGAACGTGAAGAGCAAGGGTACAAAGACGCTTGATGAAGGCAAGGGCTCTCTGCTGAGAAACCTGCTTTCTGCGCTTAGTTAGCATGACATCAAGGCACTGGAGTACAATCTCGACATCTTCATTGGTAGCACCTAAAACAGCGGATATACCCTTCAGGGCTGTTCTCATTGCATTTTTTTTTTAATTCAATTAGCAACATATCAGTAGTTTCAGATACAGAATTCAATAATTCATTGGTTGCATGTAACACCCAATGCTCATCACATCACATGCCCTCCTTAATGCCCATCACCCAATTACCCCATTCCATCCCGCAACATTCCCTCCAGCAACCCTCAGTTTGTTTCCTATAGTTAAAGAGTCTCTCATGGTTTGTCTCCCTGATTTCTTTCCATTCCATTTTCCCCTCCTTCCCCTATGATCCTCTGCTTTGTTTCTTAAAGTCCACATGAGTGAGGGATGCCTGAGTGGTTCAGTGGTTGAGCGTCTGCCTTTGGCCCAGGGCATGATCCTGGGGTCCTGGGATCAAGTCCCACACCGGGATCCTGCATGGAACCTGCTTCTCTCTCTGCCTGTGTCTCTGCCTCTCTTTCTGTGTCTCTCTCATGAATAAATAAAAATCTTAAAAAAAAAAAAAACTCTACATGAGTGAAACCATATAACTGTCTTTCTCTTATTGACAATTCTAAGCATAATACTCTCTAGTTACATCCACATCACTATAAACAGTAGGTAATCAACCTTTCTGATGGCTGAGTAGTATTCCATTGTATATATAACCACATCTTTTTTTATCCATTCATCTGGCAATGGACACCTCAGCTCTTTCCAGTTTGGCTATTGTGGGTATTACTGCTATAAACACTGGGTTGCAGGTGCCCCTTTGGATCACTACCTTTGTACTTTGGGGGTAATACATAGTCTTATTACTTTTCCATTACATAACTTCACTGCACTCCAGATAAACCCAAGCTGAACTGTCATACCTGTCCCAAATCATTTCCCTAACCAATGAGGTAGTGCTATACTACTTATGAGACAGAGAGGGTTGTACTACAGCTCCAGTCAATTCCAGAAATTCTCTCTCTCCAACTCTTATGAAACATTAAATATAGATGTATGGTCCTCAGAGGCCAACAGTTTAACATACCAATTCTGATTTCTCATTTTTCATTGACTGTTATACCAGTCACAAGATATTCTTAAAAGATAAGTATTTATTAAAAACACATTATCAGGGATCCCTGGGTGGCGCAGCAGTTTGGTGCCTGCCTTTGGCCTGGGGCGTGATCCTGGAGACCCGGGATCGAATCCCATGTTGGGCTCCCGGTGCATGGAGCCTGCTTCTCCCTCTGCCTGTGTCTCTGCCTCTCTCTCTCTCTCTCTCTGTGACTATCATAAATAAATAAATAAATAAATAAATAAATAAATAAATAAATAAATAAATAAATAAATAAATAAATAAATAAATAAATAAAACATTATCAAAATGTACATACCTGCATGTAACTTAAACAGTGTTTTATATAGATGTGTATAGAATTTCATCGGATCAATATTCAGAACATCACCTTTGAAATTACAACAAACAATTAGGTATGTTACAGCCTCCACAGGTAAAGAAAAAAACTTGATTAAGAAAATATCTTACCTTGCCCAGAAAGAATATGAAAAGCAGTCTGTACACAGTGAAGACTTTCTCGATAGCTTAGGTCCTTCAAAAAAAAGAAAAAAAAAAGAGAGAGAAAAGGACATTAAGGATAATAATCAGCATTTGTATCTTAAAAAGTAATTCATTAATAGAGTTACTTACACCAGACTCAATGAGAGTATGAAGTACTACTAATAAATCATCAAAAAACTCCACATTTATAAGGTGAGCAAACCTAGAATCAAACAGATTCTAGTTAATCGGTGACCTAAAAGCAGAAATAAAACAGCTAGGAATTAAATTTGACTTTAAAGGCATATTTGTAATATTCCTTATTTCAATGTTAGTTCCAATGGAGATACTGGTAATTATTGATACTTTTTATTAATTGAAAATGGCCTTTATGACAATTCATCCACAGCTGGACACTATACTCTATGCTCAGCAGGAATATATAAGAGGCACTAAATAAACTGAAAATATTTCAGGAATATTTCTGCCCTACAAAACAAGTTCTTAAAAATGAACAATGCTACAAGGAAAGTTTATCAGCTACCGAGCTGTTCTAACTCATAAAAGGGCCAAAAGCATCAGCTTCTGGGAAAACGGGAAGCAGGAAAAGGGAAAGGAGGAGAGACTTTTACAGGAATACGGAAACAATATTTACTAAAGCTTCAAAAATAAAATGGAAAGAATATTGGACATACAGTCTAATTCAAGTTCTGCAATTACTTGCCTATGTGATCCTTTTCAGTCCTGGGCCTCTGTTTCTAGGGATAATTGAGATCACTCAGTAGAGTTATAGGAAGAATAATCTGATCTACTAAAGGTGAGAGCACTTTGTAGAGTATAAAATATTAGGCATTGAAGTACTTAAAGATTTTTCAATATTAGTGCAAGAGCCTTTGACACTATGTAAATCTCAGAACAAGAAAGAATCTTAAAAGTGATATATTCTCCATGTACCAGTATGGCTTTTTTGTGAAGCAACTGAGCAGTATTTATCAAAATTTTAAAAGAGCAGACCCTCTGACCTGCCAACAATATATGCACACAAGCGCATGAAGGTATTTTCAGTGCAGCACAGAGCACAGGCCAAATAAAAGTAGTATTGATCCATAAAATGGAATATCCCAAATGTTAAAAAAAAAAAAAAGTGGACATAATCATGCCAACATGAAAAGTTACCCAAAGTAACCATTTTATCAACAAGGAAAATACAAAGTACAGAACAGCATACAGAGCATGATTCCACCTGTGTGACAAAAAGACAGACTCATGTACATATCTAGGAGTAGAATTTGTCATTTTTAATTTTATATTCTTTTGAACCATCTGAATTTTTAAAGTAAGAATGTATAATTAAAAACTTTTTTGGGTAGCCCTGGTGGCTCAGCGGTTTAGCGCTGCCTTCAGCCTAGGGTGTGATCCTGGAGACCCAGGATCGAGTCCCATGTCGGGCTCCCTGCTTGGAGCCTGCTTCTCCCTCTGTCTGTGTCTCTGTCTCTCTCTGTCTCTCATGAATAAATAAATCTTAAAAAAAAAAAACAACTTTTTAAAATAAAGGAATTGGTCATTGAAAAACAAACAGTAAGTCCTATCCAATGTAGGAATAATCCCTTGTCTGACCAACCTCTCTTCTAATCTTTTCAGTAACAAGGCCCAATTACTTTTTTTTTATTTTAGTTATTTATTCATGAGAGACATACAGAGACGCAGAGACATAGGTAGATGGAGAAGCAGGCTCCATGCACGGTGCTCAATGCGAGACTCGATCCTGGAACTCCGGGATCACGCCCTGCGCCAAAGGCAGACACTCAACCGCTGACCCATGCAGGTGTCCCAGCCAAATTACTTTAAAATCCCGTTGCCAAACAGCTACAATCATTAGGAAGAAATTTCTTATACTAAACAGAACTTGCCTTTTCTCTCTTCCAACCATATGTCCTATTTCTAAAGCTGTGCTATCCAACAATGACAGATACTAGCACTTGCAGCTATTAGGCATTTAAAATGGGGCTAGTCCAACTGAGATACCCTGTCAGTGTGAAATATTCTCATCAGTTTTTATGAAAAAAAGAACATCAAATATCTCAATAAATACTGACTGTACATCAAAATATTTTAGATAAACTGAGTTTAATATATTAAAATACATTAAAATTAATTACACGAGTTTTTTTTTACCTTTTTAATGTGGATAACAGAAAACTTTAAATTCCGTAAGTGGTTTACAATATAGTTCCACTGCACTAGCCTACAGGATACTACCTCAAATATCTGGAAAACTACCACAACCACCATTATTCTAGCTCACTATACCACCCCAACAGGCCCAGAACACACTGAGAGATTTCTCTTTACAAAAGAAAAGACTGCACAGAACTCGAGAAATGATGTGCAAGCAGGATTAGAAGACTCAGGAGTCGCCTACATGGACCACACAAGAGTCTGACAGTGGGTCAGACCACAGTGCAGACAAAACAGTCTGAGACGAACCTCTGCGACCTAAAACATAGTCAGCAGAAGGAGTTACTGAAGGAGATTTAAAAAAGAAAAGATTTGAGATGAGAAAACTAAAAAGACAGCGTTATGAAGAGTTTCGAGGAAAGGCTGGTGGACAAACAGAAATGGAAAAGGACACGGGGTCAGCATGAGTAAACCTTCGTTAAGAGTCATGGGTTTTTTTTTTTATTTGGAAAGAGTCTAAAAGGCGTCAACCTACACAGCCCTTACTTGGCAAGGCCTTCTAGAACTGCTGGCAGGAGAGGTGACTTCTGGGCCTTCTTCAATATTCTGAAGTAGGTTACAAACACAATATTCAGAGTCTCCGTGTGCTGGCAGAAGAAGCAGACAAAATGACTTGTGAGTATAACCCCGTCTCCTTTCTTCCGAGTTTCCACAACAAGGATGGTGAAAGCTCAACCTTCTGTCCCCTCCCCACCTTCTCCACAATCCAACAGGACAGGATGAAGCTATGTGCCCTGTGATGTCATGAGACCAGCAATGATCACATCAAAGCCTCGGGACTTAAACCCAGATTCTACAACCACAAGTTGCAACAATAACCTCTAGTTAAAACCCTTTCATAAAACATTTTAAAAGCGTGAGAGAATGTGAACTGCCTACCAGTTTAAGTTTTCTCTCTGTGCTCTCTGAAGCTTCTGCCTCCAGAAGCTCTCGCTCTAGTTTCTCTTCTGCTTTCTTCCACTGCAAAGAGACAGGGAAAAGGAGAGTAAGAGCATGCAGCACTGAGTGAAAATGCACGCTTCAGAGGCAGAATACTATGTATCCCGAAACACACACCACAAATGTCTGTGAATACAAACACAAGTCAAAAGTACACAGACCTGGAGAGGTGGCTAACCCCAACCACAGAGAGGACAGCGCTGCCTCCAGGGAGGACGGTGAGAACAAGACTGGGGAGAGGGACACGGGGACTCTAACTCTATCGCCAATGGTTTCTTCTCATGAATGGAACTGAAGGAAGTCTACAAATATCTGCTCGTTGTGAAAGGTACATATGTGGGATACTTATTCTCTGGAGTTTTCTCTAATTTAAGTTTTTTCAAAAGAAAAAAAAAAGGGAACACATGGAGCCCAGAAATAATCCTTATTGTTAAATCATCTATACCATGGAAATTAGTCATCAACGATACTTCCTTAACATGTTTATATACAGTGCATAAAACCAGATACTAGAGAGAAATTCAACAAAGTAATCAGTTTTTCCACATCCTTATGCTGTATGAGCAGCAAATAACGGTTACTCAGCTGCCTGACATGCAGGGACCAACTGAGAGTTTCCTGCCCTCATGCAAGTTAAGGAGCTGCCATGTTCTTAGAAGGTCCTCTGTTTCCACACCACAGCTATGTACATGCTGTTTCTAACAGGGATATCCCAATCTATTTTAGGATATTGGGTATATTAGGATACCCAATCTATAAATAATTAAAATATTTACCTTCATTTGTTTCCAATCATTATGTCTACTTTGGTATTTCTGTCCCCTTTTCAAAATTTGTTAGATACATTCAAAGATGAATATCCCGGGGATCCCTGGGTGGCGCAGCGGTTTGGCACCTGCCTTTGGCCCAGGGCGCGATCCTGGAGACCCAGGATCGAGTCCCACGTCAGGCTCCCGGTGCATGGAGCCTGCTTCTCCCTCTGCCTGTGTCTCTGCCTCTCTCTCTCTCTGTATGACTATCGTAAATAAATAAATAAAAAATTAAAAAGGAAAAAAAAAAGATGGATATCCCTGAAAATTTTTTGTTTTGTTTTTATAAGCAATTTGATAACCCTAATTAACTACTTAGAAATGTTCTGAGAATAACAATGCTGGTGGTCATCATTAATGTTTATAAAGCATGCCCAGGGTCACGCACTTACTAAATGCTTTACCTACATCATCTTATTAAAATGCACAGTGACCCACAAGGTATGTGCTGTTACTAGCTCCATTTCTCAAAATTAAAAAATGTTACCAAAGTTTCATACTAAATAAACAAGGGCTGGAATTTCAACCTAGGTTTCAAATAAAAGCCAAAACAGAAACATTAACAAAAACCTACTTTGTTGCCAACTTTACATGACTATCACCTTCCTGTCAAGGAAGGGATCTCAGAATCACAATGAATCTAAGACAACGTGAAGAGCAAAAAATAAATAAATGAAAGCCAGCACTTCAAAGAAATTTTTTCATTGTTCTTTTTGCCAATGAATTGTCAGTTTAATTAAGTTAATAAAGCACTTCTTTGCAATACCTGGGAAAAATAAAATTTTCTAAATATCAGGTTTTGACATATTTGTATTTATGATTTAAATATCTATGCCTGGGGACAGCCCGGGTGGCTCGGCGGCGCTAAACCGCCGTCAGCCCAGGGCCTGATCCTGGGGTCCCGGGATCAAGTCCCACGTTGGGCTCCCTGCATGGAGCCTGCTTCTCCCTCTGCCTGTATCTCTGCCTCTCCCTCTCTGTGTCTCTCATGAATAAATAAAAATCTTAAAAAAAAACTATAAAAAAATAAATATTAAAAATAAATACCTCTGCCTGTGCCTATACTATGATAGGCACTATGATTTTATTTTTTATTTTTTATTTTTTTTATACTATGGTTTTAATTTCAAGTCAAACAAAAAAGGAAATCAACCAAACCTTTCTCTGCATTCTTGATAGAGTTTTTCTCTTTTCCTTGAAAGTCATGAACTTTTTTGGTTTATTAATGTCCTCTGTATCTTTTTTCACTTCTAATTCCTTGATTCTTAAGCACAAGAATGTCTTTAACATCTAATATGAAGAAAACACAATAAAGAGCTTAATATTCATATTTCCCTCAAAATCTTTACACAGAAAAAGCATTCAAAAAATATTCCTTCCTTTGTACCAAAACAAACAAAAACACCTTTGACACATCTTTTATCACCTTTCACACAACGCTAAACATATCTTATTGCTGAACATATTTGGTGATCTGTGTCTAGAAAAGAATACTAGTATTTGGCTAGATATACATAATGTTATTTTGCAGTGTAATGAGTATAAGGACGAGATAACACATTACCTGCCATCGGTAGATAGAATTACATAGAGCGGACAGGCCAGAAAAAGGTTTGGACCAGTATGGGAGGAGAGGATGTAAATCAGGTATTTCTAAACCAGCTTTAATTTACCAAACCAGCCTCTATTTTGCAGTTAGGAGTTCTAATCTTCATCTTTTTCCCCCCCAATTAAAAAAAAAAAAAAAAAAAAACCACGTAGACCAATGTTGTTAACTTTAAGTTATTCGTCTCCAACTTCACCAAGAAACCAAGTCTCTGGTTCACTAGGTCTAGAGTAGGGCCCCGTAATTTGTATTTCTAATTCCCAGCTGATGGTGGTCCAGGAACACAATGAAACTACTGCCTTAAGCCATTCAAAAAATCCAGAAACTAATTTAGAAACTGGTGTTTTGTGTACCACAGCAATCACCCAAACACAAAGACAAAAGGGGTTCAAATCCTAATTTTCTCTGGAAGAAACCATTCTACTGACCTCCTTCAGTCACAGCAGCATTCTTGGAAAAAAACATGTGAGAACTATAGGTTTGTGTTATTTTGATGCTCCATTATGTATATTTGGGAGAAAGTGGAATATTTCAGTTTACAGGGCTTAAAGCACAGAATGGAAACAAGAATTAAAAGCAGAACAGCAAACAGGAAGTCTGCTAGGTACCAGAAAGGGCAATATGAGTATTCTGTAGGTATTCTATGTGCTCATAAGCTATCATGCACCAAATAAAAAAATAACTCCAGATTAAAGACGGTCAACTAATCTTTGGCAAGGGCACCAAGAATACAATGCAGAAAAGACAGTCTCTTCAAATAAATGGTGCTGGGAAAACTGGGTATCCACATGCAAAAGAATGAAACTGGACCTTCTGTTACACCACTCAAAAAATTAAAGTGAAATGGATTAAAGACATAAATATAAGACCCAAAACCATAAAACTCCTAGAACAACACATACAGAAAAAGCTCCTTGGCACTGGTCTTAGGAATGATTTTTTGGATAGGACACCAAAAAGCACAAGCAACAAAAGCAAAAATAAACAAATGGGACTGGGACACCTGGGTGGCTCAGTCAGTTAAGCATCTACCGTTGGTTCAGGTCATGATCCCAGGATCCTGGGATCCAGTCTTGCATTGTGCTCCCTGCTCAGCGGAGTCTGCTTCTCACTGCCCCTCCCCCTGCTGTGCTCCTTCTCTCTCTCTCTCTAAAATAAAATCTTTAATAAATAAATAAACAAGTGGGACTACAATAAACAGTTCCTGCACAGCAAAGGAAACCATCAACAAAATAAAAAGACAACTACTAAATGGGAGAAAATATTTGCAAGCCACATATCTAAGATAATATCCAAAATATATGAGGAACTCCTACAACTCAATGGCAAAAAACAAATAACCTGATTCGAAAAATGAGCAAAAGACCTGAATAGACATTTTTCAAAAAAAGACATACAACAAATGGCCAGTAGATGTACAAAACGGTGTTCAATAGCACTAATCATCAGGGAAATGTAAACCAAAACTACAATGAAAAGTCAACTCACACCTGTTAGAATGGCTGTTATCAAAAAGATAATAGGGGCGCCTTGCTGACTCATTCAGAGGAGACTGCAACTCTTGATTTTGGGGTCATGAGTTCGAGCACAACACTGGGTGTAGAGATTACTTAAATAAATAAATAAATATACTTTTAAAAAAAGGTAAGAGAAAACAACTATTAGGATATGAAGAAAAGGAAACCCTTGTATGCTGCTAGTAGGAATGCAAACTGGTACAGCTATGGAAAACAGCATAGAAACTTCAGAAAATTAAAAAAGAATTATCATATGATCTAGTAGTCCCACTTTTCTGGGTATATATCCGAAGGAAATGAAATCAGTATCTCAAAGAAATATGTGCACTCCCACATTCATTGCAGCATTATTCACAATACAAAGATATGGAAACAGCCTATATATCCATTATCAATGAATAGAGAACTTGTGCTAGCTATATACATACAATGGAATATTATTCAGCCACTAAAAAAGAAGGATCCTACCATCTGTGATCAGAAATGAACCCAGAGGACATCCTAAGTGTAATAAGCTAAAGAGAGAAACAAATACTGTACAATCTCACTTACATGGGGAATCTGAAAAAGTCAGATGTATACTAAAACAGTGGTTGCTGGGGGATGTGGGAAATATCATAAATATCAGTCAAAGGATACAAACTTTCAGTTATAAGATAAATAAGCTCTGGGGGTTCTAATTTATAGCACAGTAATTAGTTAATAAAATTGTATTGTATAATCTGAAATATGCTAAGAGTAAATCTTTAGGATTCTCACCACAGAAAAAAGGTGAGAGGTGATAGATTTGTGATAGAGAGGTGATAATTTGACTGTGGTAATCATTTCACAATGTGTATGTATGTGTGTGTATATATGTGTGTGTATATATATATAATCATGTTGTATAAATTTAAAACACATTGTACAGCCTAAATATAAACCAAAAAAAAAAACCCAACACATTAAAGAAGGTACTTTATATTCTAACATCACTAAAATGGTTTCCCTCTGCACAAGTATCACATATAAGCCTTATTATCTGATCACTCTACAGTTCTCGCTAACGACGCTAAGTATTTTCTCTTTAAGCCCAATATTTTTAACATTAGCTGTCCTATTGAAATTATTAGCTTTAAAGAACGAAAGAGAATTAATAGCAAACAAAGACTTGAAATTAGGAAATAAAACCGTAGAAAACATCAGCTTCACAATAAAAACTACAGGGCTAAAAATGAAATTCATAAAAATATGTAAGACCCAAATGAAGACAATTATAAAATTTCACTTAAGAACATAAATGAAGGCTTAAATAATGGCAAGATACATATTCTCAAATAGAAAAAAGTCAATTCTGGGGCACCTGGGTGGCTCAGTTCGTTAAGCATCTGCCTTCGGCTCAGTTCATGATCTCAGGGTCCTGGGATGGAGCCGCACTCTGGGCCCTGCTCAGTGGGGAATCTGCTTCTCCCTCTCCTTCTGCCCCTTCCCTGCTTCTGCTCTTTCTCTCATTACCTCTCAAATGAATAAAATCTTAAAAAAAGAAAAAAAGAAAAAAGTCAATTCTGTAAATAATTCTCCCAATCTAATCTATAGTTTAAATCAATTCCAATCAGAATTTTTATGTGACTATTTTGAGAGGACAAATCAAAAAATCTCATTCTAAATTCCATCTGAAGTAATATATAAAAAGTAATTTAAAATATTTTGGAGGAAAAAAAGGGGGCCAATGCCTTTTATCAGTAATGCCCATTTTGATCAGTACCATCCTACCAAGTATACTATATGGATGTACTATACTACACATTATAGATATACAGCTACAGTTATTAAAAATAGTGTATTACTGGGATGCCTTGGTGGCTCAGTGGTTGAGAACCTGCCTTTGGCTCAGGGCATGATCCCGGGGTCTGGGAGCGAGTGCCACACTGGGCTCCTTGTGGGGAGCCTCCTTCTCACTCTGCCTCTCCCTCTCCCTCTCTCTCTCTCTGCCTTTCATGAATAAAAAAAATCTTTTAAAAAATAGTGTATTACTTACAGGGGATTAACTGATTCAACAGAACAGAAAGAGTTCAAAATAAAATTCTGTGTAGGGATTTAAAATAAAATAAAGGCAGCATTTTAAATCAGCAGCAAAATGAAAATGGTATTGGAGTAACTGGCTATCCATTTTCATTTTTTTTCCTTTTCTTTTTTTTTAAAGATTTTATTTATTTATTCATGAGATACACAGAGAGAGGGAGAGAGAGGCAGAGACACAGGCAGAGGGAGAAGCAGGCTCCATGAAGGGAGCCCGACGTAGGACTCGATCCAGGGGCTCCAGGATCATGCCCTGGGCCGAAAGCAGGCGCTAAACCACTGAGCCACCCAGGGATCCCGGCTATCCATTTCAAAAAGTATGTGCGTATACAAAGTATATGCAATTATACCATAAACACACGCAAAAAGTCAAATAGATTATTTAAAAATAAAAAATGAACATTCTTCTAGAAGGAGAAAATCTATAATCCTAGGATTAAAGAAGTCCTTCCATGAATGACAAAAATATAATCTCATATAGAAAGGGGGAAAAAATTACAGTCAATTAAAATGTAAAACTTCTTTAAGACAAAAAAGACAATACAAAATTAAATGGTAGAGCAACAAACAAATATTTGCGACTTACATAACAAAAACTTACTATCCTTATATGCAATGTAACCTCAACAAACACACCCAGCTTTTGTTTCTTTTATTCACTATTTTATATACTCAGGACCTAGAAGAGTGCCTAGTACACAGCTGATACTTATTGAAAGGAGTATCAAAAAAAGCATTATGTCATTAAAACAAATACCTGAGGAGAAAAACTAGCAGCAATATAAATGGGTAAAAAAATTCAAATGACTAATAAGTATATGTATGTAAAACTTCACCAATAAAGACGTACAAACAAAATATATATATGAAACACACAGAATTATTTACCCACCAGACTAACAAAGACTAAATGGCAGAAACATACAGCATTTGGTAGGTTGTTCTCACTGTGAGAACATAGTGATAAAATGTATTTGCAGGACAATGTGGCATTACCTCTCAAATTTATAAATGTGTATACTGTTGGATCCAATATCTAAAGTTTAAAAATTTAATCCAGGGACACCTGGGTGGCTCAGTGGTTGAGCACATCTCCCTTCAGCTCGGGTCATGATCCTACTTCTCCCTCTGCCTATGTCTCTCTCTGTCTCTCATGAATAAATAAATAAAATCTTTAAAAGTAATAACAATTAAAGAAAACTACAGCAGACATTAAAAAGAATGAGATATGAGATCATCCCATACAACACAAAATGCAAACAGCTCCAGAACAGTGTCCATAGAATAAATGCATTTCTATTCTAAAATCTAAGCATGTATTAAATAATTTTAAAAATATATAAACAAATATACACATCTATATCTATAAACATCTAGAATATGTACTAAGTTGTTAAGAGTACCTATACTTGAGGGAGTTTCCTACTTTATACACTTCTGCGAAGAATAAAATTCCTTGTAATGACTGAAAATTAACTTTATAATTTAAAAACAAATAAAATGCAAAAAAGGAAGGCTTACCTCTGGCCTAACTTCATAATTTCTGCCCTTCACAAAACCAGAAATCACTTTAATCACACCAAGGGAAGCTTGGCCTAATTTATCTTGCTTAAACAATTTCTTTACTGCCTCACAACACATTTCAGAGATCTGAAAAATAAAATGTTACACTCAGCCAGTTTTCTCAAGCTCAGCACCACTGGCATTTTAAGCCAGACAATTCTTCATGGGGGAGGAGAGGGGGCAGAGGATGCTCCTGTGCACTGTGGGAAGTTGAGGAGCCCTGAGCCTTTACCCACAGGATACTAGTAGAAGCCACTACAGTTGTGACAATCAAAACTGTGTGCAGCCATAGCCTCACATTCCTGGAGGGTGAAACCACCTCCTGCTCAGAACCATCACACCAAACTTATGTTCAAAGAATTTTCTTAAAGAGGCAATGTTTAACAAAGTGATACTATTTTAGCAATAAATAATAGCTCCAGAAGAATTCTGAGGAAAAAAATAATCAAACTCTATAATTTTGTATCCAGGATGACAGCAACCCACCGACTTTGACACGTCATTCATGAGAGGGACAATCAATACGATGATGTTGTTGTGAAAGTTGAAATGAGGTAGTGACACCAACAGCTCACACAGGCTCTTCACAGCCACTTCTGCCAGTCCTTTGTAGGCCTTTAAGGAAACTACATTACTTTTCTTCAGTTTCCTTTGCTTCCAGTCTAATCAAAAGATAACTGTAGTTACTTTACTTATTGATCAAAACTTCAACTAATTAGCTTTATTTTATAGTAATATGCAATAATATACTATGCAAACTCTTAAGTGAGTCGAGTCCACATTTTGACACAAGTACAAACGCTATCATAAAATTTATCTGCCATCATCTACATGGACTCTAATCATCATGCTAAGAACTTTGGCTCTCCATACATATTAAAAGATGTATTATTAGAAGAAAAGGGTCTCAGGGAATCAATCGGGGCAGGGGGAGACAGAGAGCTGGATACCTTAAGGAATCCCTAGGCTTGCTCTACAGGCTTTCCCCCAAAACACTAGACTACAAGTCAAGAAGACTGGGTTCAAATCCTAGTCGTCCATTAATTAGCTAGTGAATATGAGCAAGCTCCAGACTCTGAGCCTTCATCTCTTCCATGTTCCAAAAATCAGATCTGCAGAATCTAAAACAACATTTCCGTTGACTTCCTGCTAATGCCCTCTATGGGATCTTTACCCAGGAGGTCCAGATTTAAATTTTTCTTCAAAATAGCCAATGATTCACAGTACTTTTCTAGGAATTTCTACACACATACTTTGCTACCATAACATAGCACCTTGAATATGAAAAAACACTGGTTTTTCTAGAGTAGGTTCAACACTTCCTCCACATCATACACAACCAGAGATGAAAAAGACATATAGATGATAGTGCCTTTGTTTTAAGCTTGCTTCTCATGTATATGAGTTTTCCTCAAACAGGCTGTATTCATCATAAGAACTATATCTTCTGGGATCCCTGGGTGGCGCAGCGGTTTAGCGCCTGCCTTTGGCTTTGACTATAGTCACACACAGAGAGAGAGAGAGAGAGGTAGAGACACAGGCAGAGGGAGAAGCAGGCTCCATGCACCGGGAGCCCGACGTGGGACTCGATCCCGGGTCTCCAGGATCGCGCCCTGGGCCAAAGGCAGGCGCTAAACCGCTGCGCCACCCAGGGATCCCAATAAATTTTAAAAATTAAAAAAAAAAAGAACTATATCTTCCATTTACTTAAAAGTGACAAGACTTCATAATGGATGGATGAAGAGACAAAATGTGGTACATATATGCAATGGAATATTTTGCAGGCTTAAAAAGGAAGGAAATTTTGACACATGCTAGAAGAATCTTGAAGACAGTATGCTAAGTGAAATAAGCCAGTTATAAAAAGGACAAATATTGTATAATTCCACATATAAGTTGAGGTTCCTAGAATCAGATCTATATTCAATTCAAATCAGAAAGTAGAATGGTGGTTGCCATAGGCTGGGGGCAAAAGGGAATGGGGAGTTCATGTTTAATACATACAGAACTTAGGGGCAGCCCGGGGGGCTCAGCGGTTTAGTGCCACCTTCAGCCCAGGACGTGATCCCGGAGACGCGGGATCAAGTCCTGCATTGGGGTCCCTGCATGGAGCCTGCTTCTCCTTCTGCCTGTGTCTCTGCCTCTCTCTCTCTCTCTCTCATGAATAAATAAATAAAATCTTAAAAAAAAAAAATACATACAGAACTTCAGCTGGGGAAGATGCCAAAGTGCTGCAGATGCATAGCGATGATGGGTGTATGATGCTGGATTTACTTAATGCCACACAAGTGTACACTTTAAAAATTGTGAAAATGATCAATTTAATGTTACATATATTTTACCATAATTTTTTAAAGATTTTATTTATTTATTGATAGACACAGAGAGAGACAGAGACACAGGCAGAGGGAGAAGCAGGCTTCATGCAGAGAGCCTGACGTGGGACTCAATCCAGGGTCTCCAGGATCATGCCCCGGGCCGCAGGCGGTGCCAAACTGCTGCCCCACCGGGGCTGCCCCCTCCCCCCGCTTTTTTTTTTTTTAAGATTTTATTTATTTATTTATAGCATAATTTTTTTTTTAACTTGAAAAAAGTACTTCATAATGGTCCCATCCGCTTAGAAAAGGCCTACACTTGCAAGATACAATACAGAGGCCACAAACCACATGACAAGTGAGTAGCTGACCTGTGCCTAGTCCAAATGCAGATGTGCTGTAACTTAGTACCAAAAAAAAAAAAAAGGAATGTAAAATACCTAATTTTTAAAATTGACTACATGTTGAAATAATAATAACATACATAGTAATTTTATTACTTTTTACTTTTTTTTCTTAGTATGGTTACGTATTTTTTAAATGACATGTGTGTCTCACATTATATTTCTATTGGACAGTGTTGGTCTACACAAAGCTCCCAGGCCTTGGTATGTCTGCTCCTAAGTAGGCTCCAGTTGGGAGGCCAGAGCACAGAAGCAACATCCACAGCACCCAGTCCCACCATCTCCTTCCTGCCCAACAGGATTCAGTAGTCCTGCTCCAGCTGAGACAGCAATTGGGTGATCCTTAGGCTCATTACTGAGTAAAGGAGCCCAACTGAGTTAAGTGCAATCACCAGACCTAGGCAACTGAATTCTTCTCCATTCATGCTCTAATTTTCATAGGTCCTTCTTTTCTGAACAAAGAAAAAGAAAATAAAAGTTTGATGGAAGAGTTTATCATCCATCTACTATGAATGACTTCTAAGTCCATTTTCAAGGCACTAATTTCATCCATTTCAAGTCATACTTCTCCCCTAATTACCCTACCCAAATAAAAACCAGCAGAATAATTTTCAACCATTCACAACTAAAGAAAGAAACATACATCTACTTACTAGGGAAAGGCCTGGAGCAACAAAAATACTAACAGCTGATCAATACAGGGATAGGGCCTGTATAGGCCAGCCACAGTTATAAGCACCTTTATCTAGAAATTAATTTCTCACAACAATCTTATGAAATAAGTACTTTTATTTATAAAAGAATGGAGACACAGAGAGATTAAGTGATTTGCCCACCACATGGGTAGAAGTTAGAAGGCTCAGATTTGAACCCAGGCAGACTGTAGACTCTGCTCTTGACAATATGCTATACTGACTCTCACCACAGAGCACAGAATATAGAACTCCCTTGGGGATCCCTGGGTGGCTCAGCAGTTTAGAGCCTGTCTTCGGCCCAGGGCGTGATCCTGGAGTTCCAGGATCGAGTCCCACAGCAGGCTCCCTGAAACAGCCTGCTTCCCCCTCTGCCTGTGTCTCTGCCTCTCTCTCTCTCTCTCTGTGTCTCTCATGAATAAATAAATAAATAATCTTAAAAAAAAAAAAAGAACATAGAACTCCCTTGCTGACCAAAGCTAAGTATGTTATATATTTTAAAAATGTTTAATATACCTTTAACCATTTGCTCCAGATTTTCCAAATAAAATTTATATTGGCTAACCAGACCTTCTTCAAATTCTCTTAATTTTTGGGTTTCTTTGCGGATCTGAAAAAAATCAAAAAGATCAATTATTTTTTAAAATCAAAATATCGAAATCCTGGGGCTCCTGGGTGGCTCAGTTAGTTAAGTAGCTGTCTTTGGCTCAGGTCATGATCTCAGCTCCACATCAGGCTCCCTACTCAGCCAGGAGCCTGGTTCTCTGTCTCCCTCTGCCCCTCCTCCCACTTGTCTCTGTCTCTCTCTCTTAAATAAACAAAATCTTAAAAAAAACAGTGACACCTGAGTGGCTCAGCCATTGGGTGTGTCTTCTGCTGAGGGCATGATCCTAATCTCCTGGGATCAAGTCCATCAGGCTCTCTACAGGGAGCCTGCTTCTCCCTCTCTGTGTGTTTCTCATGAATAAATAAAATCTTTAAAAAAAAAAAACTTAAAAAAATATATCAAAATCCTTAAATTAGCACAAAATATGAGTGCCGAGTATATACCCAGTCCTATAAAACAAACAACTCCTACTATTTCTCCCATCTCTAGCTCTCCAAAATGTTCAGCTTATTTTGTGGAGTAATTGTATATATCATTACCTTGGTGGATTTTTCTGCTTCTGTGAGGGGTCTTATTTTATATGAAGGAGTAATGTCTTTAAATAACTCCATCAGGGAAACTATCACCAGCTTTCGAACAGTAACAGCCACATCAGGATCCTGTTCCATCAGCATAGAACGCAGTTCTTTTAATTTTTTAATCTGTTAAACAAATAGCTTATAAGGGCAGAGAAACCATGGTAAAACAATTATGAACAAAAGACAAGAGCCTCACATCTGGAACAAGTGGAATCCACATAATGACTCAGAGTCTACTCAAGCCATATACAACTCCAGATAATACCCACATTTACAAAAGATAAACCTAAAGCTAACCATATTTTTGTTAGTCAGAAGAGATACAGACTTTAAAAAAAAAGTTTAAATTTATTAATTTACCTATTCACTGAAATTCTTTTTATTGGGTTTTCTTAAGACATGTGTCCTGTTTCCCTAAAAATACTTTTTGAAATAAATTGCTATACACACATATCTGTGAATTAATCAGGAATTAAATATAATGTATCTATTAACTTTAACTACAAGACTCATACAAAAATCATTTGGTTTTTTTTGTTTTTTTTATACAAAAATCATTTGTATGAAGTAATGCAGAAGTAAAAAAATTGGTTTCTATGAATGTGCTTGCTTTAATGAACTACTATTGCCTGCTGGATCTCTTGAGAGAAGCAATACTCTGGTTAGTTAGCACCATTTGCCACAGCAGGGGGTAGGATAAATATGTCACCACCTATCTGCTATCCCTAACTTGTGTGAGCATGAGGCTCCAGAGCTGGAAGACCCAGATTCCAATCCAGTGGCTATTAAAATCATAATGAATTTACTTGAATTTTTTAAGGCTGTTATTCAACTGTAAAATAAGATTAACAGTTCTTTTCTTTATGGTTTTATAATGATTTAATAAGATGATACAAATAAGAAATATTCCAACCAACTTCCCCCCAATTCTGTTCCAGATCTTCCCCTTTGTTTAAAAAAAGAAAAAAAAAAAAAAAAAACAAGTACTACTCCAAAACATGTTTAGAGGAAATTTTTTTCTGCAAATGTAAATAATCTACTCTATTGTTCAATAAACAAATATATTCACAGTACGATGATGGGAACACCAACATTAACAGTAATAATAGTACCATTTTATATGACTTCATGTATATTTGATTATTTAATCCTCACAATAAAGTTTTAAAATAGGTACCATCCTCTTTTTAGTGATGAAGAAAATGAGTCTTGGCTAAAAGGACTTATCCAAAATCTAACAGGTAGTACTCTAGTTTTCTTGAATCCACATGTTGTAACCGTGACCATCATTACCACTGTTTCCATGGCCCACTGATAATTCATTATAATTCTGATCTATTTCACTTAACATATTTTCCACTTGCAAGTACTCCTGAACTAATCTCACTGACTTTTGTGTAGCATCTTCCTTATTAAAAATCCTGTCAAGGGATCCCTGGGTGGCGCAGCAGTTTAGCGCCTGCCTTTGGCCCAGGGCGCGATCCTGGAGACCCGGGATCGAATCCCACGTCGGGCTCCCAAGGCATGGGGCCTGCTTCTCCCTCTGCCTGTGTCTCTGCCTCTCTCTCTCTCTCTCTCTCTCTCTCTCTGTGTGTGTGTGTGTGACTATCATAAGTAAATAAAAATAAAAATAAACTTATAAAAAAAAATCCTGTCAATCAGTCAAGCAAATCTGCAAATGGGTTCCTTCCCCCTCATCCAATTAGTTTTTACACTTACCACTTTCAGAGTTACATTAAATCCAGTATCTCCATTTATTTTTATTATTTTATTTTATTTTACTTTTTAATTTCTATTATTTTAAAGAGAGACAGGGGAGGGGGTTGGAGAAAGAGGAAGAGAGAATCTTAAGCAGGCTCCATACCCATCGCAGATCCGTGAGCCAGAGTGATGACCTAAGCTAAAATCAAGAGTCACGCTTAACTGACTAAGCCACCCGGGCACACCTCAGTATCTTCATTTAGAGATGAGGAAATCAGACTCAAGGGCACCTGCGTGACTAAGTGGCTGAGCATCTGCCTTTGGCTCAGGTCATAATCCTGGAGTCCCGGGATCGAGTTCACTTACATTAGTTTCTGGGTCTGATAATATGGCAGATGCCAAAGTTGCAATATGCATTTTCTTCTCCTGTAGTTTCTTCCTTCTTTCAATTAAATGTTCTTCTAATGTCAGTTCTCGAATGGGATCTTCAACAATCTCTGAAACAGGTTAGATTTCTCCTCTTAAACATTTCTTTACAAGTATTTAAAAGAACCTTAATCAATACAATGAAATTCTTATAATAATAAATAATAATAATGATAACTGACTTTTATAGAACACTTGCCATGAGCCAAGATTACTACAGATGATCGATCCTCTCAAAAATGCTATGAGGCAGGTACAATCATCATATCCATTTTGTACGTAGAAAATGAGGCACGGGAGAATAACTTGTTTATATTCATAGACCTAGCAGAAATGGAACTCAAACCCAGGTAGTCTGACTCGAGAGCTCATATTCTTAACTACTCTGCTAATAAACCTATAATAATTCCTAGTAATTAAGGGAAAAAGCAACCTGATTTAGTTTTTTAAAAAGAACACAATAATTAAGAAGGGCACATGATGTAATGAGCACTGAGTGTTATATAAGACTGATGAATCACTGACCTCTACCTCTGAAACCAGTAATACATTTTATGTTAATTAATTCAAATAAAATTTTAAAAAATAAAATCTGTATATAAAAAAAAGGAAAAAAGTATAGAATACTCTCCCTTGTTACTGTCCTTTGCACTACCAAAAGTATGTCCACGTTAAGAAAAGAAATTCAAAAGGAACTAGATTTAATAAACACACAAGCATAATCTCTAATGAGTCTATGAACGATGACTGAAAACAATTGACCTGTAATCTTATTTACACTATTAATGAGGTTTGCTAAGCTACAGTAAAAATTAACCAGCCTTTTCTATAGCAAATTTCAAACAAAAATAATTTGAAACCATAAAACATGTTTTGAGTTTAACTCTCATTGCAACTTAGTTATTAGAAACCCACATTCAATTATCTAAAACAGATATGTACAGACATCTGTAAGTATAACTGCTCTAATAAGTGAAATGATTTCATATCACAGAATCATTTTGTAATTTAAAACTAAAAAGCTACAACATCTGGGTGGCTCAGTCAGTTAAGCATCTGTCTTTGGCTCAGTTCATAAGCCCAGGGTCCTGGGATAGAGCCCAACATCAGGATCCTTGCTTATCAAAGAGTCTGCTTCTGTTTCGCCCTCTCCCCCTCCTTGTGCCATTCATCTCTCAAATAAATAAATAAATAAATAAATAAATAAATAAATAAATACCTTTAAAACTAAAAAGTAAAAGTAAATAAAGCTTTAAAAGATAGCAATAGGCAGGAACTTCACTTAAAATTTTTAAAAAATTCAAAATGGAGGGACGCCTGGGTGGCTCAGCGGTTTAGTATCTGCCTTTGGCTCAGGGTGTGATCCCAGAGTCCTGGGATCAAGTCCCACATCAGGCTCTCTGCATAGAGCCTGCTTCTCCCTCTATGTCTCTGCCTCTCTCTCTCTGTCTCTCATGAATAAATAAAATCTTCAAAAAAAATTTCAAAATGGTAATAATTTACAAGACTGTTCATGCACACCTAGACATAACTGCATAAAATTTTCCATAATAAAGAATCAAATTTCAAAGGTGAGACTTTCAACATGTGGGGAAATGTTCAAAATGACCTTGAAATGACCAGCACTCTGAAATGCACATTCCAGACTTTATCTAAAATTAAGTCACATTTACTATTCTCAATTAACAGTTTAGTAACTATAAAATACATCCCAATACCTTCCTCAAGTTCCACCTCTTCTTGATCCTCTTCATCTTGGTTATTGTCAATAACTATATGAAAAACATGGATGTTAAAAAATGTGTCAATACACATAAGTGATAAAACTACAAAGAAAAACAGGAAAGTAATGACCATAAAATTCTGGAAAGTAGTTACTTTTGTGAGGAGGGAGCAATTACTGATTGAGGGGCGCACAAGTTTCTGGGTGCTGGCAACATTTATTTCCTGCCCAGATAGTAGCTTTATGGGTGTGTTTCTTGGTAAACCACATAACTTCGAGCCACAACTCTGACTTCTAGACTTCTGTGTTTTATTTTTGAAAAAACTAAGCTTTTAAGGAAAAAGATACATACAAGAAAAAAAAGTGCTAAAAAAGGACAACTAACATGCTCTAATTTTAAAACAAGAGTATTTGGGATCCCTGGGTGGCGCAGCAGTTTAGCGCCTGCCTTTGGCCCAGGGCACGATCCTGGAGACCCAGGATCAAATCCCACGTCGGGCTCCCTGCATGGAGCCTGCTTCTCCCTCTGCCTGTGTCTCTGCCTCTCTCTCTCTCTGTGTGACTATCATGAATAAATAAATAAAATCTTTAAAAAAAAAAAAAAAAAAAAAAACAAGAGTATTTGGTGAAAAAAATTCTTTAAAGAAAATCACCTCAACATTGTAGCTTCAGTTATACTCCTGGTACCACAGACATGAGATAACCATCTGTATTTCTGGCCTAAATCATCAAGCTTGCTATATGACTAATTGCAGCTACTCCTTATTTTGTAGGTAAAAGGAAAAATAAAATTAAATCTTGAGTGAAAAAAAAAATATGATGGTATTAGTAAAGAGCTAAAATGTTTACTAATACACTGGCTGATTAGATTTACCTGGTTTCTAGCCCGGGTGGCTCGGCGGTTTAGCGCCACCTTCAGCCCAGGGCCTGATCCTGGAGACAAGGGATAGAGTCCCACCTCGGGCTCCCTGCATGGAGCCTGCTTTTCCCTCTGCCTGTGTCTCTACCTCTGTGTGTGTGTGTGTCTGTGTGTGCGTGTCTCTCATGAATAAATAAATAAATAAAATCTTAAAAAGAAAAAAAAAAAAAGGATTTACCTGGCTTCTCCCTGGTCTGTGGGATTATACCACTTTTATCCTTGATGGGAAGCAAGTGAATCAGTTCCTTCTCTGGTGCAGTTTGCAGAGTTCTTGGTATTTTTTCATATTTATCTATAACACGCTCATGCTTTCGTTTCTTGGCATGAACAGGTTCACTGTAGGGAAAAAAAAATCAATTTTTAATGTATTTAAAAAGGAATCGAGAGACGCCTGGGTGGCTCAGTGGTTGAGTGTCTGCCTTCAGCTGAGGTCGTGATCCCAGGGTCCTGGGATCGAGTCCCACATCAAGTTCCCCTCAGGGAGCCTGCTTCTCCCTCTGCCTATATCTCTGCCTCTCTCTGTCTCTTACGAATAAATAAATAAAACCTTTGGGAGGGGGAAAAAAAAGGAATCTAAGGACACCTGGCTGGCTCAGTCAGTTAAGTGTCTGCCTTTGGCTCAGGTCATGATCCCAGGGTGCTGGGATGGAGCCCTATGTCAGGCTCCTGCTCAGTGGAGAGCCTGCCCTTCCTCCCTGCTCATGCTTGTTCTCGTTGCTCTCTTTATAAAATAAAATCCTTAAAATAAATAAAAAGGAACCTAGAGATCTATCATTTTAAAAAAGTACAGAAAAGTAAACTGCTAGCCAAACTGAAACAGGTAGACACATAGTAGTATCTAGATCAGGCACATAGCAGGGACTCAAATGGTAAATGAATAAAAGAATTGTAGTCTACCACAAAGACTATAGCCACATCTAGTTTTCCCTTCAGATGCAAAACAGAAGTGAAAGTTACAGCAGATTCTTTTTGAAGAATAGTCTTTTTGAAGACTATTCCACAGAGCCAAGGGTGATATCACCCTTTTTATTATTCCCAAATAGATTCCCATCACCTATTTAACTTTCCCCAAAACCTTCAGACCATAGCATAGTCTTAGAAGTTAAAGAGATCTAGGTTTAAATTTCAGATCCACTACCTGTGATTGTACGAAGCATCAGTTTCCTCTGTAAATGGAATAATACCTCCCCAACAGGGTAACAACGGCTGAGGTTATGGCCATTAAGAACTCAGGACCGTTCCGCCAACTCCCCAAACAGAGAGCTGCATTCTTCCCCAGCACACTCTACTTCACTATTCAGACTCGAAAAAAATAAAGATGTACACTAAATAAAATCAGTTTTATTCATGAACTTCCTTTATTTAGGAAATAAACTGAGTCACAGGGTTTACTCTCTTATAGTCAAGCTGAACATCTTGCACTCATCACCTAACTAAAATTCAGGTTCAAGTTTTTAACACTGAAAGGACATGAATGATTATAATCTAAATGAAGCGTTACCTAGAAGAAAGATCTCTCGTTAGAAAAGAGGCTCTTTGTCCTAACTCTCTCATTAACTGCAAGTCATCTTCATCCATCATATCCAAAGGAAGCGCTTCCTCTTCTTCCTCCTCTTCCCTCTCAATTCTTTTACCTGTTCCAACAACAACAAAATCAGAAACATGTATTAGAGGTATAGAACTCTGTGTTTTTGTGTGAAGAAGAGGAAACGTTTATGGTTTTCTAGTACGTTAGCCCAATGTTTCTAAATGGAAGCACTAATGACACATTGGCCAGACATTTCTTTGTTCCACTGCGGTATCCTGAGCTAGGCAGAAATGCTATCATCTCCAAATCCTGACATCTAAATGCCAGGGGGCTTCCCAAGTCACTGCTACAACCAAAAAATAAAACGCCTCCACACAATCTGCAAGATCTTCCAGAGCATGTGAGAGAACCAATCATTTAGCCGCTTCACTTCTAGATCCCTAATGACTCCTCCCACTTCCATTCCACTTCAGCCACCCCCTCCATGGGCCACATCCCAAACCCTGGCCTTCACCCCCGTTCACCCCCATTCCCATTTGTCCTTCCAGGTCTCATTCAGTTGCTTCCACTGCACCTCTGTGACCATATATATAGACCTTCAATCCTCTAACCACTCCACTTCTATCTTTCATTGTGTTTCTATCCTCACTTTGGTGCTTCTATTGCATAGTTATCATTTCAACCGCCCTCGTGCCAATATTCTCAATTCTCACAAATAAATATATTTTTCCCCTTTTATTCAAATGGCATAAGCATCTCATACATGGTGATAGCCTATAATTTCAAGTGAGTGAAAGCATCAATACACGCTTTCACCTTTTTTGTTTAAAATTAACAATTTTGTAAACTATTTCATGTTGGAACATAAAAAAGTTTCCTTCTTTCTTTAAACACCCTTTTCCTGATTTCTAAGATACAGTTCTGATTTTCTTCCTAATTCTCTGGCTCCTCCTCAAACCCCATTTACAGGTTTTATGCATCCACCCATTTCTTAAATGCTGAGGATCCTTAAATTCTTTCTTGGCTCTCCTGTTCTCACACTATGCATTCTTCACATTGATTTTACCCAAGTCTAAGGCTTCAATTACCATCTATATGTAGATAATTCCCAAAACTATTCTCTAACCCAGATATTTCAGGGCAGCCCTGGTGGCTCAGCGGTTTAACGCCGCCTTCAGTCTAGGGGCTGATCCTGGAGACCCGGGATCAAGTCCCACACCGGGCTCCCTGCATGAAGCCTGCTTCTCCCTTTGCCTGTGTCTCTCCCTCTCTCTCTGTGTGTGTCTCTTATAAGTAAATAAATAAAATCTTTAAAAAAGAAAAAAAGATATTTCATTTGAACGTTATAATTTTATACCAAACTGCCTAACAGACTTCATTTATATGCTCAACATGTAAAAATGAATATTTTGCTTTTTATATATAATTATTAACATATCACATTTTTCAAATTCTACTAAAATTTAAAAGAGATCTTAAAAAGCATCTCACTCAACCAACACTTTTTTTTAAAAAAACAGATGAAGTACCTGGAGAGTAAGTGACCAGCCAAGGCCACTTTGCTATTAACAGAGAAAAACCCAAGTTACCTGACTTTCAGTCCAACGACCTTTTATACATCATAATAAAATGTAGCCAAGGGATCAAACTAAATAGATCAGGTTTAAAAGAATGAGATATACATGGAAAGACTGAACAGTCAGGTACAATCAAAATGAATACCCTGAAAGTACTAGTAACATTGTAGAAGAACTGGCCTGACTCAAAATGGTCATATTTCCTTACCCGTTTGGAGTTCTTGGATAGTTTTACAAAAGAATAACCCTGACAGTTGTTTCACTCCAAGTTTCCACATGAAAAGAAAGCCAGAAGTTTAGAAAACTAAGTGAACTTTGGCAACGCTGTGAAGAATGCCCCAGACAAAAGCGATGTTCTTACCTTAGCTAATTGTCAATGAATGGCAAAGTGGCAGCGCTGGCATGCTCCCCATCATTTATTTACACGGCAATTCTAAGTTTGTTTTCCCAAGTATTCTATCTTCAGATCTGCTTTCTAGACAAACTAAGAGCAGAGGCTAGCTCTTTATCACAATTAATACTATAATATTGTAATGTTTTCTCATATGGATGGTGATAAAGCAGATAGGACTACTATCCTTACCTACTCTTGGGAAAATCTAAAAAGAGGAACTACTAGAAAGCAGTTATTTCATGAGCATTTTAGAACAAATCAATAGAAACTGTAAGACATGAACACTTTCACAGTTACCTGGTCTTTTCTCCTTTGGGTCCTCCAGTGGGATCGGTTTCTTAGACACAGCATCCTTTACAGCTTGCCTTAGTTTCCTCTGTTCTTTTCGGTACTTCTTGAGAGTGCTTTGTTGTTTAAATTGCTTATTTTTTAGCTTGTTTTCAAGTTTGACTTTACTAGTTTTTAGTAACTTCCGAAAGCTTGGGATCTGTTTTTTATTTCTTCTCTAGAAAACAAGAAGAGTACTGCATACCCAGAAATTTAAACTGTATACTCAGAGCAAAACGTTGTCTTTAGAATAAGTGACATTCATGTATCGCCCTACTCTTTGCAAAGTTCTCCAACATATTTGATTTCCAACAGCCTCGTTAAGCAGTGATTGCTGTTACCTTAAAATTACTGATGAAAAAGCTAAGGCTGGGATCCCTGGGTGGCGCAGCGGTTTAGCGCCTGCCTTTGGCCCAGGGCGCGATCCTGGAGACCCGGGATCGAATCCCACGTCGGGCTCCTGGTGCATGGAGCCTGCTTCTCCCTCTGCCTGTGTCTCTGCCTCTCTCTCTCTCTCTCTCTGTGACTATCATAAATAAATAAAAATTTAAAAAAAGAGAGAAAGCTAAGGCTGATTTTATATGACTTGTCAAGGACTCCTAAACTAAGGAGAGCAAAACAGAATTCGTATCTTTGGATTTCAACGCTTGCTGGTAACCCCTCATTCAGAAATCCAAATTCCAGCTCTTTTTTTCTGTGAGTACAGGGGCAAATCACTAACCTTCCTATCTCTTTACTCATTAGGGGAAAAACAGACTTATCTGGAGTCCCTTGGCTCACATTATAAACTCGTCGAGAGCAGTACCCAGTTACCCACTTGAAAAATAAAGGTTCGAAAGACAGTCTCGAAGAACCCTTTAATGTCTCACACCCTACAGACACGACACTCCGTGCTCGTCTCACTGCGGCCCCCTGAAGCCAACTGTGCGCAAGGTGTGCGGCCGAAGAGGCTCCAGATCTAAGTGCCAGGAGGCTGGCAGCGCACACAACCGCGAGGGGGCCCCGACTCCGAGCCACCGCCTCCTAGACAAGCGCAAAAACTCCCCGAAAACCCACACCGGGGGAACCCTGGGTGGCGCAGCGGTTTGGCGCCTGCCTTTGGCCCAGGGCGCGATCCCGGAGACCCGGGATCGAATCCCACGTCGGGCTCCCGGTGCATGGAGCCTGCTTCTCCCTCTGCCTGTGTCTCTGCCTCTCTCTCTCTGTGTGACTATCATAAATAAATAAAAATCAAAAAAAAAGAAAGAAAGAAAGAAAGAAAGAAAACCCACACCGGGCAGCGACTGTCAGCCAAAGGGGTCCTAAGCCGCAGAGACCAGGCTCCTCAAGACACCTACCGCCTTCATCCTTAAATACGAAGGGAGTCCCGACGCTACGGTAAGACCAGGAATAGAGGTAACGCAGGAATCCGGAGGCGCCAACACACGCGCCCAAGGTACCACACCGCGCAAAGCGGAAGCCCCCGCTGGCTCCTCCCCATCCTCCGCCGCCGGAAATGGGGGCGGGACTTCCGCACAAGGGCTTGGCGGCGCGCCCTCTTGCGGCGCGGGGTAAGTGGCTTCCCTGGCGCGCGAGGGCGCGCGTGGAGACGCGTCGGCGCTGGACGACTGCGGGCGGGCCCGGGCGGGGAGCTTCGCAAGGTCTGTGATTCTTGCCCTGTCGCCCAATTTCCTTTAAAAGTCTTGGAGACGTCGGGCTCCGCCTTTCAAAACGAAAGGGCTTGATTTTTATCAGTCACCTTACTGCCCGTTGTGCCTTTCTTCACGCAGCTGGCCTCGTCTTCCTGTCAGAGATACTGACTTCTGCAGTTGGTGTTGCTCCGTCGAGGCTTGAGAGGCGAGGCCGACAAAGGCTTCTTCCCACCCCCCGGGCTCCCTGGGAACGTTGTTGTGGAATGGCGACTGACTCCTCGTGACCTTCCGGAACTCAGAAGCCTCGAATTCTTGGTACTTTATTTTGAGACATTTCTTGCCTTCGTTTTAACCGTTGTCTGATAAAAAGAAGTATGTCGGTGAAACCCTGCATTTCCGTATTTTACAACGATGACCTTTGTGTAAATTTTACTGTCTGCTTAATCCGCCAAAGTCATTAATTTCAATAAGATTTATGTAATTTGCAAGAATGTGTTTTTCAAAATGTTTGTCCCCCAAAGGCCTTTTTTTTTCCCTGAGTAAATTTAAGAATGCCATTTCAGTTTATTTTAAAGAAATAAAGTCAGTGATTTTTGAGCCTATGTCTCAACTGGAGTCCTGACCCCTCCAGTCCTAAGCCAGGTGGGAAGAGCCAGGAGGGGCTCAGAAGTCTGAGCTCCCTGGTGGGTGTTAGCGTTAAAGAGACTGAGAAGAAACCTGCCAATTTCTGTGTTCTAATTCAGAGACCAAGAATCCCATTCTATCTGGGTGGAATTCTTTCCCTCCCAAGTTCAATGGTTTTTCCCTGTTGTGCTCTCTCTCCTTCCACACACAACCCTCAGAAACAGCAGAGCCTGTCCCCCCTGGAGTATTACTTCATCAAAAAAAATTGAAAACATCAGCCTGTGCTCTTCCCAAGTGCCCAAATCCCTTCCCAAACATAGTAATTTATCTCTCATCACTCCCATCCTTCCAGCCTTACCTCCAGTCTCCAAGGGTGAGGCATCCCCATTTCTGTTCAAAACCAATTTTCTCCCAACTTCATCAGACTGCTGTGTTACTAATTATCCCCTTCCTGTTTTCCCTCTCCAGTGGATTCTTCCTTTCAACCTATTAGCATATTCAAATTGATTCCATAATTTATTTTCTTTTTTTTTTAATGTAATTTATTTATTCCAGAGAGAGAGAGGCAGAGACACAGAGGGAGAAGCAGGCTACATGCAGGGAGCCCGATGCAGGACTCCATCCTGGGTCTCCAGGATCACGCCCTGGGCTGAAGACGGTACTAAACCACTGAGCCACCCGAGCTGCCCCTATCTTCTTTTTTTTTTTTTTAATTTGAGAGAGAGACTGAGCAGAGGGGAGGGGCAGAAGGAGAAGGAGAGGGAGAAGCAGACTCCCACTGAGCAGGGAGTCTGACTTGGGGCTCCTTCCAGGACCCTGAGGTCATGACCTGAGGCAAAGGCAGACACTTCACCGACTGAACCACCCAGGTGCCCCTGACTAACTCCTTTTAATTGCTGTTTCATTTTCCAAAAAGCTGGTATTTTGGTGTCTCTACTTCCTCTTTTCTATTATGACAGCCCAAGTTTGTGCTAGCTTCTTGAGGAATTAAATCATTTGCTTGGCCCATTTTAAGTTAATAATCAACTTGAATCCTTAGATCATTTTTAAGCACTTGTTGCCAAGCTGACTCCCTCCCATCTTGAATTTGAGCAATCTATTATTTGAACACAAACTTAAAAATGGAAGTTAATGCGATTCCTACTAGCTTAATCTTAATGGTTTTTCAATTCTTTGGTCTCCAGCTTTGTATCATTTCCCATTAACTCAACCCACAGCTAAAGTCATTTTGGGTTCTAGGGCCTCTTGGATCCTCCAGAGTTTTCCTGAATGCTTGGGCTAAGAGAGATCACTGGGCTACCTCAAACTAGCTTCACAGGGATTGTACTCAGAGATTCCTATGAGCCCTTTTGAGCAGTCTGTTAAGAACCCATCTGGACCTGCCTATAACATTCCATTGTCCTTTTCATTAGAGTCACCAAGAACCTCCAAACTGTTTTTCTTTTTTAAGTGTGCACGAAGCTATATCATTTCTTTTTAACCTCACTAGATCTCTCCACTTCATTTGATGCTACACATTTCTCCTTTTTTACATTACGCTTTCAATGTCCTTGGCCCTCCTAACAGCCTCTTCCCTGAGTTCTTGTCCCAACTCCATTCCTTCTTCTTCATGCCTCTTCAATGTAGGTGATTTTCAAGGTTCTGGTCTTGACCCACTTTTCTACTTCTCATTCTACTTGCTCTTCCAGTGTGAGCTCATCCATCTACATATTGCAAAAAGATTTCCAAATCCTTTGTCCAGTCCATGCCTCTCCTTCCAGGCTTCTTTGTTATAGCTACCTCCTTCTGGACATCTTCACATAGTAACCATGGAACTTCATATAACCATGTTCAGAACCAAACTATTTTCTTCACTTGTACCTCTCCCAATATGCCCTATTTCATTCTTTTAGCCACAGCTAGAATCCCAGTATTTCCAGAAATGTTGGAACACAAACCAGGGCTTTCTTGGCCATGGTCTATAAATAAACTGATTTGAAAAATGTCACTAAGTATGCATGGAACAATAAGGCTTCTGGTGTTCCTGTCCCACAAGATAATTCGTAGAAGTTGTAACAAGGAACCTTAAAGAAACTAAAAACACATAATACGCTCAAAGGAGGTATGTTACTATTTCCTAATGAGAAATTACTAAATGGTGCCCGATTATAAATATAAATCTCCAAAATTCAGACATCAAGAACTTGAAAATGTGTATATGCCATTGGCCTCTTCCTTAGCTATGTAAAAATATACTTGAGAAAAATGTATGTATAGTTGAGAAAGATAATTATGTATGACCAAACAGATTAATCGAAGAGATTGTATAGGTGCTAAAAAAGAAAGAAAAGCTTGGGAAGAAATGACAGAGCAATGTATACTTAAATGGACCCTTACAGAAAGGACAAGTTCTATAAGTTCACATAGATGGGATAATATTTTCTGAGCAAGATCACACAGGTAGTGCAAATAATTTATGTTGTGGACCATCAGGAAATTAGGTTAAAGTAGCTAATAACCATCATTACAACTGATGATTAATTGTGGAATTAAAATTATAAATAAGGGACGCCTGGGTGGCTCAGCAGTTGAGTGTCTGCCTTGGGTTCAGAGCGTGATCCTGGAGTTCCAGGATCAAGTCCCACATCGTGCTTCTTGCATGGAGCCTGCTTCTCCCTCTGCGTATGTCTCTGCCTCTCTCTGTGTGTCTCGTGAATAAATAAATAAAAAATCTTAAAAACAAAATTTGTAAACAAAAGATTAATGCCAAAAAATAATAACACACCAACATCCTCTCAGCAGTTATTACACAGAAAAAAGTCCTCCACAAGTGATTGCAACTTTATACTTGAAGACTTTCACAAACCCTGCAAAGCAGGGCTGAAGTGCCAAGGAATTTTTATCCCTGAGAGCAGCCTCCAACCAGTGATAAATTGAAGTTGAAGGATAAATATACCAATTTGGTACGCTAGAAAATGTACTCCAAAGATCTCAGGCCCTAATCCCTGAAACCTGTAAATATTACCTTATATTGGTCAAAGGTGTGATTAAGGATCTTGAAATGGAGAGATTATCCTGGACTATCAAGGTAGGCCCTGAAGGGAATCACATATGTCTGTATGAGCTAAGAGGAAGATTTCATACAGAAGAGGAAGAAACAGTGTGACTACAGAGCAGAAATTGTAGTGATGTAGCCACAAGTCAAGAAATGTCCCAGCACCAGAAAGGGGAAGGGACAAGGGACATATTCTCCTCCTAGATCTTCCAGAGGGAGTGTAACCCTCTTGACAACTTGACTTCAGTGATCATGATTTCTGATTTCAGATCCCTCAACTTGTGAGAGAATGAATTTCTATGGGCATCTGACTGGCTCAGTCGGTAGAACATGCAACTCTTGATCTCAGAATTAGAGGTTCCAGCCCCACATTGGGTGTAGAGATTCCTTAAGAAAAAGTTTAAAATCTTTTTTTTAAAGTAAATTTCTGTTGTTTTCAACCACCAAATCTGTAGCAATTTGTCGCAATAGCCATCAAAAACTAATACACCAATATTTATACTAATCAATATGCCAAAGTTCTCGTTCCTAAGAGGTAGGATGACTCTGAGGCATCCTCTACATTGTCTCCCAGAGAGCCACGAAAGGCATGTGCACCACCTACAAAGCTAACCTACTCATCAGCCCACTCTCTTACTGTCCTCTTCCCAGTCTCACTTCCCCACCCCTTCTATCAATGGTTTCTGGACTCTTCTTGAAAATAAACCATTTGCGGGACACCTGGGTGACTCAGTGGTTGAGCATCTGCCTTCAGCTCAGGGCGTGATCCTGGAGTCCAGGATGGAGTCCCACATCAGGCTCCTTGCATGGAGCTTGTTTCTCCCTCTGCCTGTGTCTCTGCCTCTCTGTGTGTCTCTCATAAATAAATAAATAAAATCTTAAAAAAAAAAAAAAAAAAAGAAACCATTTGCCCTCAAATCCTTGTGTATTAATTTCTTCCTGGGGCTGCCATAACAAAGTACCACAAGTAGCATGACAAGTTTATTCTCTCACAGTTCTGGAGGCTGAAAGTTAAAAATAAAGGTGTTGGCACAGTTGACTCCTTTTTAGGACTCTGAAGGAGAATCTCTTCCATACTTCCCTCCTAGTTTCTGGTGACAGCTGAAAGTCCTAGGAATGCTTCAGCTTGTGAGTGCAAGATTCTTATCTCTGCTTCCATTCATACATAGCATTCTCCCTTGTGTCTGTGTCTTCACGTGGCTGTCTTCCCCTCATACTGAATTATGGGATCATGCTAATGACCTCATCTCAACTTGATTACATCTGCAAAGCTCCTATTTCCAAATAAGGTCACATCCATATGTACTGTGGGTCAAGATTTTATAATTTTTTGTGGGGCACATAATTCATACAACGTTGACTCAGGATCCAATTCAGGGACTACAACCTAATAATACAGCTATCACTTACTAAGCATTTTTTATGTTTCCCTAAGTATAAATTATTTCATTTTATCCTCAATAATCTTATGAGATAAATATTAGCTCCATATTAAAGTTATTGACTTAAGGATTAAATATACTCTAACAAAGTCTGCATTTCACTAAGTGGGGAATGTAATAAAATGCTAGTTCCACTAGTTGGAGTTTTTTTTTCACCAAAAGGGATCAAATGCCTTAAACTCTTTCCTAATCTGCTACATTATAGAAAAGGAAAAAATTAAAGAGGATCTTCCTAGGGTTTTAATATGTATTCTTTTCTACTTAAGATTTTTGTTAATAAATTGAATTTCTATGACATGACATTTCCTCTTTCTTGTATTAGTTGTTCATATCCATTATTTATTCATTGCTCTCCAAAATCTCTAGAGAAGGGGAAGTGGATTCCATGCACAATGTCATGTACAGTTTCTGATAGTCCCTTGGCAGCAACAGTTCCTCTCCCCTCCCTGTACCAGACTCTGCTAGGAGCTCTCTATGAAAGAATGTTCTGTAAAACA